TCTGGCTCGCTTGCTCCACAAAACCCATCGCAACTGCACAATAATTGCTCGCTCATCAACAACCACTGTTGACCTTCACTCTTCGATATGACCGCAAACGACCAGGTTTAATACGCGACGTGAATATTCAAGCTTAGCGACCGCGTTCGCGCAACAATGCAGCACTTGCTATGGGAGGGATGGTACTATTGCTTCTAGGTCAATCGACTGACCGAAGGTTCACTGCGTTAGTTTTGAGCAGAAAACAAAAGGCGATCACGGGACCGTCCGTAAGTTTTCAACAGGGCAGCCCTGGTTTTCAAGTTCGAATTCTTCTAACGTTCACTGTCTCAGCTGCTGTCACATTGTTTGTCCGCCTTATTTGCTTAGATTAACAACGTCTTACTCCATAATATGTTGTCCAAACTGGTGAAGGAGGACGAGAATTTTCCGCCCAGGAAAAAGGCAAAATCTGGCCCCCGCTATACAGCTGAATAGAAGATACAGCTGAAGATATCATAAAGTAAAATTTATGTGCACGATATCTCTTTTTATTATTATTATTATTCTCAAAACTCAGGGGCACCCAACGATGATTTCCCCCTAAATGCATTGAAAACACATTTAAGGCTGTCCAGAGTACTTTTGACCGAAAAATGCATTCTAAACAGCGCTTATATAAATTTAGTCAGGAGGGCTAAAAGCGAAGCTAATGATTTATAGTTTGCTCATACTAAATATAAAATATATCTTGTAATGCTAAGCGGAGAAGGCAACGAGACAGGGCCACCCAACGACTGTTTCCTCAAATACTTTCAATTGAAAACACTTTTGTAGCTATTCATAAAGTACTTTTAGCTCTATAGAAATGCATTCTAAAAGGCGCTATAAAATTTGCATCTCAGTGTTCGGCCATTCTAGAGGAACTTGAGTCTTTTCGAAATTACGAGGAATTCAGAATTATTTTCCCGAAAAGTTTAGATGCAATTTAACGTATTACGAAGGAGATAATTTTTCAGATACCTTCTTTCATCACATTTTTGAATCAGAACATTTTAGGATTCCATTTTACTCTCTACCAAAAAATAGCCTAACCCGGTGAGTGAAATGTGAACAATTAAAAGTTGGATGCCCTTGACCAGAACTGTGAAAAACAACAATAGGTCTAATTGCAGCACAATTTCTTGTACATTTCCTTGCCGTTGATTTGCATGACTGCAACGTGAAACGTCCAGAGAACTTCCTCATTTTCACTTTTTATGGAGAAAATGTGGTACATGTTCTTGTTCACTTTTTCCACTGCCCAGCCACTGCCGCTCATTTTTTTAGCTCCGCTATAAGATTCGTATCTGTTCGGTGCTCCTAGGGCAAATTGGATCTTTTTAAAAATTACAAGGGCTTCAATATTATTTTCCCGATTGATTGACCTCGAAGCAATAGTGCCATCCCTCCCATAGCAAGTGCTGCATTGTTGCGCGAACGCGGTCGCTAAGCTTGAATATTCACGTCGCATATTAAACCTGGTCGTTTGCGGTCATATCGAAGCGTAAAGGTCATCAGTGGTTGTTGATGAGCGAGCAATTATTGTGCAGTTGCGATGGGTTTTGTGGAGCAAGCGAGCCAGAAGCAGGAGCACACGTTACCTGCAGATTAGCCGATGGTTATTTGGAGCGGATTCGTCGATTATTCCCGAAGTTATAGCGCTTCGTGTGAAGGCGCGTGGAGATGGTCTGTTTGTTTTGTAGCCAGCCTTTAATTCTTCTTTAGTGGATAGTACCTACAATTGCAAAACTCAACAAAATGCCACTTAAACCGGCCAGGAAAGACAAGGATACGTTCAGTTGAAGGTATCTTAGCTTGGTTTTGTTATATTTTGACTTTTGGACTATTTTAGCCCATTGGAGTTTCGACTACTCATCGCATTAATTTGTCCATGTGAATATTAATATATTCATTCAGTGACACATACTACGTCTGGGCCGCCTGTGATTCTAGCATATCTCACCAGTTGAGATATATAAACACCGTAAGCTGGATTGGCGGGAATGTTGCTGTCCATATGAGGAAAGTTGACAATCCGAAATGAAAAGTCCTCTCTCTTATCGTAGATGCTGATACGGAGAGGTGTGTTGTCGCCAGTCTTGGTTTAGTGTCGAGATAACACACTTCAGTAGATGATGTGGAAGTGTCCTTAAGTTCCATTCCGACGGGTAAATTGCGCTGATGTAATTTCCAAAGTCCACATTGTTAGCACTGAATAAATCGTCGATGTACCGAAAGGTGTTGCTGAATTGGATGGCTTTTGTAATATCCTTTTGACCATGAAATCGTACTTTTTAGCCTGCGAGCAAGCTCTCCTATATTGGGCAAGCGAAGCGAGCCTCGCGATCCTCGCGTGTAGGAGAGAACCCTGGGTACGAGGTTGTTTTATTGTTTGCTTTTTTGGACCTTTTTTGCTGAAACCAATCAGAGACGTTCGCCAGTGAAAAATCGACCACGTGATCACGTGATCGAGACGAAACATGGCCAGAGTTTTTTCGTTTTAGGGAATGTGCCGCTTGCCCCCCTGTTTTGAACTTCAACTTTAAGGTGTGTGGTACGTGGCTGCATGTGTGATTAGGGAATGAAAACGTCATTGAACTATGGAAATTTCTCATAGGATTACTGACTTACCATTTGTAAGAGGACCAAACGGAACGATTACCGTCAGTAATGGCGTCTGAATCTTCGTCAGTACACAATCAAGGATCACAAAATCCGGCAAGACTTACAGTTATCGAACATGCCGTACGATGCCTGACTGCGGAGAGAAGCACATCTTGTTGTGTCCAGAGAGAGTATGTCAAAGATTGTTGGAACTACGTCAGGGAAACTTTTCAAAATGAACAAAAACATCGCATGGAGAATGAAGTACACGAGTGGGAACGTTTCCATGATAGTCAACTTCAAACAAGGAAGGCATCAGATTTGCGAGTTTGTTATCTAGGTTCTAGCGTATCGGACCTCGTAAACGATCTACATCTTCTCATTGAGAATGGTGTACTGTGTTGGAACGTCTGGGTAGTTGTGAAAGGTTCCGAATCTCTAACAAAGGTTCGCAAAACCCTCAGTGAGTCGAAATTAAAAAATGTCAAATTGCGAGAGGGTGACTTCTTAAGCTTTTTGAAAGATTTTGAAGGACAATTTGACATCATCTTTTTTGATCCATGTGCCTCGCTTGCTGAGGAGAACACCTTAAAGGTAATCGGGTATGTCTTTTACTACAACAGACTGACATCGCCAGGTGCTTTGATTACCACATTTTTGTTTCCACCTCTCCAGCAGCGTGTAGAACACATACACCACGAGGAAAACATCCCAAAGAAACCTGCGTATGAAAATGAAACAGAAGAAAAAAGAAGGCGCAAGAAGGAACAAGAAGGAGAGGCAGCCAAACTTCTGCTTGAACAGTACTTAAAATACAGGGCTCCTCAGTTTGATGCAAGATTTCTTAGTGAGACAATTGATGATGAGGAAAAGTATGGTGATTACATTACTTATCAAGTGATTGACTCAGCCTTTTTGTTTGTTCCTGTTGAAAGGATGCTGTTGTCAACCAAACCAAGAGTGTGGGCTGAAATATTTGATAACACGGGTGACATTCTTGAAGAAATATTGTTACCAAAGTTGGAAGACATTGCTAAAGGGACTGGCAAATCAACAGTAGAACAAACTCAAGCTGGAGAGTTCCATTTACAACACATCTACTCTGTTTCAAAATCAGCTGAGGCATCAAGCTCCCCTGGCAAAACTTGGATTGATGAAATTTTTCCCAACAGGAGGAATTCTTGTTTGCAGAAGTATGACATTTCATTGCTGCTTTTAACTCCACTTCTGTTTTCTTCACATGAATTCATTTTGAAGTATTCCAAATCACAGTTTAAGAGTACATGCCTTGACCCTATTTCTCAGTGTTTTCCTGACAGTAGCAAAAGTGGAAGTTTGCGCAATAAAGTACGTTGGCCTTGCACAGGGTGTTTGGTGGCGAACCTCCTTTATGGCCAGTTGGCTAACCCATCATTTCCTGTTATCAATAAGCTCCTGCGTGTTAGATACACTTCTAAGTACAACAAGATTTTCTCAGATGTTTTCATTTTTGATAAGTGCGAGTATGTATATGACCAATTCCCTACAATTGAGGGGGCATGTTATTCTATATCAGAGCCCATGCTTCAAATGGTTTACAGAATGGCTTTGGATGGCTTGAGAAAGCACCTGGCATCAGTTTCTTCAAGTCTTTTTCAGTTTTGTGTTCCAGTTTGGAGTGGGGACCTTTGTTCTCCAGATGACTTGTTGCACCTTCCCAAAAGGCAGGTACGGGAAGTAGAATGTTTGCATTCTAATGAAGCTGCTGCCCACTTAGATTCTGTTCAAGAAGAAGAATCACAGCCGACAAAGGAAGCAGTCATCAAAGAGGTATGAGTATTTGTTGGGCTTTTAAAAAGCACTATCTTATTTATTACAGTTTCCATAGAAATGGAAAGTGTATAATTGATTGATTACATACCATGTAGAAAATCGATAAAATTAATAGAGGAAAGAGATGTTGCTAATTGATTACTATTGAATTGAATTGGCTCTTAAATTTCCATGTGTTTTAGCAGTTAACATTGGCAAAGAATGTTAATGCGAGTCCGTATACCTAACACATTTCAATAACGGGTTTGCAGTGTTCCAGCCATAAATTTCTGCTTGAGGGCCAAAGTGGCCCCTACAACCCATTTTTTGGGGCCAGGTATTTCAAGAAAGGGCCAATGTACCAGTATCTTTCTAATATGCAAAAGGGAAGAAACAGTTGGAAAGTTAAGGAAATGAAAATGGCAGTTTATCTGAAGCTGACTTGGAGCATCCCTCTTTATACACACTAGAGGAAATCTTCGGTAATAAAGCAAACAGTACAATCAGAATGTATGCAATAAAAATAGTAAGTAATTTTTTTAATCTCATTTTCCACTTCACCGTCAAGATCTGCTTTCTTTCGCTTCTTCTAAACTGCTTTGCCTCCATCCACTTTTTCGTTACTTACTGAGAACAAACTTTCGATGGACCTTGAAAATGCGTTTGTCAGGTTTGTCCTTTTTCGAGACGCTATGATGGATACCCATCAGCTCCTACGATATTACAAAAGCCAAGTCGAGGCTCAGTGGTCTCCAGACCACTCACAGTAAATCAGGTAAACTCAAGAAGATTCATCGATTGATTTTCATGTTGCGTACAAAGGTACGGAGTCGTTGTTCTTTAGATTAAAAATTCTGTCTTATTGGAAAATTATTGTAGTTGAAGTAACAGAGACATTTTTAAGCCCAGGGAATTAAAGAACGAAAGGGCCATAATGGCCCTTGAACGCTTTTGGTGGGGGCCATCTCTCAATCTTTTGCGGGATTCACGCAATGGCGCACTCTGGCTTGAACACTGGGTTTGCATCAGGACTTATTAGTATGTATGAGCTAGTGTATTGTTCCTGGTTTTTTATTGTCTTAATAGCTGCAACAAAAGCCTTAACAATGTCTAAAAGACTCGGTAAAAACTGAAACAGGGTTTTGATTTTATACAGTAGTCGTTGCTTGACTTGATAATATGAAGTAGAATGAAAGACGACCAAACAGATAAACTTACTTGAAGACTAAGTTTTGTGTAATCTTCCAACTTCTCTCATGTCAGAAAAACTTTCCAAAATAACAAACTCTAGTCAGTGTTAAAATTCCTGTGAGAAAATTCCTGAACTATGAAAATTCAACATACAGTTTTGCAGTTGACAACTAGGGCTTGAAAAAATTTCCCAGCTGGCATTGGTCAAGTTGTTCAGTCAAACCTACTTTTGCTGGGACACAACCTGTTTTTAGTTGGACAAATGTCTTTCATCTGCATGTAGGATTACAGGGTTCTCACAGTATTGAAGAGTCCTTGAAGTTTAAGGGAAGTCCTTGAAAAGTCCTTAAATTTCTACGCAAGTCCTTGAAAAGTCCTTGAATTTTCTTCAACATTGAATGTAATGGCCTGGGAAGTGTTTTTTGGATGCTTTTTGCTTGTCCAAGACAGAATATGAATCATAGCTCAGAGAATTTAAAGGTTATTTGCACAAAGTGGTCAATGAGAAACCACTAGTTACTGCCCTGCCGCGCAGTGCTTCTAAAATTTCACGTGGCCACGGAGCCGTGAAATCCTGAATAATTCGGTAGAAATCTTACAAAATACATGTTAGTTCAACATATTTGGGACTTATCTCGGCTAATGGGGCTGTTTTTGCCATAAACTTGCAAATTTATCTTGAAACTTCGTCACTGCAAGGAGAAGATGTCCCAAAACTATCAGGTGTTATTGGATTATTGTAAAAATCTGGGCACTGGCCAGTGCATGATATAAAAAGCTTTGCCATTGGCACATTTCTGAGCTCATTGTTGTTAAAAGAGCAAATGATCATGAGCCTTGGGTTGACTGTGTTAACATGGTTTGAAGGAATCTTTCTTGAATTACTTGAATTAAGTTCTTGAAGAAATTCATCAGGCTAGTGAAGTTAATATCTATTTAAACTCATCACCAATAGATGAGCTTGGGCGTTGGTGCGTACAAAGTTGGTGGAGTCAGGCAATGCTCTAGCATGAGGAAGAGGTATCCATGGCGACCCTGTGAGTGGCCCCCACCCAACCGGAATCTCCTTTGGTGCTTGAAAAAGGAGGGGCCAGCGAACAGGGGTGAAATGGAACCTCTGACTCCAACAACCCCAAGCACCAAGCACAGCAGTTGCATCGAAAAACAGACACACACTTACCAAATGAATGCAGCTGACAGTGAGAGCAACACCAAAAACTGCAGTGCAAGCCCTGAGCAATTCGGTGCTAAACTCGACTGCAATGTTGAAGGAGCTGTGGATAACAAATGGCAAGGACACGCGATGTCAAGCCAGCTGACTAGAGATGCCTGCAAGAGCTTCCAAAGGTGTGGGGATATAAAGTTGGTATGCGTTACTAGTCCAATGTCCAGGAGCCTGAATCAGGTGGTCAGGAATACCATTGCGAGCTGCTACTGTGGCTGCCCCAATGCAGAAGCTGTGGCTGGAAAAATTGCCTTCAATCCCTGCGGTAGAGAAAATTTGCCGCAGCCAATCGGTCAAGATTGAGCGATACAGAGGTTGACGATTCGCATGAAGGAACAAGGGGCCAGGGACATTTCCTTGTACAGAGAGGTAAGCCAGCAAAGCGTGAACTGTGCAAAGGGGTACCCTTCCCAGACCAATATGGATGTGGCAACCTTGACGGGATGGATCTGTTTTCGACGCTTTTATTTGAACACACTGTGCAGGGCTCAAAGTTAGCGACTAACTGGTCGCATATGCGACTGGATTTCTGGCTGTGCGCCTAAAAATTCATGTGTAATCGCACCTGTGCGCCATAAAACCCAAAGCAAAGTGCGACTGACTGACTGACTTCCGACTATACTTACGAACTCAAACTAGAAAGACGGTGTATGTTTAACTGGTCTTTTCTCCCAATGGATCCTACGAACTCGAATGTTCTTTTTCGTTTCGATGTTTTACTCCATCCCAGACTCTTCTGTTTTGTAATAAACACCGCTGACACATGCAAATATATGCTACGAATGAAACACGTACTTTTCGCGCAACGAAACGCAAAGTTTTAACGTCAGTCAAAACAGAAACAGTGCGGATTAAGAGCCTTTTTTTCCAGGTAAGAAAGTTTTTTAAGTCGTATTCCAGTTACATGTAAGTCATTGCTCATTTAACAGATTCATTAAAGATTAATTTTCATTTGCGTTCGACACACTCATTGTTGTCAGTTTTGAATTGTTTTTCAAGTGTATGTTTCTTTAGTCACAACTGTACTGTCAAAAAGAGAAATTAGTTTTAAAAATCACAACGGTATTACTGCGTAGCAAATCGGGTGTGTTTTATCAATCACAGGACTGAAGTAAAAGTTACAAACTGGAGATGACAAATAAATGTGGCACTGTTAAGCTTTTTACTTTTTCTTTTGGAATAGATGCTCCCAACATTATAAGCTGTGCTCCTAAAATTTTCAGCTGTGCGCCTAAAATTTCGGCAGTGCGCCTAAAAATTTACACCTGGTAGCACAAGTGCTCCCAAACTCAAATTTAAACTTTGAGCCCTGCTGTGATGTCTGCCACTGAAAGATGAATAGCTGGAGAAGAGCTAACTAAATTGGGGACTGTAAATTCTGTAGCATGGAGAAAACCAAAATAACCCAGCATGCAGGCTGCCCAAAAGTCGCAATGATCGAAAATCTCGAGGTCCAATGCCCGATGAATGACCAAGAGAAGGCTGTCAGTAATTGGAAGGCACTGAGCAGCCGGGGAACCCTGGGAACGCTTGACCCCTCTCAACACTCGTTGAAGCTGCAGGCAATTAAGCAAAGGGTCAGGAAAACCTTGCTCAATGTGCAAGGAGCGAACTGCAGATAAATAGACTTTAATTGACGAATGCTGAGTCGAATCTGCGAGAAATGAAACAAACATAAAGTCCACTCGTCTGCAGGGCAAGGCGAGCCATTGGAGTGGAGCTTTCCCGCTTGGCGGCAAAATTCGACGAACTTGCATTGACCTGACGCATAAGCTTTCCAGGTGGAAGGAGCCAGACCCTGGGCCAAGAAATGCAGGCACCGTTGTTCTAGGGAGGAGGTGTTAAGCTGTCCAGCAGGAGCTGAGGAATCGGACAAGGGGATGAGTGAGCCTCCGGGGCCAGCTGCCTGAACTCCTGCCAACGGAAAGGAGAGATAGCATCAGCAATTTTGTTCTCAACTCCAGGAACATGGGCAGCAGTGAAAGTAAAACCCTAACACGCTGCCGATAGCAGAAGATCATGGAGAAGGTGCCTTAAAGCTGGAACCTTCGAAGTCCTGGTCATGAGAATCGCGACTACAGCCTCGTTATCTGAGTGAAAAAGGACATGCTTCCTGGCCCACAAAGATCCCCAAAGGTGAGCAGCAATCACCACAGGAAAGAGTTCTTGGTATGTGATATATTGCCTGGCCTGCACCATTGACCAGGCACCATAAAACCACTGGCCTTGAGAATAGGTGCCAAAGCCAATCGCACCTGCTGCATCCAAAGTGACCTCCAAATCTGTGGCAGCAGACATGCCAGGGTACAACCAGAACCCAACTCCATGCCAAGAAGCTAGAAACTGCTGCCACCACTGAAGGTCAAGACGAAATTCCTGGTTAATCCGAACAGGATGGTCCTTGTTACGGAAGCAGCACAGTGAATCAATAAACCGATGGAGAAAGGCTCTCCCTGGCCAAACTACCTTACCAGCATGGTGTAAATGGCCAATAAGAGACTCCAATTCCTGCTTTCTGCACCAGCGACGGGGCATCCACGAATGAATGAGTTCTCTTAGTGCAAGCAATTTGTCCTCAGGAAGACGGGCCACTTGGTTGACGGAGTCCAATTCAATTCCTAAGATAGTCATAGAAGTGGCTGGACCCACACATTTGTTAGCGTGAAGAGGCAACCCCAGCCGATGGCAAACAGAGACTGCTGTGTTAAGGTTATAAGCACACTGGGATGACTGTGGGGGACCTGCAGTAATAAAGTCATCCAAATAATGTAACAGATCAGAAAGGTGGTGCTTATGGAGAAGGATCCATTCAACCATATCAGCTATTGAATTGAAAATAAATGATGCAGAACGGAGACCGAAAGGGAGCGAGAGGTCAACATAGAACTAACCACGCCACCTCATGCCAAGTAAGAAGCGGTCATCTGGGTGAACTGGGATGTTCCGATAAGCCGATTCCACATCAAATTTTGCCATAAGGACACAACAACCCCCAAATTCCCTGAACCACCCATAACCGCCCGTAAAAATGGCCGCTTGATTCAGTCCATTCCCCTCTCCACTCTGGTGTTTTTTATCTTTTGTTTTCACAGAGTGATTGATGGATATTAAACCAATCATTTGCCATCTTTTGCGCATTTTTTGACAGATGATGAGAAGCACCACAGGGTCGGGTTTTTCGAAGTGCGCGAGTAAAAGAAATTCGTGAGAGTAATGGCCGCCCGTGTCAATTTCGAATCAACGTTGGCATCACGTTTGAGAGAATATAGAGATAAGACTTTTCTTGGCTATGTTTTGAGAACATTTAAATAGATACTTTAATTAAGGATTAAAATTTTAGCAACTTTGCTGAGTGAAGTAGTTGATACTTTTTGTCTGCTTCAATGGATTTCTTGCTGTTTCCCATAGGAACATTTTTTTTGTTATTAACCATGCTTATTCAGCCAAGGTGCTAATTGAGGGGAGGGGATGGCTGTTCACAGGTTAACAGTGACTTTGCATTGGTAGTTGATTGTTTCGGGGGCGGGGGTCCAAGTTATTTGTTTTAGAATACTGATCCACATAATTAGCAGCATTGTGTAAGTGTTGCATGCAGACAATAATTGTATTCTTGTAACTGCCTTCACAGCCTCACATGAGCAGTTTTGGAGGACAACCCGAGATTGATGATACAAGTTTAGAAGATTTAGAACTCTCTGATTGTACAGGGACAAAAGGTACTGACATTGTTGTTTACTATATGGCTTGCATTCCTATCGTTGAACAGAATTACAATGGGACCTTCTCAAAGTGGCTGCTTGTGGGCCATGCAATTTTGTTCAACTTTACTTGGCAGCATCGAATTGTGATACAAAGAGATGCTTTGCCAGGTTGTTCACAGCAAACAGTGTGAATCATGAGACAAACATTGAAGTCCATTACTTGATAAAGGTACATTCATTTGAGATGATCTGGATCAAGTTCAGTGATCCCAGATACTCATCTCATGGTAGATTAAATGAACCAATGAATCCACTCTGGACAAGGATTCATTGGTTTATTTGATCTACCATGATCCAAGTGATCTTTGATCATTCGAAAGGAATGCACCCAAAGATTCCGAGATGGTATCAAAAGCTTGTGCATGCTAAAGAAGCTATTATGCCGGAGTCTGAAACCTCATTTATGTTCAGCAAGTATATGTTAGCATATTCTGACTCTTAGTCAGCACACATACTGTCAAACCCATTTCAGATGGTTCACATGGGCCTTGAAAAGTCCTTGAAAAAGCATGGTGTCCTTGAAAAATCCTCAAATTATCCTTGAATTTTCCACAGAAGTCCTTGAATATTTTTGAAAGCTCCTTGAATAAAAATAGCCGTTGCTAAAAAAAGATGGAAAGCACAGCAAATAATTCATATACAAATTTTTTTGGTGATCATGAAAGTGTGTCTTCTCATATTTTGGTCTTCCCGGTAAAGTTCTTTTTCCGTCATTGAGCTAATATGTCAGTGGTCTAAGCTTATGTGTCTTTGTGACTTTGTGGCTTTGTCTGTTTTTGTCTGTTTGGATGTGTGTTGTAGGGGCCAATAAGGTTGAAGGTACTCTGAGTTGATTGCTAGGAACCAATGAGATATGGCATCTAAACATGACATTGCTGCCCCAAAGGTCAAACAAGGACACTTTGAGACCACCATTTTAGTGCTTCACAATTTTGTCGTCTTTTATTACGGCTAAAGGTGTTTAGAAGCATAACATTTAAATAACTTCATGATTCAAAGACTGAGTACAGTGATGCGGCTGTTTAAGGGTTCATATTTTAGTGTGGCTGCTGGTTCTAGACATTTAGGACCTAATTCTGCTATTGTGAACGATGCAGCGTACATGAATTCTGTTTCACCTGCTTCAACGTGAAGTACAAAAAATGATAGTTTTGAAAGGTCTACAAATGAAACGTTAATAATTAGTATTTAGATATTGACTTTAACTTGGAAGTATGCGTAATCTTTTTTAGAAGCTTTAACAAGAGCGGATTTTTTTAAAGCTGTAACAAGTAAATTAATATTCCGTAAACATACTTTATTCTCTCTTGTACAAAGTTCAAGAGACCTTTAAATTCACATTCCAGCAACTTAAGTGCAACCATATCTGATACATGTTTACCATCATAAAAGTAATTAAAACATAGTATCTAATTTCCCTAGCGGCTAAGTAAAGATGCTCAGCTTTTGTGTTAACCAGTAAACTTGGAAGTAGCCAGTTGACGAAATAATTAGATTACTAGATTACTGTATGATGCCTTGAATTGAACCATGAAAGGGGACAAAGTCCAACACTTTCACGTGCCAGCTGTGTGACTGTACATCTCATGCAGATTGGCTTTTAACAGTAATAATAGTTACTTGAACGTAAGAAGACCTGTTTCATTTTGTAACTAATGCCTTAAAAAAGGCTCTTGTCTTTTAAGAAGCAATAGCTTTTAAAACATGAAGAATTAAGTTGTCAGAGTTAAAGACTGTTTCATTGAGTAGAATCGCAAGTGAAAACCTATTTGGTATTTGATGAGCCACATTTTCGTAAGAAGCTCTGAGGAAACCTTAGAGTTTTCCTTCCTATCAACGTTTGGTGAGTTGATATTTTATTTATTGTACTTTAACAATTTGTTTAACTTGCACCAGATGTATCAGGGAAAGATGGAGGAAAGTGAATATATGAGGATTGACCCAGCCGAGCATTTCGCATTTTCATTTATGTACTGCAATACCCAATTTCGCAAAAAAAAGCCAGTCTATATTCAGGAGGAAAAAGGTAGATTCATCACTCTTGGTCAATTACACTGAAGCATTCAAAATAGCTCATGCACGTTAAACGTGCCTATGTTTTGAAGTAATTGCAATCATTGCAATAAGTGAACCCTCCTCCACCTATGCATGTGGAAGTATATTTCAATATTGGTATGATGAAGGCGACACAGTCAAAAGGGAAAAAGGGCCGGTGGCTGTACAATACGAAATTGGAACTTGAGGAGATCAAGGAAATGAAGAAGGGAAGAGTAGATTTGGATATTAAGTCTCTGACTGAAACACCAGACAATCTTTGCTTGAAAGCAGATTCCACTGGCAAATTAACTTGTGTCACGCAAGCCAGCTTACTGAAAAAAACTGCCAAGTAGAAAATGCAACAGTTTGCTGACTTGGATGCAAACATTAATGACAGTGTGTAAAAGCTTAAACAATAGTCATAGTCAGACTGTGTCTGTAATAGACACAATCTGAACATTTTCCACAGGTTTGTAATTTTACTTCATGTCATTCTATCAGTATGTCAAATTCTGGAGAAAAAATGATTTTGTTCCTTGAAAAAAAGCCTATCTAAGCCCATCTATTTGAAAAAAGAAGTTATAGACTCTTTTCTTCCCCTATTCACTGGGTTGTAGAGCCACCTGTATGGATGTATTATCCTGATTTTTGATGTTTTAGGTCATGGTTAAAGTTTGCATGTAATTTTGTTTTCCTTTTTGGATTGACCTGAACTAGATGCTTAACTGTATGAACTAGGGCTTCCTTTGTGAAAGTTTTCTTGGTGTAGAAATGAAAAGTATGCTTTGTTGTTAAAAATGAAAATTCAATTTTGTACTTTTTTGATAATATGGATGGATCATGAATAGTTACCATAAACAATCATGTACAAGCCGCTAGAGAGTAAACAAAAATGAGTAGCCCAAGTTATCATGCAAATAATGTGTAGACAGGTCTCTTATCTTAAAGGTAGTTCGATGGACTTCATTAATTTTGTAGAAAGCAAAGTCCAAAAGCACGCTATCATTGCTTGCATGGACATGTAACAAATTTATACACCAACATTCCATAGGAGAAAAGAATCAACAGTATGTGCAAAGCATATAACTCTTACTTTAAAGATAAACTTCCAATTCCAGCACAGTCACTTAAAGAAGCACTCAGACTGATGATAACTTATCTGAAAAGAAAACTCATTCCACTTTTTTATCTAGGTTCATTCCTGTGAAATACTGTAGAACATGAAGTGAGTTTTTTGTCAAACTTTTACCAATTGTTTTTTTTTTATGCTGTAGACAAAGTAAAGTTTTAATTAAAATTTGTGTGTCTCCATACTCGCTCAGGAGCAGGACCATCTTTTACATATGCAATGATTTCTCAAAATACCAATATGATTATATTTACAAGTACATACTTTGAACATGTTGCCAACGATTGTTTCTTTTTCTGCACTGAAATTAGTCTATTTATTCTAGAAAAAGAAAGTTATGGCTTAGTTATTTGTTTATTTTTTGAAAAAAGAGAAAAAGAATCTTTAATAGTTCACCACAATAGCCGCCATGTTAATCACAGTAGATGTGCAATGCATTACTAAAGAATAACCTTAATCGTGTTGCTTTCATAAAATAAATTGGTGAGTGTAGATACAGTTAAATGAAAGCACTCTAAAGCCAGTCGGTGGGAAAAGTTATATACATGTAGACAATTCTCCCTGGGACACCAGAAGAGGAAAAATAACACAATTCACCAATTTACTGTGGAAACCACTGAAAGAATCTCATTTCTATATACAATTGTGTACAAATGGAAAAGATTTTAAAGCACATCAACTCTCAACATAGGGACACATTTTAAGCCAACTTATTACCTTTTTTGCATAGACCATAATGCACCTTGTGTACCCCCCAGTTTTGCATAACCATTGTTTCCAATTTCGCCGGGTCTATGTGGTGAATACACACTTCTCATTCTGCCACCCATTAGGGATCCAGAGATGTTTTATCAAATGCAAAGGCAAAGCTCCAGCTACTTAGAGCAAATTCCTCTAAAGAGAATTTTCCAAAAGATAGGAAGAATTCCAAAAGCATCTTAGTGAGTGAGGGTATACACAAAACTTAAAAAAAGAAACTCTCTCTTTTACTGCATTCTGAAAACAGAAAAGAGGCACTCTAACAAGAATCTTAAAGAGAAAAGACCATTCTGCCCCCTTTCTCTTGAGTCAATGAGAGCAGACAGAAACACTCTGTCTGGGTCTTTTCACAGTTTAAGGTTGTTCTTCTTATAGGTTTACTATGAACAACGTGTACATTAGGTAACTACATTTCACTCATTAGAAAATGACAGTATTCATTCTTGTGATCACTGAGTTTACTAAAAACATATGGCTTTGCTTACCTCAGGCTTGCTTTAAGTGCAAGCGGCCAAGGGCCCTGCTTTAGTCTGCTGGCCCATTTTACCCATACTCTTACACCTTGCACATGCACTATATATGCCAGAGGGTGAATATTTTTAGCCCGTTTTTAGACTTGGATCACCAACCGAGTAAGAATGTCTCCTTTGGTTTTGCAGCAATGTAAATGTTCAAATTGTGAGTTTTGGCTACTTGTGCTTTTACATCTGCCTTCAAATCTGTCTTTATTTTAAGTCGTTCTTGTGTATAACTATGAAACTGATTAGGGTACCGTACTTCCAGTTATTTAGAATGGTCAATGAATGTAATTTGAAGGATAATTTTCAGTTGGTTTGCTGCAGTACCGGAAATTACACATACACACTGTCTTACCACACCAAGACTATCTATAGTCACAGACAAACGTAGTTGGGAAGGCTGTACAACTGAACAGTAGTCCATTTTAATCCTCAAAACAGAGAGTTTCTCTTTTGCTAAATATCAACCATCCTATTCAGTGTTGGGTTATAACAGTATACATTGTATGGTAATTCTATTTTTTTGCTGTATCCTAACAAATATCATTTCATAAAATTTTGTTTCAATGTAATGTATCTCTTGTTTTCAGGCCTTGTCCCGCCAGCGGTGAGATCTAGAGGAAGCAAATCCATAGCAGCTTATATGAGAGCCTTAAAGAATGGTAAAACAATGGTTGTACCTGTGCGAGTTATTTTAATTGGTGCAACTGGAGCAGGAAAGTCAAGTCTGCTGAATGCCCTACATCGGAAGTTCAGCATGGATGTACCACTAGACAAGGATGAGTTAACGGCTTGGAGTGAAACTATTTGGGAACTTGTCAAGTTTCCTGAACGATCTTGGGTGCCCTTTTTGTTAGGAAATGTCAGTAGCGGTGGAGATTTGCCGCTTCATGTCAAGGAGTGGCAGCCTCCTAGTGGGCCCCACATGGAGTCGCCTGCCGACCTTTTAAAAGGTAATGCAAATAATCTAATGTATACGATTTGAAGATTATCTCTTGGACAACCAAAACACATCTTTCATTGTTTTTGTTTTTTTGGGATTGAAGTTACTAAACACATTTTTGGTTCTTTTCAGTAACATGTTGTGTTCATTATGAACAGGGCCTTCCAGAGAGGTTGATGAATCTCTCTTTTTTGTGTTCCTTGTTCTTCTAACCTGTGTACATTCCTAGTCTTAAAGTACTCTGAAAAAGATCTACATGTAATGTTTCATGAACTAAAAGTAGTATTTGTGCTAAGTCAAATTGGTTCTGTTTTTTTATTTTCAATGAGTGTAATTATTGTATATCTGTGTACATGTACATGTATAACTCTGGTTCATGTTAAATGTTGCAGTTATATTGATGCATTTCTGATGAGTACATGTCTCCTGTACTCATGATGGGGTTTTAAGTCGGGAATATCTTTGTCTTTGTTTCCCCCTGGCTATTAAAGCTTAAAAGGGGCCAATGTATAAAGAGCACAGATGACAATTTTGTAAGAAATAAAAAATCGCCAGCTTTTCGGATGCCGGCAAATTTTGCAATGGAATGCCTTGATCCAAGAGATTATGATGGGAAGATATCTATATTTTCCAGGGATCCATATTCCCAGTTGTCTGGTCATCCCAGACAACTACAGTCTCTTACGGACGATTAAGATAACTTCAAAAGTCGCCCTTTGGACGAGTGAGGTTTTGCTCAACCACAAAATCTTTTCAAAAGTTCTTGTATGATTTTATGAATTTTCCCTGTGTTTTGATTACTTCTCTGATCCACTTAAAACTTACGCTAGTGGAGAATAACAAGCAGCTTTAGTCTGCAATGAAACCGTAAGTTTGGGCTCCATCTTTGATGGTGCAGCATTTTCTAAAAAAGGATCGCAGCCTGAGTTTTTTGTGAAGTACTGCATTCAGAGGCCATTTGTAGAAAACGTGACAGAAATCATTAACATATGGCGTTTTTTAGAGGGCATTTCGTCGCGTTTGGCAGAAAAAAAAAGGTGAAGCAGAACCCAACGGTGCCTTATACGCTTCAAGATGTGACGTTTTTAGAAGACTTAGTCTTTTCGCAAAAAGGTGGGACAAGAGCTGCTGCCTTGTACGGGGGAAATTGAAGCGCACTGTCTTCACTGTCCGACTGTGGCTACTTACCACACGTAAATACACTGTGTTTAGCCTAGGCCAGTAGCCTGTTGTACTTTACAGTTTAGTTAAAACCCTTTCATAGTAACAATAACGGAAATAAATTCTAATCAGAAATGTTTAAGTTGCACACAACTTTTTCACCATTCTTTTAAGCTTACATAATTCTACACTTTTGTCCGTGCAACCCAAATTGTGAACGAACAATTATGCCATCAGTCCGTTACTTGTTTGGCTGACAACTCTGTGAAAAAATGAATATGCATCCCTCATTTTCATGAAGAAATTGCCCAACTGGTAGCAATGCAAGGAAAAAGTTAGGTAGTGATATGTTTCTTTCTTAAGACACTGAAAAAGCTATTGTCAAACATAAATTAATTCGCAGCAAAGGGCTGAGATTTAACCTTGGTATCTCTGGGCAAATAAGCTACTAGTCATCTTCATGCAGTTTTTACCAACCCTTATGCAAGGCTAAATTACCTGGAATACATTCTGTTGCATGAATGGATTGTCATTTGAAGGGCTTCACAAGAGCTTCCACGAATGAATAGCAGAAAAACCTCTAGTTTCTTTAGAGTCACTATTAGCTTGATGGGTCTCTAGAGTAAGTGCTCTCCTTTGACCACCATAGAGAGAGCACATAGGTGAAAAATTCACTGTATTGTATTGAAGCTGTGAGTCACAAACTAGCTATTGAAAGTAGATAGCTTGACTTGAACATGCCTTGGCTCTGTACAGGGTAAATTTAATAAGACTTTTACAAGTGTAGCTATTGTTTTTAGACTCCTAAACAATGGCTACACTTGTAAAGTATAAGTGTAAAAGTTTTATTAAATTGACCCCAGGTTGCACAATTGCAGTGGGAAAAATAGTTGCAGGTCGACTTGTTTCTGAAATACCTGATTTGTTTCTGGTCAAGGAATGCTACCTTACCTTGTCCATATATCTCTGTTATATAGTGAACTTGAGTGGAATTCTCTATTGGAATACTCAAGTAAAACTTTTATCGATGGCGTGAGTGCATTTTCTAGGATGAATCTCGCCATTTCGACTTGCTCTTTAGGAAACTTCCCAACTCAGCCTCACACTGGATTGCGAGCGAAGGCGTACTCGGGCCAAAGATTGCTCATTATCGTAATGCTGCTGCAACAACTGTGTTTAAACTTCCGAGAAGAGGCATGTATTTAAGTCCAATAATTATTCTACCTCCACTTTTTCCATTCAAGGTCGGATACTTTCTGGCGACTTCAAATTCCATCCAGGGGTACCAAGGAATAAATAAAATGAAAAAAAAAAAGACCACAAGGTCGATGCAATAACTATTTTCAATTGAGTTAAAACTTTCTTTTGTTAAGTAGTTAATCGAATAATTCATAGTTAAAATACCTGTAACAAAATTGTGTAAGAACTGACCCCCCTTGATTAGCCTTTGCTATCTGCAGGTCAAATCATTTACTGTATTATTGTTATATAAATTCTAATAACGTAAAAGTCAGTGTCTCTATGGCTGTATTTGTGCTTTGCTTACCTGAAAAACTAAGGTTTAAGGGAATTCAGCAATTCTTGAGCAACTTTTTGTTTTAACCAAAATTTATTTCTTACATTCTTTGTGCATTGGGCCCTTAAAATACTGAAAGAACATCTTTTTTCTCTGATATTCAAACTAGTATGTCTTCACATTTCTTCAGCACCAATTAATTGTTGCCACATGTTACTTAAATGTCCTCTGCTTCTGTTTTAGAAATGAGTGCAACAATTGATTCTGAGGAACACCCTTTGCTGTGTGGCTTTTGTCATGCCTTCCATCCTGTATCTGAGAAAGTGTTATGCGAATTTTCAAGTTTGGCCCTTGACCATGAGTTACCTCCAAACTTTATGCCAGGAGAAGCCATATATGTCCTGGTGTCTGATTTGAGCAATGCAGCCAGTATGGAATCCAATCTTGATCACCTTGTGAGATGGATGAACTCGATTTATTCTTCTAAAGATACCTGCACTGAAAATGTTTCAAGCCCTTCCCATCCCCAAGTAATCTTAGTGGGAGCACATGCAGACAAAGTTGTTGGTGATCCTTTGAAACCATTGAATGTCATCTTGGATAGATTTCGTGGAGAAAGGTTTTTACCACGTATTGTTGATGAAATGTTTATTGTGGACAACACCTTTGTTGGACAAACTCAGGAGGATGTAAATATTTCAAGACTGCGACAACAAATCATTTCCTTGGCCGCCACATTACCTCTCAAAAAGCAAGAAATTCCCCTGCAATGGCTTAAAATGGAGAAAGTACTTCATTACCTAGCTATTGCAGGATTTAAGTGTCTTTCTATACGACAGTTCAAGGATTTAGTCAAGGGAATATGTCATTTTGAACTGGAGGAAGACAGTCATGAGCTGTTGCACTTTTTGTGCGATCGTGATGCAGTTCAGTATTTCACCACACAATTAGAGTCGGGTGGCTTGGTTTCCCTGGATCCACAGTGGTCAATTCATCTGTTATCCATTTTGTCTGGCAAGGAAGGAGCTGTTAAGACTACGAGGTAAGGTAAATACCAACGCTTTAAATTCCTCTTGATTCTAAAGCTGGTAGTTTTTCAGCCTGAGGTTAATCAAGTGTAGTGTTTTTTTCTCGTATTTTTAATGGTGTTCTCTCCTTTATTTGCTCAAAATGTAAACTGGAATGTCTGAAACAAATCGTCCTCGTCCAGATGTGTTCAGATTGTACAATACCATTATTGTCATCTTCAAAATAGGTGTAAAAATCAGCACTAAAGTTTATCGTGTTAAAGTTTCTTTAATTTTTTTATTTCTTTATTAATTTTAATTTCTTGTTACATTGAATTTAGAAAAGAAATCGGGGAGAGAGACCTTTGTGAATCGCCGTCCTTAACCCATTCGCCCCTGAGCCGCCCGTGCGGATCCACGTCCTGTCTACTGCTTGTGACATCATCAGTTTTAACGGTCAAGGGCAACTTTGTCCGCTAACTTGTGCAGAGTGAAGAGATCTTTCAAACAAAACCAGAATGAGCACAATTCAGTCAAGGACACCAGAGAAAAAGGACAAAAACCATGTAACATTGACCTGAAAATCTCCATGAAAATCTTGTTCCATTGCCCACCTACCTTTCCTTTCACCTAATCCTAAGATCCTAAAAGCTTTCCTAAAAACTCTTCCCACCAAAATGAAGCCTACTAAGTGCCCAGCAAGAGAAAAAAAAATCAGGCAAGAAAAGCGAAAAGAGGGGAGGAGAGAAAGGGAAAAGTAAGAGTGTGTCACTTCTAAACCCAAAATGCGCGAACAGATGCCCGAACTTCGCAAGCTAATATTTTGCATCTAGATCAGAAGGCTGTGAAGTGTGCGACCTGTGAACGGTTTTGTGGTAAGTTTAAGGTGACTCGACCCAGTTTTTTTTTTTTTTTTTTTTTTGGGGGGTACCATCCTACTTTGAAGCTCTCTGGTATCCCCACCTTTACTTTTATCGTAAGTCTAACACATAGAATGGATAACATATAGATCAATCTACAATATAACATAAAATTTTTGGCGATCGGAGTAAATGTCACGTGGTTATAATGCCACGCCCCTTTGAGGTCTGAGTCGAAAATCTGCTGTTGCCGGCATTTTTTCGTGAAAATCTCTCGGCTACACATAGTGCGCATTAGTGCCTTGCGCTGAACAGAGTTTCACCAAAATCGCAAAGACCCAATTCGAGAAATTCAGCGGTTTCCAAATTTAGGTCATAATTTATGCGAAAATGATAAGCAAACTTTACACGGATTATATCTAGTAAACTATGAGATTCGTCCCTGTATTTTGGGCATCCTTATAACAGATGGGTCCTTGCAAGTCAGCAAAACAATTTAGGACCTTTTAAATGTGCGCGATTTCGAGCAAAGCAAACATATAGAAATTATAGTTTTCGCTATTTGTTGACATTTGTCAGCGTTTAAGAGTCAATCTCACGAAAAAATCATTTTATTAAAAATTCGTAGTTTATTTTCCTTCAAATTTTTTCAGGGCCACAATTGATTAACTAACTACCCGGACTCCGAATTTCATGGTCCTTGAAAAACTGTGACATTATCCTCTAATTCCAAACTTGAGTAAACATTGAAGATTTTTAGCGTTTTGGCTGAGTTTGTGCTTTGGGAGTTGTCTATCGTTTCCAGTCTGTCATGATACAGCATTCTTGTTCAGCACCCCTGCAATGACCGCGCTTTGCGGGGCGTGGCATTATAACCACGTGACATTTACTCTGATCGCCAAAAATTTTATGTTATATTGTAGATTGATCTATATGTTATCCATTCTATGTGTTAGACTTACGATAAAAGTAAAGGTGGGGATACCAGAGAGCTTCAAAGTAGGATGGTACCCCCCCAAAAAAACCGGGTCGAGTCACCTTAAGCTCTTTATAGCACGACAGTGACCAGAAAACCACTCGACTAGCTTCAAAACTTGTTTTTCGGCAAAATCTCCAGGAGCGAATGGGTTAATCTTGCCTATATGAGTGTATCTTGCCTACAGGGGGCCAGGTGGCGTCTGTACAATAGCCGAAAAACCTTCCACGTAATGTCCACGCTAAAATCCAGAAAAAAAAAATATCTGAGAAAGCGTTGAATTCTGTTCGTCCTTCTCTTTTATTTCCAAAAGCCACCGGCAGAGAACAACCAGAGAGCCAAAGTACAAGTAAGCATATATAAACATGATAAATGTGATAAACTGTCCATAAAGGCTGAGGTTTTCCCCAGGGAATCTATTCCAACATTCATTCACCAATCACAACACCGGAAATAACTTGTGTCGTGGCATTTACATTACAACCAGAGGCTTTCCCCCACATTCTGGGTAAATGGGAACACGGTCAACGACGGCGATTCACAGACGCCTCTCTCCCCAATTGTTTTCTAAAGGGGAGGGGGGCGTCTTTACACAGGCTAATTGAATTGAAAATAAGTCAGAGGCACCCAACGAGAATATAGTTCAAAACCACTTAAACATAGCATTGTTAAACGTATTTTAGTATTAAAACGGTAGATATGGGCATATTTTTATCCCCTAAAAATTTTTCATCTGTTCGGATTTCCTAGCTGAAAGTCTAGTGATTCGAAAATTATAGGGATCAAAACTTACCTATTCGAAAATTTCAGCCAGAAAAAAGGCTCCCGAAAATTGTAGGTGACCTTTTTAGGGTAAAAATCCGTTAAAAATGGGCAATTATACCATTTTTTAGATGTTCGAAAATCCTAGGAGAGGCAGACAAGCAAGAAATTTTGGAAAAAAAGTTCCGAAAATTTTAGATCTCAAATCGTCTTCTGAACAGATATTTTCCGAAAATTGTCATTGGTTGGGTTAGGGTTAGGGTTAGTATGTTAAATCAAATGGTGGCGAGTGAATCAGGGAACAAGTTCATACACTTTCACGAGTATACCGGACAAGTTACTTTCACAGTCGTAGGTTTTTGACATAGTTCATAAAATTGATTATTGATCCAGAACCCCACTAGAAGCCTTCTTGATGTGCTCTTTCATGTGTTTAGGTTTTCTTTAGTGTCTTTTAATGCCTTGACTTCGTCATTTTTCTTTACTGCCATCTTGGCACTGACACATATGGATTGTTGTCATAGCAATTGTGAATTATAATAAATGAATGCTGAAATTTCGCACCAAAGTCAAGGAGTAATTTGTCATCCATGATATGAGATTGAAACATCAGATTATTACCTACTACAAAGAAACGGTCTGCAGGTTTGTGTGGTTGATTCGAATTTCTCCCATTTACTGTGAAAAGGGCAGTAAAGTAGGCTCTTCTGCATGCTACGGAACAGCTGTTTACCACCTTCCTGCCTTTTGTCGTCAGGAAAAACAAGATCGTTGACATACTGTTCATAACCTTACGTTCTATCTTCAGGTAGTGTCGGGAATCAGCTGAGATTTTATAATCGATCATCGGAAATAACATTGCATTGACCCAACTGACCAATGATCAATTATAATCGGAATAATCTCTTCATAAGAATTTTATACATTTTCCACAGTACAAAGTACATGTAATACGAAGTTTTTTTAGTCTTTTGACTGTGGGCAGGTTTTGTTAATAGGGGGCTTAAGCAAAAACGTATTTGAGCAACACAAGTGAACCGGAAGTATGATGCTACCGAGAAGTGCAAAAAGTTTACTTCTGGTTGACATGCGTAGCTAAAAAACATTGTTGCTTAAACCCCCTAAAAACAAATTAACAATCTTCTTTGTTTTAAATTTACCGTTTCATATTTTCTCTTCAAATAACACCATTAATACAAAACATTAATTCGCCATTATTAAGTCAACAGGAATGATTTGACATGATTTAAAGATAGAATGGTTTGCCATAAAGTATCATCATCGCTGAGCAGCAGTTTCTGTTTGACCTTCGAGGCATCACCAATACTTGATGACTGATGAACGAAAGTGACAAGCTTCCTCCCTTTACCACAAAGACGGGAACCTCTGGAACCTCTTAGACGCTTCTTTACTTCAAGACAAATTCTATGATCTCATTGGCAGCATTATCAGTGACTCTTTTTGGAGTCTCAAAGTTTCAGACTTGAAGAGTTTCTTTTAAACTAGCAGCAATTTTCCCTGCATTGTGGCTCCCTTCAGCTGTTTTTATTTTGTTTCAAGCATCACACTCTTCAACTCCCAGTCAGATGTAATTAGGTGTCTTGACACTGACTGTAACTCTTTGTATTTGCACTGGTCAATCCCCCATGAATAATCGTCATGTCAGGACAGTTGTGGGTGTCTGATCTCCTCTTTTTGCTTGTAGCTCATATGTCAGTGGTCTCAGTGTATGTATCTTTGTGGCTTTGTGTGTTGGTATGTGTGTTGCAGGGTAATGGACTGCTAATAAGATTGCATACACTAAGTAGGACTAAGATCCAATGAGATTTTGGCAGCTAATTGTAAATAATTTTGGTAAAAGTGACAAACAGCTCCCTAAAAATCTCTTGGTTTACTGTTGACCAACATTCGGCCAATAAACAACCAACAGTCGGCCAACAAGCAATCAACGGTTGGCTGAAAGTATTCCCATTTTAAACAGAAAAGTGTTGGCCGACAGTCAGTTACTAACTGTCAGTCAACTGTTGGTCACTTGTCGGTCATCTGTCTGCAATCTGTTGGCAACTGTTAACACACTTTTTGGTATCATGGAGCTCTTGGTTCAAATTGTTTGGGCATTTGCAAACAAATCTATCTTGGAAATATTTTCACCTCATTTCAACCTGAACGACGTTAGTTACATCTACCTGGGTTATGGTGAATCACGTCGTGCATCCTACAACTGGGACCCACACTAATACCATAGAGGGCCTTTGAAGCCAGGTGCAGAAAAAGCTGAAGAGAATGAGTGGCACCTTCAGAGAGAAGCTCCAAGGTTACCTCTCAGTTGATGAATTCAACTGTCAGTGACAGTACCCAGGAAACCACTTCCAAAACATGCTTATGCCACATTGCCGAATTGCATCCCGCTAAAAAAAACGGCCGTTTTAGGAGCTTCCAGATAAAAGACAAGTCAATGACCAACACCTTCTAACATACATGCTTGTTCTATTTTTTTTTATTTATTGAGAAACCAAATTATTCAAAATCTTTCAGTTTTTTGCAAACCATTGTGTTTGCATAACAACCTGAAAAAGCTGAACTGTTGGTTGACAGTCCACTGACAGGCAGCTAACAGATTTTTTAGGGAGCTGATCTTCAATTTTACGAAAATTTCACTGTCAAAAGTCAAACAACGGCTCTTTGAGACCGCTATCTTTTGTCTTCACATTTTTTTTATCTGGTTAAAGGTGTTGAGAACCAAATGCATTTAAGGTGGCTGAACACAGTTTTGGCAGTTTGTGAGTATATGTCATTTGCCAAATCATGGCAATGGAAAGGTTGCAGCTCACAAGCTGAAACTTGGCAAGTGAAAAATATACTGATGAAAGATTTTGAATGACAGGTAAAATTTGACATTTTCGTAGTTTCCATGGCAACAAGAACAATTGAATGCAACCTTAAAATTTCGCTTTGCTCAGTTTACATAAAATTTGCTCATTAGATTTTCCTATAAACTTGCACACAGCTTACTATAATTAATCATTACCATTTGAAACTTATTTGACCAAATTTTAACAGATGGGTTTTTAGATAATCAATAATATAATTTTACTTTAATTATTAAATGTGTCACAAAATTCATCTGTTCAACTTCCATTTTAAAGTTCTCATTATTTAAAATACGATAAAAGCAAGAATTCTGCCAAATATCACAAAATTTTAATGAGTAGATTTTGTGATATCGTCGTCTGTGTACCATTGCTTTTTCGTCGCTATGTTTGTTTATCTAATTTAAAACACGCGCCGTCACGCGAGTTACTGCTGACTGCTTTCAAAACTGTGTTCAGCCACATTAAGCATCTTCCTGCTTTAAATAATGATTACAGTGATATGCTTGTTATGGGGTTCATATTTTGTTTTGGATGTTAGCTTAAAAAATCCATATAATTATATTCAGTTGTGAACAGTAAAACATTTATCTTTTTTCACTTGCCTTACCTTGAAGGGGCTATATGTAAGCTAAAACGTTTTTCGCATCAATGGAATTCCAACAATAATGGTCCAATTTTGTTACTGTAGACTATAATTATTTAGGCAATGAAACTATTCCCTGCTGTTTCATGCAATGGATGGCAAGGATGGACAAGGTCTGAAACTTGAAAAATTAAAGGCAATCTTTTCAAGTTTAAATGTTAGTGCTCCCTGATGAAATTTTTTTATATCTTCATAACTCTATGGGTATATTTTGCATATCAGTAAAGGCAGTGAGTAATGACTCCAGTACAGAATTGACCTAAAACAGTACTGTAATATACTTGTGACACAGCCGCTTTAATGTTGAGAACCAAAAATGTATAACTGGAAGGCATTGATATGTATTAAATAATGGAATAAATCAATCTTATACTCTCTTTATTTTCAGAGCTGTCACAAGCCGATTTCCTTTTACTCTGCAGGGGCACCCAACGAGGATATAGTTCAAAACCACTTAACATAGCATTGTTGAACGTATTTTAGTATTTAAACGGTAGGTATAGGCATATTTTTATCCCCTAAAAACGTTTCATCTGTTCGGATTTCCTAGCTGAAAGTCTAGTGATCCGAAAATTATAGGGATCAAAACTTACCTTTTCCAAAATTTCAGCCAGGAAAAGGCTCCCGAAAATTCTAGGTAGCCTTTTTCAGGGTAAATATCCGTTTAAAATGGGTAATTATACCATTTTGTAGATGTTCGAAAATCCTAGGAGAGGTAGGCAAGCAAGAAATTTTACAACAAATTTTCCGAGAATTCTAGTTCTCAAATCGTCTTCCGAACAGATATTTTCCCGAAAATTGCCGTTGGGTGCCCCTGACTCTGGTCTTACTCCACCTGGTAGACTTGTCATTTTGTGAATACCAGTACAAGTATAATGGCCCTCTTTCTACATGGTCAAGTTTCTTGTAATTCTTATTTTAACACAGACGAAAGCTCATGATTTCAAGGTGCTTATCAAAGTCCTTATTAAGGTCCATTTTACAGTGCAAGACATCTGAGCTCAATTAAAACTTTCTTGCCTTTGATTTCCCAAGCAGTCAATCACAGTCTTTTACTGCTCATGTGGGAAAGCTGAGCCAAGCAGAAATGTGTCAATATATCTTGTATTCCTCATGTTTCAAATGTAAAATGAGACAGACCTGATGCAGCAAAACCAGCAAAACACAGACAGCATGTTTTGCAATTCTATAAAAACTGAAGATCTAGGTCGCAGAATTCTCACAGGCTGTCTTGTTGATCACAAGATGCACCTCACAAACTAATAAGTAAGCAAGGAGAAATCTGACAACAGATTTCGCAAATAATAAGATTGCCACTTGCAAGGTATGACAGTTAATTTCTACTTCTATCACCCCTGCAGAAATCTGACAGCATTTCTTACAAATCATTAGATGCATTTCACAAACTGTGGTAGGCAACCCAACCATGTAAAATCAGACGGCACTTTTTGCAAATCATTAGAGACTTATCACAAATTTACGCATCTGGCAGGCAATTGCATCTTCTGTGATGCCTGGCCCCTGTAGAAATATGACAACATTTTTTGCAAATCATAAGATGCACCTCAGAGACTGTGGCAGACATTTGCAATAACATTCTATGACAACTGAGCAAGGCAGAAATCTGACAAAAGATCTTGCAGTTCTTTAGCGGCAGCAATCTGTGTCCTTACAGTAGACAAATACTCAGTGTATGTCTGTGTGCTTGTTACATTTTCTGTTTTGCTGTTGGAAACAGGTTTAGGTGTGTACTTCATGCTGAGCTGTGTTTGGTTTTCTGTTTCTCTCATTATTTCCTAGAGAAAAAAAATCAGGCTTACTATTCTCTCCAATAACAATCATGATTAGCATGATTACAAACTGAATTGTGCGACACAATGTGTTATTAACAATTGATCATAACTATAACAAAATTTGTGATAATTTAAACTTTTTTAAAAATTAATAGACAAAACCTAAGAGTTTTTTGCTAGATGTGATGTGATAAAAGAACCCATTTTTTTTCAAGAGCGTGTGTGCGATGGCATGAGCTGTCCATTACACTGTTCTTAGATGTATACTGTCTTGATACACTGTCCTGTTAACGCTGAAAATCAGAGCTGCTGACAGCCAATCAGATAAGAGTATTTTGTTATAGTTATGATTAATGAAATTATCCTTCCTGGTTTTAACATTACTGCTCTGCTTTATTGTTTAGCCCACTATTAGTAACGTGACATTGATCACGGCATTCAAAATGCTTCAACTTAGACTTGGAGGTAAAAGTGAACCATTATTAATGTGACCACAGTGCTAATAATAATCCTGCATGGCCAGTCATAACCGTCATGTGATGAAGACCAGGGTGTATGCGTTCCATACATCATGATCAAAAATCAAAGTGACTACCATTAGACAAAATATGAGGTATCATTAGTATCGTATTAAATTTTTACACCCCATCTGGTTTTGTCTGATGGTTCATCCGTCATGTTGTTTCTTTTCAGTGTTACCCCCCGTGATGGAAAAACCAAAAAACACTTCTCTGGCCCAAAAACGTATCTCTTGATACGGGGTACTCTTGGTTAAAATACCACCAACACAAAGTAGAAATGAGCAGAAATTTCTGGCAACCTGTACTTCAGACGTACACGTAAGATGAAAACGTTTTAATTACCAAATAAAGTTGCAGCTGGTCACATGCAGTATAAAAATCCTCCAAATGTTTTTCAAGTTTGTTGCTTGCACCCTCTGACTGAGTGGTTGATTTCCTGAAACATAAATATAATAATAAAAGTATAATATAATAACAGTTATCATTATACATGTATAATGCTTACTGTCAAACCTATAAAACCGTGAACACCAGAAATATGTCGGGACTGTTATTGTGTTGCAATAAAAAGCCAAACAGGAAGGCGTGAGAAACTAAACTGCATGAAAGAATGTTAATAATTGGTTTGTGGCTAGATTGCATTTCCTGATATTTGATTGGTTGTAACACAATAGACATTCCTGAAATATTTCAAGTTTACGGTTTTGTTGGTTTGACAGTAATGAGGCTTTTATGATACTTTTAGGAGTAATAAAACAAAATATACTCTTAATTCTGATGGAACAATACAAGGTTAAGAATAATAATATTGTTGATATGTTTGACCAGTTACATTAATTTCTATTATTAGTTTTTGAGATCTTAATTTCTTTCTTGGAAACATTAGCCTGAGAAAACAGTGGACGTAGTGGTAGTGTCACAAAATTTTGGCTGTTTTGTCAGGCAATGGAAATTAAGCTTGGAGTAGGCTTGATAACCAACGGCTCTACTCTAAAATTTGAGGTGAAATAAAGGTTATATGTCTTTATGTATTAATTAGTTACTTAGCTATTTTATAACTGTTATTAACAGTCGAGCTTGAATAAAATTTGTTGTTTTACTTGTTCTTGTTTCATTGTGGTTAAAAAAAATTCTGAAAGATTTTGCTCCTTATGCCCTTCAACATCTCTTTTCAACAAAAAAAATAAAAGAAGCCAATATTTCACGATCTTTGGGAAAAAGTCCTCCCTCAAACGCTTAATTTAATTGAAAAAAAGATTCTATATTGACGTTAACACTACGTGTATAAATTTTTACATTCTTCCTATTGCTGTAATTGCAATATTATTTCTTAGATATCATATTACATGTATGTTACAGTTAATTTTTTATTTCTTTTAATTTTTGTTTTTCCTTTGTTTTTGGTTTGGTAATGTATGCTAATAAATTTCAAAGAAAGAAAACGAAAAATTAACTTAAATAGAAAATTAAAGCCAGATGTTCCTGCTGAAATGAACTTACACCTGTTGTGCTGTTCTCTTCATTAAACGTCCTTACCAGGCTACCACTGTTTACAACTTTTAATAGTTTAAACTTAAAAATACACTTACATTCGAAGATCAACTTCTGCATTTTGATTTATAGCATCATTTGCTGATTTCATCACTTTCTGCAAAGCATTTTTTCAAAACATTAAGAAAGAATGGCTAAGTGAGGATGTTCTGTGTCTCAGTAGTTTAAGAAGAAGGTTGTTTTCTGAAATTTCAATTTCTTAAGAGTGAAAACACAAAGAACAAATTAAGAGGAGAGTTCTGTCATCAATATACAAATAGGGGTGGTGAATACAGTTTGTCTGATGAAGAGTGCCGTGCCGAGAGAGTTTGTATTTGTTATACAATATACACTTGGGGGCTATTAATTGTGTACAAAAGATGGGGGAATTTATTAATATGGGTAGTCTGCATTGTTCTGGCTCTTCCCACATTCACTACACGAATGTCGCATTCCAGTTGATTAATTTATAACGTGTTGTTCTGGTGTGATTCTGGCATGTTTGTCTCGAACAAAATGGTCGTCACGCAGTCATGTTTTTTTGACAATGCTGATCGAGAAGCTCTTCATTTATTCCAAAATTTTCCAGATACAGAGGAAAACAAGAGAAGTGTTTAAATTTATTGCTTAAGAGGGAGGAAGGATGTCCTTGGATTGCTTCCAACTGGGTTTGGAAAAAGTCTTATTTACCAGTTTTTTGAAATAAAGCATTGACAGGCCAAACAGGACTCATAAGGTCATGACAATGTCAAACATGACCTAAGAGTTTGCTTAAACATCAGGTTTTCCCTCTTTTCTTTCCCGCCGTTGTGTTTGAACATTCTTAACTTTGACTGCAGAGCAAATCTTTGCTGCACAGAGTCTTACATTTAGAGGGATTTCAATGCACTGATGGCGCTACTATTGTTTCCTGTGGTTTATGTGGGTGTTTCTGGCAGCCAGAAAGGTGACAGTTTTTGTGAATAATGGATCATGTTTTGATTGGTCCTTTAGTCATCACCACTATCAGTCAATACTTGTGGGAGTAGGTGGGCAGAAGGGCCAGAACAATGGACTGGTCACAAGTGCTTGTCACGGAGATTTTACAACTCACAAAAAATGAAACGGTTCAATACAATTCCCACACTTGTCTTGCTGTGTTTCACGTTTCTTTTTCACCACCCGCCCCTTTCTTTCACCCGGTCTCATTCCAAGCCTCTCCCAGTTTTACCAGTTAAAACCATTTTGCATAGCGTATGTCACTCTCTCGCCACATATCATGCTACAAGCTTATACCTGCCAACTTTTTCTGAGATATAAGCGTGAGATTTTTATCCTGGGAGTGCTGGGATTTTTGAAGACGACACGATCATTTTCGAAGATTCCCGAAGAAGTTCGAAGTCTTCCGAAGAATTCCGAAGACGTCCGAAGTCTGCCGAAGGCGAAGTTATAGAGAAAACGTTTATCCACAAAATCAGAGATCGCGAGGAAGGTATTGTCATTTATTCATTTTACACATGGTTTTCGTTCCTTACATGGGACTGAGTTAACATATTTTTGGAAATTGTGTCAAGCAAGACGGCAACAACTCACATTTTTCAATCAGGCGTGAGAAATTGGCCCGCAAGCGTGAGCCGGCGTGAGATCGAAGTTTTCAACCCGCAGGTGTGAGAGTTGACAGGTGTACAAGCTTAACCATCACGCTTTTTCGAGTGAAAAGCTGCATTTGCCTCACTTGGCTCACAAAGAACCTCTTATGCAGGCTATAATATGGATCAATAGTCCCGGTTAATTGTCTATGGGTAGGAGGGTCTAATAATTTGGGGCAAATTTCTGGGGAAGGGGGTGCGAGTTGTTGGACTCTCGCATAACAGTGTACACCCTGCCAGCAGAGCCTCTTTTTAACAACAAAAAGAGGCTCTGCTCACAGGGTGAACAGTGTAAAATACAGAGCAGAAAAGGGTTTTTTCTGAAACTCGCCCACCATTTTGATGAGGAAATTACTACCACCTCACTTTTTTGTTGGAACTCTTTAAAAAAAACCTTTCCTACCCCATCATTTTTTGTCAGTCCGTTTGAAAACGGATTCCTACTAGTTGTCTGCAGAGGATACTCATCCATAGTGCCATAGTGTGGCCCAAGTCATTTCTTGCACCCCGAAAGAAAATCACAGAACTTTGGTGAGGAGAAGAGAGGAATGAGAGTAATAAATAATACATACAACAACTAGAAAATCAACTGAAAACCAATCAAATTTGCAGGAATTTGGTAAAACAGGAAAAGACCAAAAGTACAGGCTATCTACAGCTGTATACCGTCAAAGGCTTTCTTTGAACTCCATTTTTATCACAACGATATAAGCTTAAGTTCGTGCGAACTCACCGCGAGTGAATCTTTCACAATCTTGATATATTTCCCAATGTATTCCGCATCCATCCCTCCTGAGGTCGCCATATTGAATATAGTGTTCCCGAGGGTCGTCACTTGTTTCCATCCGCCAAACTGACGTGACGTCATCTGATCTCCGGTGAACATCTTCGGTTTACGCGTCGGCTTCTTATCGTAAAAACAAATATGGCGGCCACTGTCTGGTCTAGACTGATATATGCTTGTCAGTATACCACTCAAACTAGCGAATGAAGTGAGATTGTGTTTGCCAGGATTTACCTAACCGATCTACCTTGTGTTGTTTGGTTAAAAGGCAAATCTTAAGAGAAGGTAGGCCCGAGAAGGTATGATGCGAAAGCTACTATTGACATTTATAGTTTACGTTCAGAAAGTGGCAAGGAAAGACTTAAGCTTAAATTACTTTCTATCGAGCTCACTTCTAAAAGCGTTTCATATGGAGAGTATTCTATATAGAAAAAGATATTTCTGGTTTGTCAGCTTAATTCTCAAGCGACGTCATTTTGGTGGATGGACAAGGTTCCATCTATCAAACTGACGTGACAAATGTTGAAATTAACAAACCTCACTATCATTGTGTCGTTACAGAGTTTTCATTGAAATAGTCTATGGCATTACACGCCCAATTACTGCAGATTCTGTTAATTTTTCATTTATTTGGAGCTACATGTAATAAGAAACTCACACTTTAAGTACTGACTGCATTTATTTCGCTATTAAGTTTAGTCAGGGGCACCCAACGACAATTTTTGGGAAATATCTGTTCAGAAGACGATTTGAGATCTAGAATTTTCGGAACATTTGTTGTAAAACTCCTTGCTTCCCTGCCTCTCCTAGGATTTTCTAACATCTAAAAAATGGTATAATTGCCAATTTTTAACTGATTTTTACCCTAAAAAGGTCATCTAGAATTTTCGGGAGCCTTTTTTCTGGCTGAAATTTTCGAAAGTAAGGTAAGTTATAAGCGTTGACAGGCTAAACACGACTCATAAGCTCGTGATAATGTGAAACGTGACCTTGAGAGTCTGCTTGAACAGTGGTTCTCTTTCTTTTTGTCTCTCTCGCGAAGGTTACTAGCACTACACAGTGCATGACTTGTAGCATTCTAAACTTTGACTGAGTAAATCTTGTTTTTGCTGCACTAAGTCTTATATTAAGAGGTCATGAAATAAGTTTGTTACATGCATACTGAGTAATCATTTCCTGTGGTTTATGCTTCTGTAGGTGTCCCTGATAGGATTTGATTTCACATGCAGTTGTAAAGTGTTTTATATCCTTTGACCTCTGTTTATTATGGCTGAATAAAGATTTTAGTTTTTTTGGATTTCTCCGAAATGACTGTGTCTGATTAACTACATGCATGCATGCAAGTTTCTTTGTCCGTGAATGTGATTATTTCCTGCCATATCAGTATGACTCTGGGCCCAGCTCTATAGTGTGGTTTGCAGGATTTTGAATTTCCATGGATAGTGCGATCTTCAGACTGTAGCTTAAACTAAGCTACACCAAGTTTGGAGAAATATATCGTGCGTCAGTCAAGATAATTCTCTTAGCGCTCACACAATTCATTTAGTTTTTCTTAACATAAGTGAGTCTTTGAACTGGAGCGCGATGTCTTGTTGTTCCTTCATAGGTATTTACTTAAGTTTTTGCTTAACAGTCGTCTATGCGACTGTTATGAATTCTTAAGTAAGACTGCAGTTTCGGAACTATAGCGTTCCTCGTCAGTTGCTACTATGGTAAAGTCTTAGGTACAGAAGATAAAGCACTATGATGGATATACTGATACCTCGTATGGCATCAACCTAAGCTTGACTTTAAGGTTTCGCCCTCTAGGAAGTATCCAGATTTGTAACTGAATACCTAAAGTCATATTTAATTTGGCCTGGTTTTCCAGTCACTAGGGAGGATCAAGGTTAACTTACAATTTTATAGAAATTGTTACTTATTCCTTCAAAATCTTGTTTGCCTACATGTACTTGAATACTTGAATGGCAAGCTGTAAAAATGATTTTCTTTGCACCCTGCTTGAATGTACAAGTCTTTATTTACATTTAGTTTCACACTTTGAGAATATTGGCCCAATGTTGATTCATCCGTACCTGTGAATGTGTTCTCAATTGCATGGATCTCTTCATGACAGAAGTCAGTCATGAAAAATTGGGGCTTCCAGCTGGCATTCCAATCATGGAAGATTCCTAGTGCTTCCTGTATGGAGGCTGTAGTTTCCCGTTGAATTATGAAAGACCCCACAACTATGTAATTTACATTTGTCTTTACCACTAGGAGAAATAGAGGGAGCTCATATCTCATTGTCTTGTAGGTTGCATCAAGCAGGGTGATCTCATTTCCGTAACGGATCATGAGTTGCTTTTGCCAGGCTGTTTGATGAGCAAACAAAAGATCATCTCACACACAATTTTGATCTGTTTCCTCATTGTTCATGCTTTCAGAAGCTGTTGATGAGGCTGATAGGGCACAGGGTCTAAAATAGAAAGAGTCTTGTGGGTTCTCCTGACACCAATTTTCAATTTTCTTTTCAAGGTTTTCCGGATCAGATTTGGACAGGATTTTTTTTACTGATGCCTGATACATGTGGTTCCTGATGTCCACATCTGTTGGATAATAGCGCCTGTTTGTTGATGCTGGTGGAGATTGCCCTGGAAATAGTTCAGTTTTTACGAATTGCCTAAGATGTCTTTTCATTTTGTCCACAGTTTTCACACCTTCGCCAACAAGCTCTCCAATCTTGTCTACAAGCCGTTTGTCGATGGGCTGCAGAATGCCACCAATCTGGTTGTTTGATACGTGAGGAGAAAAATGAAAATGGAATTACATTTTTGACAGAAATATTTTGACAGCCATGCTGATAGTTGTAGGCACTGCTGGTACAATGTACACTTACATGTAATGAATGAAATGTCACTTCTGTCAACAACAACATTCAAAAAACAAATTATTTGGATAGAATAGCAACAACAAGTAACAAGTCCTAGACACTACTTGGACCTTTTTTCATGATCATTACTTCATTTACAGACCTAGGCTATGATTGTTAACACTACATAGCATGTAGCCACCCATACACCTGTTGTACTTTGTGACCTAGCCTTTGAGTGGAAGGACTGACTTGACTTTCTTTCACATGCCTTCTTGCCTTTTCATAGGAAAGTAATACCTGTCCGAAACTATAATTACCATAATGATTTATACATGAAAAACTAGAAGGTTTATATGAAAATGACTCAACTCTTGTCCCACCCATTCAAAGTGTTTTTCCCTAAGCCTTCAACTATTACTCAAACAAAAAGAGCCAAAAACAGAAGTTAATATTATTGTTCTCAAGTTAAGGTAGTGTCCCAGTTCTTTCCATTGACATCAACAGACCTCTCCAGTGATGTGATCTTTGTGTTCATCCTCCTTTGGTAATTGGATATAAATTCTGCGTTCCACTTGGGGTTTCTGTCTGCTGGTTATATCAGTCTTCTGCTTTTTGGACATGTCCCTTCTTAGTCTTTCTGTGTCATCCCTGATCTAATAGAGTTAAAAGACAGTAATAAGATATGAAATGAAGGGATGTATTTTACTGAGCGGAAGTATAATGTCAATTGCTATTATCACTATTGTGATGGTGGTTTTGTACCTTGTAATTGCAATACTTTATGACTTCTGATAAACGAATACTTGCAGGGCAGCCAAACTTCATTGTGTCTTGAGGTAGAAACCTCCTCCTTTTGAATGAGTGATCATCAACCTGTAGTTAGAAGATTAATATTATAGATTCCTTACAGTTTAGTGCTAGAAGCACCAAAAAGGCTGTGGCTGTGAAATAAAAATGCAGATATTTTTTAGTCATAACCAACATTCCTTCTCTTCAGAATGTCTCGCTTTAAATGACTTTTTCCTGTCTGGTCCATGTTGGCAGTCAAATACCTTGGTGCCAATTATACTGAATGGTACTCCATCAAATGGAATTTTGTCATCTTTGAAATAGACTTTTCTTTGCTTGGCAAAGGAATCTGTGTCATAGAAACAAGGAAAGTCTGTATTATGTTTATTAGGGCTGTACTCTAGCAGTCCTCAGAGGCCCCTGGTGACTTACTGTTGCTTTCGGCAAGAAGGCAATCTTAGTTTTTGCCCAAAATTACTATGCTGGGCAGCCAGAATGTCAAAGGGTTAGTGTTTTGGGCTCCCCGAATTTTTTTTTCTTAGAGCATAGCCTTGTTTATTATAATTTTGATTGTAATCTGGTATGCAACCTACACCACAGTCAAGCCAATGTATTAAATGCACCCTTTGCAGATAGTACTCAGTCAACCATAGATTTAAAGATACCGTAAAATTCCGAAAATAAGCCCCTCCGTGTATAAGCCCCTCCAAATATAAGCCCCCCAAACTGGTAACGCAAAAAACCCTCCGTAAAATCGCCCCTCCAAATTAATATAAGCCCCCTGGGGGCTTTTACTTGGAAAATTGCCCTCAAATACAAAATAAAACAAAGCAAAAACGGTAAATTTACCTCTAACTATAAGGCTAGCCCAATCGATTTTGAAACGCGAATTTCCCTCCCGCATATAAGCCCCTCCAAAAATAAGCCCCTCAAAAAGGGCTTTTGAAAAATATAAGCCCCGGGCCTTATTTTCGGAATTTTACGGTATTTCATGTCTTTGATTCATAAATTGTTCATGCCATGAATACTACTGTGTTTAGAATATGCACATTCTACTCCAGCATATTCCCCCAACAAAAGAAAAATTTCTAAGATCACAGCATTGTTTATTATAATCTTTTGATTGTAATCTGGTGTGCAAGCTACACCACATTCTACTCCAGCATTCTTAACCCTATCATGTTACACTGCACTGCTAAAATCATAGCTGCTGATGACCAATCAGATTCAAGAATTTTTTTATGACCAACTTATTGTTTATGCACTTATCAACTGAAATCCCCCCTCCCCCACCCCCAGGACAGGGTGGGGATTTGACTTCATGTCAACTACAATGGTGATTAACCCCCATGAGGGGGCACTTAAACTTTTAAAGCCCCCACCTACAGTCCTGTAGGAGAAAAATAAAACATGGTAAATCTTGAGAAATCCCCAGCCCCCAACGGCAAAACATGCTGTCAAATTTTATCAAACACCCTTTGTTCCCCCACCTTGGCCCGGGGGTGGGGGGGTCTGCTTTCAGTTGATAAGTGCATAATTATTTTGTTGCTTCATAATTATCTTACCTCCAGCACCAAACATTTTGTCTCATTTAAAACAAGAGAATTTTGTTGTTGTTTCCAGTTCATATTGTCTTATTACAGTCATGGCTTCCTCAACTGATCCAACATAGCCAACAAACTTGTTCGTTGATCCTCTTAACTTCGCTTGCTAAGTACATACAGTAGCACTGTCTTTCTCACTTTCTACAGTATATGCCTTCAGCTGTGCCGCTACCTTCTTGGGCATTTGCCGGCAAAGCCATAACAAACGACTTTTGCTGAGTACTATAAACCGAGCAGTCAACTTCCAGATCTCATACACCCGGAAACTTTATTATTTTCCTTTCTAAAATGCCCGCCAAACAACAATGCTTAGCGGGAAAATCTTCGGAATTCCGAGACAGGTTTTCGGTACATTATCGTCAATTTTCGTGCGCGTTCGCCTGTTATTGAACGTCAGTTTCATGGATGGAAAGATACGCTATCTGTCACGCCATCCATCAAACTGACGTTCTCTACTGTGGCAAGCTTTAAGGGTATAAAATAGCTTTACCCTTGTCCAATTTACCCTAAGTTTTCAAAGGTTTATTGAAAAAAATCAGGACCCTGCTTTATGTACACAGAAAAACACAAATAATCTGCTGGACATACGTGGACCCACAAAAGATCATCCGCCATATTAGTTTTTACGATAGGAAGCCGGCGCGTAAACCGAAGATGTTCGCCGGAGATCAGATGACGTCACGTCAGTTTGGCGGATGGAAACAAGTGACGACCGTTCCCGAGATTCTTTCAGCGGTAGCTGCCATCAGGGTACCATAAGAACTAAGGCCATACATGAAGTACTTGCCATAAGATTTGAACAAAATGGCGGCAAGCCACGATGGTTTGCTTCGAGTGTCTTCTTGCCCGGGACAACTGCAAATGTCGTGTGCAGGCGATTTCCTCGCTTTGCCTCTTACAAAAACTATAATAGGTGTTTGGTGGCTTGGAGACTTATCAAGAAAGGTATGTTACTGTCTTGTTTAAATTATTAATATCCGATCTATGGTCTTAGTTACCGTGTATATACAGTCGACTCCCGATAACTCGAACCTTCAAGGGAAATGGAAAAAGGTTCGAGTTATCGGGAGCTCGAAGAAAATAGCCGGGAGTAAGGAAAAAAACAGTTTTTACTGCACAGTGAGCATTCTAATCACATTTAATTGTAAAAATGTTGAGTGAAAATTGAAAGATACTGTTACTTTGTTAGATTATAAATCAGAACATAAAGTAACAAAACGTTGCCTAAATAGAGCATGCATTTTACTTTTTGAGAAGTAAAGCTATTTCACGTTAGATTCGTGGCAAACAACATCAGCCTCCACTATCGATCCACTAGTAAACTATATGCCTACAACACGTCAATGGGAAATTCAAAATTCAATGTTTCGGAAGCAGTACACTCTTTTTTCCCGACTTTTTAAGGGCTCAAAACATGGTTCGAGTTATCGAGGGTAAAATATATAGAAATGATCTGAGGGGAGACAAAAATTACCCTCGAGTTAGCGGGAGTTTCAAGTTATCAAGGGTTCGAGTTACCGAGGGTAAAATTACAGTAAATGTATGACGGAAATCCAGGGGAAATCGATTTTGGTTCGAGTAAGCGCGAGGTTCGAGTTAGCGAGGGTTCAAGTCATCGGAAGTCAACTGTATATGTATGTTCCTGTTAGAACGCGCTGGTTTATACAGACCAGCTGGTCATATCACTGTTCTTCATGGATAGAATCGCTGTGCAGGATCATCAGAAGCTCTGTTGGTTTTGATTGCAACCTACCTTTTGATTCTTAAATTTCCAGTCCTCACTGTTTGAGTTAGAAGGAATGCACCTACAGCTGTACATTGTACATGTACATGTATGTAGTTAACCCTTCCCTCACCCAAAATTGTGCCCTAGGTAAGTAGTTTGTGTTAAACTTGAGTTAGGGGAGGGGTAGGTCAGAAGTTTACCAGTAACTTACACTGAATTTCTTTATTGTCTGCTTTGGAACAAATCAGCTGTTATATTGATAATGGGAATAATCCATTCTTTTTGGAGTCTCAGTGCCATAGACCTAATCACAGTTTTTGACACCATCCTGCTCAGTAGGCAGGCAGGTGAGAAATGGTGTCACCATTGATTTGTATGTCTGAGAATCTGATGTCAAATAATTTTAGTGAATAGGCTTTTCTAGAAAAAAAAAAATCCCAAAATCACTTTTTCAAATAGAGTGTAACTTGTATATTATATACAATTGTCTGTAAAATATTCCCTCCGACTGACTCAAATTTCCTGCAAATAGTTTGCTATAATTAATGTATGAAAATTCTGCAACAAGCAGCTTCTAGCTAGCATAGGTCTAGCTGTGCAAGAAGATACCTCTGCCTTGTAACATTTGTTTACAGTTCAATTTTTTTTAACAACAGATGTTATACACTGTAGCAAAATTATTCAACATCAGATTTTCACATTACATACCTAACACTGTAAATATCTTGCACATACTTAGCCATCAAGAGGGTATAAAAAACTGTTATATGGTCTATTGTCACTCTTGATATATTTGTGGTTAGGATGAAGTATTATTTTTTAAGTAAGTTGCCTGGAGCATGATTTTTTGGGTGAGCGTAGTTTTGGGTAGGACTATTGTTGACAGTGACTGATGTTTTGACAACCTGTGTGGTAGTCATCTTCACACTCAAAGATATTATCTTTGTCATCATCATCATCATCACCAACATGATCATCATGATTGTCATTTTTGTCATCATCATCATCATCAGCAGCAGCACTCTTCATGCCAGCATAAGGGTATCATGCTGTCTGTCCAATGTACTTTGTCTTTTATGGATGGCCTCTTTTACCCTTTGAGAGTTTCACTGTGGGTACTAATGTAGTCAATGGAGCACTGAAAACTGTTTCAAAGAAGACAGACTGCAAATCATTATCGATGTTGCTGGAAATATCTGTATGCCATAACTGTTCATCATTAGGATACCTACTAGTAACTATATTAGTGTATTGCAGAACCTCGTGAAGCTCAAGGGAGAAACCCATAAAATGTCAGGGATGAAAGGGGGTGGGGGTCCAAGAGAATTGGAGTACCATATTTCCTCGAATAATTGACATCCCTTGATTAATCAGCTCCCTCAAATAATCACCCCCCTTTGATGGAAATACTTGAAATAATCACCTTCTTCAAATAATCGCCCCTCCCCTGCCCCTCTTGCCATTTTCTCTTCCTTTAATCCCCTGTTTCAAGTTAAAGTGCAATGAGATTCAGCAAAGACCGTCAGCAAACTGGTCAGTGATGATTCAAGCTCTGAAAATTATCAAGGAACTAAATTTGGAACACTTAAAAAGCCCATGTTCATGTTATTTGACATGATTATTTTTGGATTTAATGGAAAAAAAAACAAAATATTTAGGGCATGACTTCCAGTGTCAGTGAGCAAGAATTATTTGAAATAATCACCTCTCTCGAGTAGTCACCTTCCCTCAAATAATTGCCTTCTTTTTGTGCAAAAAAAGAAATAATCACCCCCAGCTATTGTTCGAGGAAACATGGTAAATTGTGTAACTGGGGCGGGTGGATTTCAACACTGCCTCTAACAACGGAAAGTGAGATGAAGGTAATATCCTTTTTTTTGGAGTAAATTTGAACCCAATAATGTGCAATTCTATAACATTGGTTTCATCTCCAATAACAATTTATTATAATATTTTTAAGCCATTGCAGTTATCAGGACATAGCCAAGTGATTAGTGCAACTTGCTTTGGACAGAAAAACAGGCCCCTTCTCCTTTGCACAGCCTCTGAGGACTTCATCTTTATCTGGAACATTGACAGAATTCTTGCTGTTGATAACATAAGTGAGTGCATATGTTACAGGTCAAATTAAATTGAGGTTAATATTTTTTAACTTAGGTTGATTCTCAATTTTCTTTGTCTCCTAGACTAATTCCTGAATAATTAGGGCTAGAAAACAAAGGAAATTGGGAATCAACATAAAGGTTAAAAAATTTTAAGAAAGTTTTACAAGACGATAGTGTTGTAAAACTCAGTTAATGGAACATGTCGCATTTGGCCCTGTGGGGCTATGTACTTTACACCCATATATCAATAGTAACTTACATTGTTGATAAGTATAGTGACATTCTTGATAAAGTGAGTTTTGTGAGTGCATTAGCACTCCCAAAATTAGCAAAAGCAAGACCAAGAATGGACAGAAGTTTATAAGGATTCACTTTTTCAAAGATCCATAATATATAACTACAGTGTATACAGTATTGACTTGTATGACCATGCAAGACAAAAGAAAACAGAGATTAAATCACTATCTAGAAGAAAAGTATTTCTCTTTGGAAAACTTATTGTGTTAGCCACTGGATAGTGATTATTACATGGATAGTGTTATCCAGCTTTTTAACAACTTGGGCCAGTTTTTTTCTCCTTGTTCACGGAGAAAGGCTCTGTAGCAGAGTTCACCAATATAGTGATTGCATTGCTTTTAATTCCTAATAATTATTGATATCTTGTTCCATAGCTAGTGATCACAGTAGTGGTAGCCCTGTGGGCAAAGACCTTGGGCATGTCCAACACCTTAGTTTCAGTCATACAGACAGACTGTTAACAGTGTGCATTAAAAAAGAAATATGGGTCCTTAATATCCAGGTTAGTAGCAAACTAGAGTTGCTACACATTAGGACATACCAGTAGTCAGGGTGATAAAACCTAAGGTTATAGGAGAGTTGTATTCTATAAGATGACTCGGATGCCTAACAGAAAAATCCATTGGCAGGATAGTATTTTCATCTCAGTAAATGGCTTTCAGAAAAATGGCTTTCTTTTTTTATATTGACAAATTGCCACTGTGGCATGTTAAGTGTGAAAAAACATACGTTTACAGACACAATGTACATGTAGAACTGTATTTTTTTCTTGGATGTTTTTTTGCAAATCAATTATTGATAATGGGCTTGGAATGGACAGTTTTAGAGACTAGATTCTAGACTTGGGAATTCTTACTTTAGTTAGTGAAAAGTGAGAAAATTGGCTGGAGTTCTTCAAGATTTTCAAATAATTTGAAAATCTTGAAGAACTCCAGTCTATTGATATCAGCTTGACATAAAAAATATATATATTTCTAACTTGCACTAGTTAGTTTCACATTTAGTTTGCTTTAAACATTTTGAAGAAATTGTGGGAAACAGAGTTTTTTCATCCCTAACTCCTCATTATTTAATATTAATGTTTTGTACTATAAATGCCCTGATTAGAGTTTGGTGCTGTAAACATGAACTTGAAATTTTACAGTGAATTTTTTATTCATCTGATCTGTTTCTCGCTGATTTTAGACCAGCAAGTTGGATACTCTTTTGGAAGGACACACCAGCCTGGTGACTTGTGCACAGTTTTGCCCCAATAAAGAATCAATTATTGTGTCTATAAGTGAAGACAGAACATTTAAGGTTATGACCTTTTTATGTACTAAATAACTTTTTGTTGTCCCTGTAACAAGCATGAAGAGTGATCAATGCAGTGATGTTATTTGGCAACAAGCATGTGTCAGAAACAAGTGAACAGTGTTAGAATTATTGCTGGACACTGGAGAATGGTTAAAAAAATTAGATGCAATTAGGAGAGCAGAAGGTGGAGCCTGCAACTCCCATACTTAGCCTATGGAACAGTGTTTTCACCAATCAAGTCATTTTTAGCATCATTTAAGTTTGAGCACTTTTTCCCATGAAAATGGAAGCACTGTTCCATATGCATTTGCATTGATAGCATGACCATTACAAACAGAAGATGTATATGGTATCAAAACATCAGAAATACTTTTTTCTGGTCTCTGGTTCTAAATGACTGATTTGTAAGACTTACACTGTATTTGATATTCAAACTTTTTGGGAAAATCGATCTAAAAAATAAACTGGACTGTGTAAACACCATTGCATGGCACAAGGGAGTTTCTCACTCCCATTTATTAATATTTATTATTATTATTTTTATTAATTTATTTGTTTTACTAGCTCTTCAAGTTGTCCACAATATGTCGGACAAAACGTGTTTTTGTATGGGTGTTTGATATGGCTTACAGTCTTCAGCTTCTCAACATGTTCATGTAATTTATGAAATTAAACTTCACAGTAAATTACCACTTTCACTTTGTTAATTTATTAATTTTGTGAAATATTAAATGGTGTAAATAATTTTATAAAATATAAATTAATATAAATTACAAATTTTTTATGTGCATGCTTATTAGAGTACCTGATTACAATTTGCAGGTTTGGGATATAGATCAGTCATGCCTAGTCTATCAGTCAGCCATTTTGTCAGGTACAAGTCATTTAAGTGTTTTAAAAACATTTGATGCACCCATTAATTTTCTGGCCTTGTTAATCTCTTTTTTTATATTAAAAGTCTTTGCACCTGAGGATATACTTGGATGCAATTTTGATTGTGTCTTGTACACATGGCTTGTTGTAACCGATTATAATCCCTTTTTTTAAAATACATGTACATGTATCATGCTTTCAAGTTGACCCTTCTAAACGTCTTTCAGCTCATCCCTTCATATCTCTGGCTATTGATCCTGTCCAAGACCAGATGGCTATTGGCTCTGCAAATGGAAAGGTAGTAGTGCTTAACTGAGAGTTTCTTACTTGTGTTGAAGAAACCATCACCGGTAGCCAGACTGCATTGGGGAGTTGTTGTTGTTCAGTGTCTTCTTAACACTTTCCTTTTTACTAATATTATTATAGCCAAGGAACAAAAATACCAAAATTCATATTCCCTTTAGCAAAATCTTAAGAAATAAAAAGCACCATGCAAAAGTTCTGCAGAGGAAGTTTTCATTTCAGTGGTAACACCATAGAATGTCATCCACAGATTAAAATTTTAGAGTGTAATTATCATCAATTCTTTACCCAATTAAGTTAAAAGTGCCACTTCTGTAAATAGTTTTAAAAAGATGCTGACTGAGTATTTTACCTTATAATTTTAATTTCTTATTTCTCAGCACACACTTTTTATATTGACCTAGCTAGATAACGCTTCAGACAAAAATGCCATTTAGATAATTATCTTTTATTTCCTCCGTTATTTGTAGGTTCATATGTATGATCTAACTTATGATGGCGGCTTCCACTGTCTGTTTGAGCTGGACATCGGAAAATTGTTGCAAAAGTACTGGGATCAGAAGGAAATTTCTGCTGCTACATCTTACAAAGGACCATCATTTATAAGCAGTCAACCAGCCTGGCAGAAAGAGCAGATTCCTGAGGATGATAAAGGGACTGTAATTGAACTAGAACCTGGAACAGCTGTGTTTGGAATATATTTTGTCAAGAATCCAGAGCAGTCAAATGCTGGAGTACAGAGTGATATGGCCTTATATGAAGCTGTTTTTGGGCCACAAAAGAAAGCAGCTATCAAGTAAGAAACATCAAGTGGGTTATATGATGAAAAAAAGAATTAATTACAGGGTTCCAAATTTTGGTTTTAAAATGAGTCAATGGGGCCAAATTTAACAAGGCACCCATAGTTGATATAAACTATTTATATGGCCTCCAGATCGTTATTGTTGTTTACTTTTAAAACATCAATGCAAGTGGGGAATTGTCACAAATTACAATAATAATTAGCCTGCTAGATTCTTTTGGATACAGTGTAATTTTTTCTTCATAAAAATAAGAACCTAAATAGCCTAAATTTGTGCCTTATTACCATTAATAATGTAAGAACCTGTTTCTATGGCTACCCTGGGAAAATCACCAGGCTCTTACTCACAGGTTTTTTAATGTACATGTATTTGAGATTAAGATGATTCATGTTTACAGAAATGTATATATAACACATGTTGTCTCACTATAACCTATTTTTTATTTTTGTAGAGATGTATTCCATGTTCCCTCCATTGTAGCCTTAGCAACCTCGGCCTGCATTATCCTTCTAAACTGCAATAGCAGAGAGCCACTTTACATACTGGACTTTCAAGGTGAACTACTGTGTAACGTTGTAAAACTGATCTTGACCATGTCTGTCACTTTAATCTTAAAACAGCTGCCTTTGGTGCTAGACACCTACATTCTGATTTCTTTTGAGCAGTAATAATTCACTTGTCGTTAATAGAGAGGAGAAGTTGTTATGTCATGTTGCCATGGTAGCAAAATTTCTGGATCTCAACTAACTGTTGTCCTGCAAACATGTCAAAAAAAAGAAAAACTTGACATTTATGACTTTCCTGTGCATGATTGCACTCAGGGACAAAACGATAGCCCATATTTTTCTTCCATCGTTTCACAAGGCAATAGGCCGTCTCTGTCAAGAAACATTATTGAGTCTAGAAATTTTGCTACCATCGTATTAAACGTAATGTCACACTTTTCCTCTCTATTTTTCTCTTAATTTAATGATCTATACAGAAATTCGACCAAGAAAGTTCTTAAGTAAGTTCTGCTATGTTGGAAATCGCTCAAAATGTTTTTAAAGCAACAAGGAAAAATCTTAGCCTTAAGGGGGCTATGTCACAAGGACATAATTTGCAGTTTTACTGTGCTAAAGTCGTTACCTTAATAGTGCCTTTACTAGACTACGAGCAGTCTCCCTTTATTCTTGGTCCATCGAGCAAAACGCGCGAGACACGCAAATGACCACGCGCGTGACCAAAGGCGCGAGATGGGAGCTTCAGAAGATGGGAGCGCCCTCATTTCTCGCGTCTCGAGGCTTCGCCGCTCGACGCTCGCGCGCGCGTGCACTCCCCTCACTAAATCTGTAGAAAAGGAGAGACTGCTCGCGTAATAATTTTTTGGTAATTTTTGCAGCCATACCATTAAAGCTTGAAAAAGTTGGGCCATTTTTTTAAAGTTTCAATCCATATCCATCTTTGCAATCTGCTGCAACAGACGACAGGAAACAGTTTCAATGCATAAATGTAGTCTTAAATAACAAAACTGGACCATTATTTTTGGTATTATATTGATTTCATAAAAGTTTTAGCTTTTTATAGAGATAGCAAATAGCGTTAGGTAGACCTCTTTAAACCAACCTTGAAAAGCAGTTTCTTTATTGTTACAGAGCCTGTTTTATCCAGTGATGAGCTGGATGAAGTTCAGTATAACATATCTACTCCTGGTTCATTTGCCTTTGCTCAGAGACCCAACGGTAGTGTAAGTTTTTTTAAAATTTTGTTATTTGGTTGAACACTATTTAACATGCATAAATGGAATGAGATTTTTTCATTCAAGATATATTTCTCTGTTTCTGACTGGCTTCAGACCCCCTACTAATTTTTCGTGTCCAGCTAGCGTTGACCAAATTTGAAAGACGTTTGCAATATCAGGTAAAATGACGTCAATGGTGTCGGATATCGCTAGAAAAATGTATGGCAACCGGGAGGCTCTGCGGTACGATGTTGCATTAGATTAGCTGTTTTGGTAAAGCTGGAGAAAATGGCGGTGAATTTCAAACGTTTTGAGAGGTAGAAATAGCCGAACCGCAGCCTAAAAACATGGAAAGAAAAGCAAAAATACAACTCGACCGATGACACCTGCCATTTCTGTTATTTAAAGAATATCTGCTAGCTTAAATATCCATTGATATCCTGATAAAGGTATTAGCTTCTTTTTAAAGTCTGAATTATTTTGAATTAATAAAAAAACAGCAGTGATTGTGTTCGGTTTTCGTTTGATCTAAAGAATTATGCAGACGAGAAAAAATGAAAGCAAGCTTCTTGTCGAACAAAGCGATTACGTGCTCTGAACAGCTCTTTATGAGTCCTCATTGACTTACACGCTAATAGTTTATAGATTCATCATCAATGAAAATAATTGTCCCTCTGTCATTTAAATGATTTAACAAAGTAACAAGTTTTCAAATCAGGCAAGTTCACCTTGGAACAGCTTATCAACTTCAATCTGTTGTATTTTTTTTTTAAATATCATTTCAGGTCACTTGTATGATCGGCAGCTTGTTCCAAAACACTGTTAACGTCGTGAATATTAAACTGCCAATGATTAACAAGGAAAACGAAAGTGTCTCTGAGGTAACTCTTGATAACTTTTTTTCTCTATAAAGGGGTAAATTCAATAAAACTTAACAGGTGTAATGTACAATCGTAGGTATGTTTTCAAACTCTGAAACAGTAGCAACACTTGTAAAAGTTTCATTGAATTGACCCCAGCTTTCTGTGTGGAGTTTTAAAATTGAACAGTTTGTAAACGCAATTTTTTCTTAATTTGTAGTGTTTTCCCTTTATTTACTAGGTCTTGTCTCAAAGGTTTTCGCAGTCAATAGGTCTCAATTCCCATGGTAACCAAGATGAGGAGACACCAGGCTTAAGAGGAGCAGAGATGACGTCAACGACCACTATCACCGTCCTTTCCAAGTATGTTTTTCCTTAATTATTTCGTTATAGAAGCGCTGTTTTATATTTGTATGGGTAATAGCATAATTTTTAGTGATATTTCAAAATTGTTATACGTAATTTCACGAGCCGTTAGGCGAGTGAAGTTTGCGACAATTTTGAAATATCACGAGTGGTATTTATGCAAAATATCACGTACAAATCATGCTATTAATTGTTTGTACTACTACCGTTAGAAGGTTTGTAATTTTCACATGTAGGTATTTCAACTTACGCTGAAATACCACTGCTCTAAGCCAATCAAATTGCAGAAATTTCTCATGTAGGCGTATAATTTGTTTATACTACTACCCTCAAAAGGTTTGTAATTTTCACATGTAGGTATTTCAAATTAAGCTGAAATACCACTGCTCTAAGCCAATCAAATTGCAGAAATTTCTCATGTATTAGTATAAGCTGGTAAACATGTTCTTGAGATTATTGCAATTTATCGGTATTATGGTGACAGCCTTTTGCTAGTTTCTAGGCCTCAAAATTTTGCTTCGCGCGATCGATGCTTTTGGGATGGGTCGCGCGATGCAAGCGAAGAAATGGATAAAGAAAGCCATACAGGAATTAAGCGTCTTTACTGCAGACTATTTTTCAGTTGACTGTCAAAAACTCAAACCTCGTCTAGGCCAAAGTGGACAAAACCCAGTGCACCAATCAGAAGTCGACGTAAATACATGCAACCGGCGAAAAGCGCGGGAAAAACGAGTGTGCGCGAACAAATCCCGATTGAATTTGAGCCAGTTACAGAGAATTTAATAACAGGAAACCAATTCAATTCCGAAATAAAACTTTCCAAACTTTATATTGACACCTGGAAAATAAAGGACTTTTGTTAAAACAAGTGTGACTGAAATATTAAAATAAAGCAATTAAATTTCTTGCAGTTCCCCCTTGTGCAGCAACTCGCCATTGAAGGCGGAGCTTGTTCCAAAAACAGGGACGAAACAACACCAACAGAAAAGACCGTCACAAAAAGGTGCTTGGTGACCTGTGTAGTGTTTGTACCAAATTCCAAGGGATACTGTTAAACCATATTGCACTGTAATTGCTCTACCAACAAGATCGATTTTTTTGTGTGTTTATTGCAATAGACCAGTTCATGATTGCATTCAAAATGTTTCTGTACATATCATTCACAGCGCTTTCAAACTGGCAACTGAGTTAAATTGTCATTATTCAGTACTGTTTATTTTCCAAGCTTTTTTTCTTGTACAGTTAAACCATCGCTAATTACCATTGAATTTAAGGAAACCCAAAGCGAGAGCCAAGGACTTTTTTTTAAGTTCAACAGGTACTATAAGAAGGAAGAAAATTTAAGCGAATAAGCCAGATCACTTCAATGAACTGTCATCCCTGCGTATCGACCATATCTCCGTTCCAACTTGCTCACCAATACTTTTTCACGTTCGTGGTAAACGGTCTTCACTTTGTACATGAGAAACTAATGAACTCAAAAGTTACATGAAATTAAGAAAAAGGTTTCGGTGTTCCTCGTATGCACATAGAAAGTAATTTTAATGCCTTAAGAAGCTAGGTTAAGGCGAGTCTCGTCACAAGGGTTCTGTGAGTGTATGTCAAAACGATGCCATAAAACGGTTTTGTATCTGGTGTTTCAGGGAAAACATTAGGCGTTCGCGACAAACCACTTACTTTTCACTCAAAGGTCAAATCGTCTGGTTACTCTGCTGCTCCAAGGTATGGTTTGGCATTGTAATTTATATTTAACCCTTTAACTCCCAATAGTGACAAAGATCAATTTTTCTCCTAACAATATCCATATAATGTCAAAAGATAAGTTATGTGAATTAATAAAATGATCATCCAAGAGAAAGTGCCTTGATCTATTATCAAATTCTCTCAACTAATTCGTAAAGGAAATGTATGGAGATCAATTTGGAGAATTTGTATGTGGATACTTGGGCTTGAGGGTTAAAGGAAATGAAGAAATAAATAGTGACTCGTTGGGACCTCGGTAAAAGGTGACGCAGCCACTTAATAGAGGATTACCGCTTAATTAATATAGGTCAATTTTACCGTAAAAAATTTATTTACGGGACTTTGGTAAATGACTTCGTAAAAGAGGTGACCACTTTTAAGTGTCACACCGACAGCGTTACAGTAGTTTGGTGGGTGGCCGTTTAATACAGGTTCGCTTAGATAACACAGGTTAGATTGTAATTACAAATCGAAATTTCCGTAAGACTGACACCACTCGAAATACTATGATTTTTGTCCTCCCAAGACGGTAAGGCGCGCGGCAAGCCACTTGTCAAAGAATGTTAGGCGGAATTCCTCAACAGGTTTACAAGCCAAGTTTATTACCGGTACTTTCGTAGATTATTAGATAAGCTCTAAGTGTTAACTTATTACTGGTCCCTTTCTTTTGGAAAAAATTAGTGATCTGTACCAAAAAAAGAAAATATTCTTAAACTTATACTTCGAATTTATCCTTCGGGAAATACAGGGATTACGAATATAAAGGAAATCCCGATGTATATTTCCGTCCAAAACCCCGGACTGTATTTCGTTGTTTTAGCTTAAGCAAACGTCGATAATAATGTCGAATATAATGAAGCCACGTTCGTGTTCATTTCACAGATCTAAAATGTTCTCGCCAAACACCAACATGTCGAACAGAGCGTCGTCGGTCTCTTTGAAAAGGACGAATGCCTCTTCTTCAAGTGTTAGGTGAGTTATAATTGAGATGAATGAAAATTTATAGCTGGAGTCCATCGCACTGTAGTCTCTATCTGCTATAGGTAAGTGTTCAAGGGCGTTAGATTTTAAGCCTATTTTTAGATTCCTTTTCTGGGAAATTTGCTTTGACCTTCACTACTGGAATTGCTCCCTTCGCTAGAATCCGATGACTTTAAACTCAAAGAATTAATTGGAGCAGCTACCCTCGGTTGAGACTTATCTAGAATTGCTGTTCATTTACTGGGAATCCTATACCCTGCTCTAATTGGTTGAGAGGTCTTTTTTGGCGCGAAAGATGTTTTTATAAATAGCGGGACAGTCTATAACGCTGTCACCCAGGTCTAGAGGAGTGGTGGAAGCTCTTGGAATGGAATAAAGGAACAACTGAACGAATGAGATCCTTTACGAACTGATGAATTTTCATTAATTAGATCACTGTGTTTTGCGGCATTTTTGCTTCTATGGCCAGTTGTGGCTTATAAAGTAACAGGCTTTCTATTTTTCAGTAGAAAATTTCCCTTTTATCATAGGTCATCTCACAAGGAGTACCCTATGGACAGCGAAGCTCCGACAAATTTGCAGCATAAAATACCGCTTACGGAACAGCCAACTCCTGTAAACAGCCTTGTGTTTTCAGGTACGGGAGCAAAATTAAAAACTTTTATATCCGGTAATATCCAAACCAGGCAAATCAGTTATTAGAACTTAGGCCATTCCGAGGTTGGGCGTGTGCGACTCGGTCAGTGTTTTGTCAAATTGCATTGTGGGACTCCGCTTCTTCTCTTTTCCATTTGAAGGTTGTGCAGGAAACTGGGTCAAAATTCGTCCCCCCAAAACAGTCCCATAGTGCAATTCGATACAACGTCGACCCAGTTTCAAACTCAAAATAGTTAATTTAGTGGTGCATCTACTGCCAAGCTCTGGCAAATGCGCCCCTCGTATCGAGCGCGAGTAAAACGCAACTTTGTCTTCTATCGACCAAGGCATGTTGGGGAGATTTTACTCTAAACAAAGCGCGGTAAAACTAGTGCCAATGGCATGAAATCTTTTAACTGTGGCCCGGTAACTGAATCTAAGTACGAACAAACATCTGGGACTCGGAACCAGTGGCTGCAAAATTTATACTGCATGAGTCCCATGACGAGAAGGAAACTGGGCCGAGTTAACTTTCCCAGAGGCTTCTGGGACAGTTAAAGCTGGCGCCTCCCCAGTAACAATCCCAGAAACAACTGCGGGGCACGTTTCGATTCCAGCTCCCTTCTTGTTTTTTATAGTGGCAAATGGTTTACTGATCATCATTTTAGTTCACTCTTTTCTTTAGTTGTCTTATTTCCTCATTGTTGAAATGTTTCTCCACAGGGGATGGACGACATGTAGCCTGTGCACTGGCGAACAAGAGCGCTCACGTATTAAGAACTCCACCTTCAAGCAAAGAGACAGTATTCAGTGGTCAGGTTATTTATTGTGGTCACTATAACACCATCTGCTCGTTTTGAAAAGCTCGCACACAAAATGAGCTGAATTCAGACTAAGGGATTTGTGGAGAGTCAGCTGACTTTAGAGCTTTTTACTGACGCTGGGTTCCAACAGCCTGAAATGTATACTACTGAATCAATAAGTTGCTATTTGAGCGATAATCATAAAGTTTAAGTTGGAGTGATCCGTTGTTGATGTACGGCCAGGCTATGCGGTACTCAATGATTAGCGTCTGCGTTGCTTTTTCCCCTTTTTTAAGTTCATGTACTTAAGACAAGGGCGTACCCATCCATTTTGAAACGGGAGATCTAACTCGTCTGACACTACCACCCAAGAAACAGCAAACTGAGAGTGATGGACACTCAAGTGGCCTGAAGTTTGCAAGTCTTGCGCGTACGCAAATCTTAACGTCGTTGGTACAAATGATGAAAGTAGATACCAGCCGCTGTTCGGGAAATGAGCCCGCGCTCCTCCCCCGAAAAGGCGAACCCGAGAGAACGGCGGAAATCAAACCCAATGGAGCGCCTTTATTCCACTCTTTACTTACCCTTCAAATGCATGACTGCCACGCAGTTATTTCCCACCAGACGGTGCTTGAGTGTTGCCTATTATCTCAAATTAAGGCTGGCAAAAATTTGGAAAACATATCACGAGAGCGGTACATAATAATCAAGAAGGAACTGACGCCTTCGAATTTGTTATTTATCCTGTTGTAGGCCATGATGGCTCAGTCACAAGCGTAAATTTTAGCCACGACAATAACTGGCTTCTGACGTCATCATGTGACAGGACAGTTAGGTTGTGGAGTCATAGTCAGTCGGATCCTTTATTGACATTGTCATCTGTCAATCATAACTTTGCCACTGAATTGGGTAGCTCTGCTAAGTTAAAGGTTAGTGGTTTGATATACTTTGGAGATCCCTTGTTTGCCTCGGGGCAACAAACTGTAACGAAGTGTATGGGGGAGTCACGAGAACTCACCCTGAAAACCTCACACGAAAGGAAACGCAGCTTCACCGCTCGCTTGTTCTCTTGCTGGTCGCTTTGCTCGCCAGAATTGGAGAGCTTGATCGCAACCTAGTGAAATCCAGTCAGTTTTGTTTGAATTTCTTAACTCATTAAGATCTGAAGTGATGAAAATATTAATCTCATACATTTGAACCGCGGAATGTAGAAATAGATTTAAGGAAGATCATCGTAGTCAAGGACATCACTGCATAAGATGCGTTTTTAACTGCGATGATCTTCTCTACATTCATTCCATTAAGATTTGGTCCAAGCTGGGTAAACGAAAACAGGAGTCTCCAAAGAAATGAAGAAAAATTTAAAATTTATTTTCGGAAGTAATTTTAATGGTTGGGTTTCTTTGGAATGATCCGAATCAGGATTGATGATCCAAGATCACTCGGATAGTGTGATAGTGGTGCGAAAAAGGAAACGCTAAATCCTTTGATGCACTGATCCGAGTAATCATGATATAAACCCTAATCTGAACCATACCGCAGGAACGCACACTGAACTTGTTGTTTACTGCATCTTGGTTCTTTATTTATCGATTCATTTATTTCTGTTTCTTTTCACAGGACAACCCATTGTTTCCTAAAGAAATAACCCAGGCAAAGTTTTATTATGTTGACAAATTTATCCTTCTTGCCTACGGAAACGGGCTACATATGTATAAATACCATATTGATGCCGGAAACAAAGATGACGTCAAAAGGTGAGGTCAGCAGTGTACTCCTTTGGCGCATGCGACGTTTGATAACAGTTTGGGTTCTTGTTTATGTTTATATGGATGAACATTTGACCAATAGGAAAGGGGTACGGGTTGGGAATAATAAGCGCAAAGCACGCTAATTGAACTACAGTCTAACCTCTCCTTACGGAAACCTCTATAATACGGACACCTCTCTAGTACGGACAGTTCGTTTGGTCCCAGAAATGCCAAAAATCATACATTCCCTACCTCTACAATACCGACACCTCTGTAAAGCGGACACGTGGTTCTGTCCCTTTGGTGTCCGTATTAAAGAGGTTTGACTATATGCGGAAAAAGAAAGCAATTTTTTTGCCTTGAAATGATAACAGGAGGGCAACGAAACTAAATCAACAGACAAACTTAAAGGTAGCTAGTTACTTGAATGATTACCAAGTGGAGAAAAAGACACGGAGTTTGGTCAGTTGGTTTAGTGAGCTACAGTACTAAAGTGACAGACCGGCTAGGCTTTCCCTATGTTGACTTAATTTTAATTAGTGGGAAGAAAAGGTAAAATCAGGATAAATCACGATAATGTTCATACGCAAATTGTTTTAATCTTACTTGCAGTTTCCGTTAAGCCTGTGAAAACGATTTTGTTACTCGGCCAAGGCGCACCTTAAACTTAGTATCCAAATTTTCGTTTCTGCTTTCTGATCATAAATGACGATGAGATTTTTCCTTGTGTATAGGTATCAGTCGAACAACAAGTACAAACTGGTGAAGATCTTTCAACAGGAAAGAGCCCAACAAATCACCTGCTTCTCCGCAATAAATGGATTCCATTCCTGTATCCTCTATCTTGTGTGTTTATTATTCTTCCTACTCATCAGTAGTGACTACATGAAGGACTGCAACCTCGTTCTCATGATCCTTTTCTGCTATCTCTCTCCGGGGGCCGAGTTGGACAGAACCCTGGGAACGAGGTTGGATGAACCACACCGGGCGTTAGCTCGTAAAAATAATCACATGTTTTGTTGCGTGGTAACTTCATCCGGTGTTGCATGTAGTAGCATAACATATCAAGAAATTCTCAAGGACTTTACTCATCATCCTTTCCTTGATGATTGTGCAGATATAGTTTTGTGCTGCGGCTCCAACAAATCTATAGAGGTGTTTGATATGAATGCCGCCCGCTCTGTCCGCGTGGTCCTGGACGCCCACACTCGGCCTGCTCATACGATTTGTCAGAACGAGGTAAGTAACGCATTAGTCCAGTTCGGATCCTCTCTCTGTCACTCTCTTTTACATGACGACAGAACGTGACAGTGTGTGAGCCGGACCAGTAACGCACGTGCGGTTTGGGCAGCGTGGGTCACAACCTGGCAAAGTAACGCAGCAACCTGGACATAAAATCCGAAAGCCTCGATTCCCGATTCGATATGTTTCTTGGTAGTCCGGAGATCATCTCGTCGTCACTGGATCATAATCAAGTGGTTTGCCTCCTGTCAGTCAAGATTAATTACTCACGTATTCGCCATTTTCAAATTGCCTATAATTCACCTTCTCCCCGCCCCCCCGCCTCCCCGAAAAAAAAATGCATAAACATTGTCTTCAGTTTCTGTAAGGTACGACTGTATGTTACACCCTTGAAAAAATAGAAACAATGGTTATGCAAAATCAGCTTCAAACTTTGCGCAACAACATACAACAGGGTGTGTAAATTGACGCGACATGCAACATCCAACAATGCCGGGAGTTGTTGGCCAACAATGTTGCGTCCGTCTGCACAGGGCTTTATGATTCGCCGTAAAATTCGTTTCGCCTGATGATTGGTGAAGCTTTCGTAGGCGAAGAAAAAGGGTTGTAATAATTTCAACTTTTAATACCTTTTGTTATGCTCTTCATGACTCAGGGTTCAATGTTCGTTTCGCACCCGCCCAGTGCCTATGATTTGTTTTTGACGGCTGCAGTGACTGATGGAATAAAGTTATGGGACCTGCGCACTAACAGGTGTGTCCGTCGGTATGATGGTCACGTGAACAGGTCGCAGCCAGTTGGACTTGACATCAGTCCCTGCGCAAGATATATCGCCACCGGTTCAGAAGACAGATCGGTAAGTCGTTAATTGTTTTTATTATTATTATTATTATTATTATTATTATTATATTATAGTTAATTCATAATCTTATTAAAGTTTTTGCCTTCATTCTAAAACTAGCCGTATGTGCAAGCGTATTTATCACGTAAAATAAAGTGTCCTATGTCCTAACTAATGCGTGGTACCAGGTCGTTCCACCCGAAGGGCGATTCGCGCAACGGCAGTCCACCCGCACTTAAGTCTATTCGCCGGATGTTCGGCGTCTGAACCGGGCCTTACCGGCAGTGCAAGGTGTCAGTGTCAGGAGATACTTCGCTGCACAGGCGGCGTTGTATACCTTTCAGCAAAAGTAAGTCGCGAGTGCGAGACTAAGGAGCCCATACGTGGCTCCCAGGCACCTACATAAAACTGAACTTACCAGGAACAAATACCGAGCACGCCGCGAGGGGCAATTTCTAAACCGGCCATTTGTTTTGGCACTGCTTCGAATCTCGTTGCCTGGGCAGAATCTACTGATTTCCCCATTTTGGTGTTATTACTGTTAACCTTGCCATTTCTGCTTTTTTGTAGGCTTATCTGTATGACATTCGAGGCAATTCATTTTGTCATCGTCTCACAGGCCATACAGATGTGGTGTCAGATGTGTCATTCCATCCTGCTCGACCTCAGGTATGCACAATCTATTAGTACCGAGACGGCTCTGTAATGCTGCTATGACACGCTACTTGCTATCCTCTTTTTAAAAGCTAAAACCTTTTTTTGCATAAATTGAATTCCAAAAGTTCTGGTCCAGTTTCGTTATTGAAGACCATATTTAGGCATTGAAAGAGCTTCCTGTCATCTGTTGCAATGGAAGACAAGGATGGACATGGATTGAAACTTTTTTAAAAAGTTGGCCCAACTTTTTCACGATTTGAATTCTACGCCTGCAAATATCACCAAAAAATGGTTATTATGGTTAGTGCTTCCTGATGAAATTTATTTGGTATCTTCTTCATTAGCATTTTGTGTATTAGTTAAGGTATTAAGTAATGACTCCAGCACAGAATTGACCTAAAACAGCGATATTTTCATGGCTAATGATCCCTTTCGGGGTCATTATACGTTTCTGGGAAATTGCCCACCTACCCCTCCCCTAAGCTAACAGTTTACCCTAAGTGAGAACTAAATGTCAATGTTAGCTTAGGGGAGGGGTAGGTGGGCAGTTTCCCAGAAATAAGGATAAGTCTGTAAACCAACGCATTGTTTTTAGTGGAATTGACGTTTCGTATACTTAGCAACCGACTTTTAAAAGTAACCGTTACCAGGAGCCCATCTGCCGTTACCAAATGGGGTTGTTTCTTGGTGTTGCGGATGCTATTGTTGGCTAGCAATTGAGTTGTTCTGTGGGTATTTTTCAGTGTCTTTTCAATCTTTTGTATTACGTCATTTGGTGATTACACCCGTCCGCAACACTAAGACACTCAGGCTTCCAATCAGGCCCTTAGATGTTGTTTCGGACGCGAATGTTTCTCAATTTATTCGCGCGGGAAACAAGAGGCGAGAATACTGCTATCTTTGTCACGAGCTTGGGACGTATGAAAAATCTGAGTTTCTGTCGGAATTCGATCTTGTGGTATCAAAGAATGTTGGTTGTTGGTTGGTTACTTTGAGCTCTGAGCGACAGTGGAACTCCGGGTAAACGGAACTATGCCATATACTTGTCTCGTTCCAGTCCGACTCTCCTTTCCCCAGACTCGCTCGGAAATATTCATTATGGTGACGTAACTGAATCGAAAGGCTCTCGTTTGGCTCGAAACACTGCACGTGACCCATACGTAACGCACTGACCGCACCGCGAAAATATTGAGGCTTAGAAATTGCGCAAGGTATTTACAGTTATACAGCTTTTTCGAGAAACGTGAACGCGACAATCCTGAAAGGTATTGTGGATGGTTTTGATCTTCACTGTTCTACAAAGAAATTTGAAAGAATGGCACAAGAGGCCACGGACATATGTTCGCGAGTGCTAATGGAAGGCAACAAAAGTAAGGAACAGTGTATTGATTAATCCCCCCTTTCGGGATTGTCGCGTGCACATTTTTTTCCGACAACCTTTCTCGAAATTGCTGTGCCCTACTTACGGGATCTAGGATCATCAACATCAAATTCATCCCGTACAGTGATAAATAATTAAAGAAAGTAAATGTAGATCTCGATAAATAAATAATAGAATTTTGATTTGTCACAAGTTTATGAAACATTGAAACAATTCCAAGCACGAAAAAAACATTTAAGTAATTCCAAGCGCGAGAAAAATGGCCGCTTTCCAGTCTTTCAACATTTTGGGAAATTTTGAAATGTGAATGAATAGAGCGAGATTTTCTAGACACAATTTTCTCCAAAAATCCCTCCAAAAACTGGAAAATTTCGAAAGAGAACATTCAACAGAAAATTTGGGAAATTCCGGTGACAACATCGAATGCAGAAAATTGCAGGCACACTTTGAGAGGTTGTCTTTTTTTCGGAGCTTTCGTATAAAAACGGACGCTAAAAGAGTGTTCTAGTCCCTTTTTTGTTGTTGGTTTTCATTTGTTTGTTTTTCTGTTAGCCGGCAGGGTGCAAAGAAAGTCAGTTTTACAGCTTGTCATCCGGGCAAGCTGTAGATAGCATGTACTGACCCAGGAGTCATTTCAACTAGCCCGGAAAACATATTTTGATGAACAGGATTGATAACAGTTCTTCTGTAATTTGAATTCCCCCAAAAACTTCACTTACCCGTCGGGCAAGAACAGAATTCACTAGCCCAATAGCAAAATAATCTAGCCACGACTTTCTTTGCACGTTGAGTCGGCCTTTATTGTTGAAAGCAAAACACTCATTATGTCTGAAGCAGTGCCAAGCACCGAAAAAAGATGTGATACGTGGGCCGGCTGCACCGCAGGCTACCAAACAGAAAGAAAAAATAAATGTTGGTTGCGCATATCATCATTTTTTTTTTCCACTCTTAACTGGATGAAAATACATTTAACTGTCCTTTCTGCTGAGAATACCAACCGCTTCCTAATTTATTACCTAGAAATTAACTATTTCACTTTTTTTCATACAGCGTGCAAATCCTCCGGTGAATTTTGACATCATTTACATTTTATAAAAATGGCGTTTTAATTCGATTTCACGGGCGAAAGACGAATTGTAGTGGTTTCTTAGAGCAAATGTCGTGAGTGTTGAGTTTTCAAAACAATCACATGACTTGACCATTGCTCGTTGTAGCAAAGTATCTTGTTGCCAAATTTGTTCCGGCTGGGAATCGATATCAAGATGAGTTTTACAGCCGATTCTATATTTACTGTACTTGTTTCATTCGCTAGAAAAGATTGAAAAAAATTTACGTACAAACAAGAAGTTAAGAGACCCTACCTATCAGTTATCGAAATGAAGATACACCCTTGCTCTAAATTAAACGATGTTCTCATTGATCAGCTTCGTTACAACAGCGACAAAATTCATGAGACTTTTTAAGTTTTAATGATGAACTGTGACACTTTGTGGAATTTTGCGAATATAAAGTGATTCCAAAGCTTAAATAACTTGCTTTCAAAGGGCTAAAGTCACGGCATTCCAAATTCTTTCGTTTTACTTCAACATCGACGTAGCAACGCAGTTTCTTTAGGAACTTCCTTGAACCCAGTTAATGACACAACCGCCTATTGCTCGGTTTACTGGATGAGCGATGATTGCGTCGGAGTTTTCATTGTAGTTTATTAGTTATTTTTGGCGTCCATCCCCAACTATTAAAAAAGGATAAAACTTCTTGCGCAGACTCCTGTTTACTCAATTTGTGACTTACAGGAAGTTTCAACTGAATTATATAAGTGCTAGATAAAATATTGAAATATTACGTAAATAGTATTGTTTTCAGTGGAGCTTTTTAGTTTAAGAAATTGTCGATCTCTCTCAAAGGTGGACAATTCGTTGAAACTTTCGTGTTATCATAAGTTTCTTACTGTTTTTTTTTTTTGCGTCCTCGATTGCCCAGCTTCATGGGAACAAAATTGCAAAAACGCGAGTATTTCACGTCGCAAAATTGACAGCCACGATTGAAAAGCGGGAAACTTAACGACAAGAAGTAAAAGGCAAAAACAATTCCTCCACTTGAGAGAGGGGGCGATAATAAATGTTTATTTCCCTTCCACCAATCGTGAAATGTTCCTTAAAATAACGGGCAAACCAGTAACATCCTGTATCAGTTTTTATAGTAAGACGAAGTAGCAAGCATCAAAAAGTTCCCTTCTTTGTCAATGAAACAAGGTAACCGACAGATTCCTCAACGTGTTTATTTTTTTTTTGTTTACTGCAGCTTGTTACCGCTTCTCTGGATGGTAAATTACGCTTCTATTCAGATCAAGCTTGAAGAAAAATCATTTTTAGGTGAGTTTACAGATCATATTTTCTAAAAAATGCACATTTTTCAAATTTTCAAGATTAAACGTGTAGAACCACTGTATACCCCACAGTTTGACAAATATTTGAGTTAAATCGGCTCCACCCTCGAATTCCACAAAACCCGTAACAGAATGGAGAGAATTGAGCATTACTGTTAAATTTCTTTGGATTGTGTTGTTTTCTTGAATGGGATTAACTTAAAAGGACCGGCTATACTGAAAAATGTATGTTTGGTGTTGTGGTGACAAAAGCGACTATGTCGACTTCCTGTAATATCCTGGCCTTTGCGGGGGAAGCGGGAGAAATGGGGTAGTGGGGGTGGGGGGAGGAGAGTATTCTCCTCTGTCAGTCCTGCTTCTGTTTTTGTGTTGGAGAGCTGCGATAAACCTTGGTTGTTTCAGTTCTTTTAAGATCTCGAAGTTTATACACCGAAGGTCATGTCTTTATTCAAGCCCGGTTAAAACGATAGTCGTTCGTAATAAGTGCAGCAAAGATCAATAAAGTGGGACCCTGTTAGTCAATATATTGTTTATCGGACTTCCTGTTTTTAGTCAAGTTTAGTGAGAAGTGGCGAAAACAATATTTTAGTTGAAGCACTTTGAAAACTTCTGATACTGATGTTCCGCCAACCCTAACGGATGCCTGCAAAGTTCAAGATACAAAGTATTTTATTCAATGAATGCTTTATCGCTGAAAATCAAAGTCGTGTCGAGCCTCACAGTTGATGACGTAAGGGTCACGTCCCTATATAAAAACGTTTTGATCAGCTTCTGCAACTCGGACGAAATTTCTTTCAAAGCGAGACGGTTGAATAGGGGAGTGTGTAATCACATAGCATGGCATTAAAGTTCAGTTTGACAGCGACAACAACAAAACAAGTACCCTCAAGGCCTTTTAAAGATTTTTTAAAATACATACTCAATTTTTGCGAAAACTTTGTCGAACGTTAAAACCCTTCTGTGGTCCGATTTATCCTTTTGACATCCAACGTCTTCTTGTTCAGTTTAGCTGATTTTTTTCTTTAAAAGTTGAGAAGAACATCAGATTACGAAGGTTGTTAAAAACTAAGCACACGTGCGTACGTGCTCTACTTCCATGTTTGTTTTTGAGTATGACAAGCAACTTTTGTTGTATTAGATGGGCGCATATGTAGTAGATGGACGCGGAATTACCTTGCAAAAATTTCCAACTGCAAATTTATTTGCAATTGTCAGCGTTTTTATTTGCGTGTGCTTGCTAAAGTGAAAACTGAAAACGAAAGTTTCACTGGATTTTGCAATCAAGTCGGAAGTCGATTACGCTCGCACGCTGTTTACATTCCAGGCTTTCCTCCAAATATGGCATATATGTCAATTATACCTGTCATTATTGCCCAAATAAGGCGACTGACGTCAACCGTTTTGATGGTTGAACTTGGATGAGTAAGGAGGAAGGTGAATTTCGCCGGCCTGATTTTCTTCTGAGACACACAGATTTAACCTTTTTCTGTAAGCAGTGAAGGATTTTTCTTGAACTTCAGTCTTGAAGTGTACAGATTGGAAAGTATTACCTGCAAAACGGATTCATATCTCTGCGAATTCTACGCGAATATTAGTTTCGGTGAGTTGTAACTTTTTAGGCTACTACTTCATCAAGTACCTGCTAAATTTTGACAATGTTGCCACCGCGATCTGTACTCCGGCGATCGCTGGTTTTTCAAGTATTCTTCGAAGGAGACATTTGTTTTGGAAAAATCGTGAACAGTCTTTGTCCTTTTTTTGAACAGGATTAGTTGGTTTTTCTGAACTTTGATTTGTTTTGAAGCGAAATCGTAAAGAAGTTTGATGAAAACCATTTTGGGTTTCAGCTCGAGATTTTACTCCTTTCTTTGCGATATGTTCTCAAATATCGCCTTATTTTCTTTGCAAATTTTTAAGTTTGCGTTTTATCTTTGTAGGATGATAACTGAACGTGCACAAGGCGTTAAACGAAAGCTGAGTGAGGTCGATGGCGACGATGAGGTGCTTCATGGCCGTTGTATTCAACGGCAGACGGTGTTCAACATTTCGATCTGCAAACTGCAGAAAAGCTTCACCAGGTCAGAACCTATTCTTTGCAGAACCGTGCTTATCTCAAACACTCTTCGTCTAATCGAAGAAGACATCCGAGAAGAGCGCAAGACTTTGGAAATGACTGTTGTTAGCGAACTTAGCGACGGGCAAACACGAGCAGTCAATGACAATAGCGAACGACTGGCTTACGTTGGTCACAATATAGGCACGCGATCACGCGAAGAATGTGAGACTTTGAAACGTTCTCTAACCTTTGAACAAGAAATGAACATCCTGGGCGACAAAATGGTAAAAGAACTTGAATTTGACTTGGAGAAATCTGCGAACAGCGCGCAGAAAATACCCGCCAAAGCGAAATCAGACCTGGAGGGGCAGCAACTCTCTTTCGCGCCTGATTCGAACAACAATTCTGCGCTTCTTTCCGACGACAACGATCAACACCACGGGAAAGAAGTCAGTTACAATGCAGAAGAATTTATCAGAGAAATCACGTGCGGAAGTCTTTTAGGAATGGAATTGACAGAGGAATTAGAGTTTAAAGATGTAGATGTATCACTATATGACTTTGACGTTCCGAACGGCTCGTTTCCCATCGATTTCGATGAGTTTTGCACCGCTTGGAACCTTGGATCAACCAGTGTAGCTACAAAAAGTTTATCCTCTAGGTGCAGCGATAGCATAAAGCTTGAGCGTGCGAACGATTACGCTTTTGATGAACTAGATCAAGTAATGCAAATTTTAGTTGGATCTTAGTTGTAAGCGATCAAAATTTCGTAATGAAATTTGCTAAGGCTTTGCCTTCACATTTACCTGAGCAAATCCTGTTTAGGATCTTTTAAATATTTTTGCTAGAACTTTTAAGATGTTAGAATCCGCTTGTGGAGTTGTAATCTATTTATATTCGGTTTTGCCGATTAAATCCACATCGTTTTATATGCAGTTTGAAATGAATATTTTATGTGAATTGGAGATGTATTTGAAGTTGGAAAAGAGTATTTTTGCATCGTATATTTGTAGGTAATTTATACTGTACCATAATATCACTGTGTAAATATGTTATCTAACATGGCAAAGTTTGTAGGATTGGGAAGCCTTTAAGGCGATGTTTGCAGTCCATTATGTGCTTGTTAAACCTCCTTGAAGATATTTTATGACAAAATCCAAAGTCATCGACTGAAAATCGACATAAGGCTATTAGTTAGAAATTTGTTAAGGCTTGCATACAGATTGTTGCAAACAATGCATTTTTTAATTTATGGATGTTATATCCCAAGATTAGTATGATAATGAGAGCAGTGATTTAAAATGAATAATGTTACTAAGAGCTAGTGAAATAATTATTATATGTATACTAAGTATTAATAAATTATACATTTTGCTAGTTGGACAATGCCTGGAATACATGGGACCTGTCTATGATTAATAATTAGCAGCCACTAAGAAGCAATTGCCCTGTTTGCCCCAGCAAGCGAACTAATTGCTAACTAGAACAAGCATTTTGAAATTTTAGAGCCACAAAAGAAATGCTGTACAATTAGAGGCAATGGTTACCTCCCGTTTGTTGTAATAGTGGTTACTTACTTGTTGACTCAAAGTACACTGTTAAGCAGCAATTCTTAAATTATCACTTTGCTCCCAACTTCCTCTTGTTGAATGACTTTTAGTGAAACTAACAGGCACAATCACTGCTATTGAGTAGAAGCCTGGAATTTGTAGACGGGGATGAGTCTCAGGGACTCGAAACCCTTGATATATACCATACCGTAAAATTCCGAAAATAAGCCCCAGGGCTTAAATTTTTCAAAGGCCCTTTTTAAGGGGCTTATTTTTGGAGGGGCTTATCTATGGAGGGAAATTTGCGCTTCAAAATCGATTGGGCTAGCCTTATAGTTGGAAGGAAATTTACCGTTTTTGCTTTGTTTTACTTTGTATTTGAGGGCAATTTCCAAGTACAAGCCCCTGGGGAAGGGGCTCTTGACGGAGGGTTTTTTGCGTTACGAGTTTGAGGGGCTTATACATGGAAGGGCTTATTTTCGCAATTTTACGGTACACTGTTTAATCATCTGTCCTTGACAGGGTATCAAAGAAATCCTACTCTATTCTAGTCTCTCAATTCTTTATGCTACAGTCAACTCTCTTGTAAGTGACCACCCTGGGTGCACAACATAGTGGTTGCTTATGGGAGGTGGTTTTGTCTACGGGAATAATCAAGAAAATGAGCTCAAACCCGACCTGTTTAACAAACATTAAGTTATTACCTTACAAGCCAACATGAGACAAATAGACAACTGGCAATAATGTTTGACATGTCGAATTGAGCTTGGAACTGTAGAAACTTTATACTTAACATTTTGCATCAATTTAACAATCCCTTTGTAGTGACAGCCATCCTTTTTGTAAAGATCAACTGCTATAATTTGCAAGTAAGCTTATTCAGTGCTATTCAAAACTGAACTTTTTTGACATTCTAGGGATGATAAGTGATCGTGCTAAGCGGTCACCAGGAACAGAAAACAAAAGAATATGTCAAATTTCTGGCCTTAAAAGTGGTAGCAGTCGCTTTAAACATCTGACACGTGGTTGCTTATGAGAGAGTTTTTGAAACAGTATTCAACTGAGAAACAAAACAGTTATTATTTTATAAGTGGTTGCTTACGGGAGGTGTTTGCTTAGGAGAAGTGGTCGCTATGAAAGAGTTGAATGTACTGATTACTATCGATTCTATAAACATGGTACTTTATTGTAGACCAGTTTCTACAACCTATTCCAGGCTAAACTACTTCACCTTCCCCACATGCCTTTATAGCCCCTGTATGTATATGGCTACATCCTCAGAGGCTTTACTTCTTTGAGTTTATCTTGAATAAATTGTGACTGACATGAAGACTGGTTACATCTTTCAGATCCATTTGCACCCTGATCTACACACAGGAAAAAATAACCAATTCCCATTTTTGGATATTTTAGGGAATTTAAAGAATACCCACAAAAATCCCAAATTTGGAAGAGTGAGACAAGTCCCAATCAGGGAACTTGGTTGGGAATTCCCTGGTTGAGACTTGTCTCACTTTGCCAAATTTGGGATTTTTATGGGTATTCTTTAAATACCCTAAAATATTCAAAAATGGGAATCCGTTATTTTTTCCTGTGACATCACTGCAAGTAATGAGCATTAAGTAGAATTTTAGCTTGTGTGGCACCCTTTCAACATCTGCTAGGCAAGCTACCAGGTTTGGTATGATTTTGGTCTCGTTCTCGCTCGCTGCCTAGCATTGGTACTTGACTGGCCTGCTGGCATGTTTAATTATATACTGGTAACACTAAAGCATACATCTGCATTACGCGTGAGACCCAGGGGCATAGTTAAGATGCGGTGGACACACTGTGTCACACCGTGGGGTTTTACCAGATTGTCATTTTAAATAATAATGTATGCTGTTTGTATTTTATTAAAAGTGACATTTTTCAGATGTGCAGTGAGTGTTGGGGGAGGGGGAGAGGGAAAAATCTACAGAATAGCTGCATAGTTGAGTCACAGGGCAAGGACAACTGAATACTGTTGCCAGGGGAAGAACTCCCTTATTGTGCTGTGCCATGAGACCTAAATGGGTATGGCGTATGTGCCACTGAACAGGGATTTTTAAGGTCTAGAGTCTTAAGAGTATCTTTTTGGACCACAAGCCTTTAAACAAGTGTAAATGTTGGTGATGAATGGTCTTCATTTGTAGCACCAGAAATATCTTTCCAACAAATCTAATTCCATGATCTTAGTTTGAAACATTACTCAATTCTGTAGGCAAGATGAAACTAATCAGGGTCATACAATGAGGTCATTTGCCTGGGTGGCAGGGTAGCAAAAAACAGAAGCAGGGTTTGAAGGCCTCAGGGGAACAGATCTACCCCAATTTGCCTAAAGTACCTCCTGGGGTAAAGTCAGTTTAAAGCAAAATTTTGCCCTGCTGACAAAAATGCTTTAATACAAAAATTTTCTAGTTGAACTTTTTGCCAGAAAAAGTTGTTCTAAAACAGCAGGTTTTAAGATTTTAGCATGGACTTTGGTTTATCAATTTTCTAGCATATTAATAATTATTTTGCAGAAAAAGGAGAGGAATGCCTCTCACAAAGTGGGGTCCATGGGTACCTCAGGACCTTCCCTAGCTACAGGGGCAGTGTAAAATGCAGAATGTGGACTATTGTTTTTAGTGTTTGAAAACAATGGGACTGTTGTTGTCACATACTCATTTGCATCGTAGAAACAATAGTCCGCAGTCTACGTTTTACGCTGACTGCCCTAGCTACACCCCTGCCCAGCACAGAAAGTTTAAACCCTTCCCATACCCCTCTGGATTTTCCAAATATTTTTGCCAAACATAAACAAATAAAGGGCCTTCTTATTTGTGCGATGACCCAAACCAATCAATGACTGCATAATAAGTATAATTGATGAAAAATTTACGGCCACTTTTATGGGTCTTTTATGATACAGTAAGTTACCATATCAACAGTATACACTTGCTAGAGTGATTTTACTTAATCCACAGAACAGATACTAACAACTACGTCAACAAATGAAGACAATGGAATTAGTGTATAAATTGTGTGTAATAGCCTCTACTAAAAACGCCCAGTTAATTTAACTCAAAAATGTAAATGTACACAGCTTCACGAGTGCTTTAAAAGACAACACTGAATAAACAGAACAATATTTCAATACAAAAATTAAATTCTGGAAATAATTGCATGATACGAAAGGCAACATAATATTTCAAAAACCAACTTTAAATCAAGTTTGAGTATCTTTAATCTCAAAAAGTCAAGGTTAGGTTGTTTACAAGATTTGCATACACGTGAAAGTAGGATATCATTAATAGTGATCATGATTTACAGACAGGACCTTAAGTAACAAAATGAATGCACTGCAAAACAGTAAAATATATTATAGTAAATAAATATTTTTTGTTAAAAAATAGATGGATGTTAATGTGGGCAACAAGTTTGGTAAAACTGTTTGAGCAACATAATACAAAAAAATTGTCGCTTAACAACTTTATAAAGAGCAACTCTCCAACAATTATTAATTAATGACAACAGCGACGGCTTCGAGAACATCACCTAAAGAGTGAATTTGCTCTGTCTCAAACCTTTTTGCACCTAATATTCCATTTCGTTTAATTTGTTAAATGTTGGCAAATTTTTTTGGAGTTGAATTCTAAAGGAATGAATCAAAGTTAAGGAAAAGGAAAACAAAGTTGTTGTTTTGTGTTCCCATCCTCGACAAAATGTGAAATTAGGCACTTTTGTGTTGAAGTCGTGCAATGACTGCTAAGAAATGTACAAAAAAGCATGATGCACGTGCAAAGTTGTTGCTTTGCCAATCTGACCCTATTGCGTTTTTGCCGTCGCTGTCATCGTTGCTTAACCACTCTAATGTTGCTGCTTAAGATGGTGGTAGAATAAGCAGTTGCATCGATGTGCTACCTTATTTTGACCACGCTTTAGGGTTGATCCTAGCCAAAAGATGCTATGATCATTGTTATTTCTAAACTTTAGACGACGAAATGAACAAAAATACAAACAATGATTTGTTAATTGGAAAATCAAAATACCTCTAATGTTTAAAACTTTTTTATATAACATTATAATAATTTTCTTGGTTTTCAATTTTTCATGACAATAAAGAACTTCTTTAGTTATTTCTCCAACCATAAATTATAAATTTTGTACTAAATATGTGACATTAATAAACACAATTCTACAATATCTAATGGTTGTATACATCTACGTGGTCAAAGATCTACAATGCAATATCGTCCACACAAACATGTATAAATATACAAATTTCTTAATAACAATAATAATAAATTACTTATTGACCATAATTAAATTACTTTGACCCAAGCTTTACACAATATCTTAACCAAAAAACTCGATCAGATGGCAATCATTTATTTATATTTATATCTGCCTTTTATTTTATAAAAAGCAACATGTATACATTACATGTACATACACAATAGGACAGCAAAAATATTATCATTCACAAGATCTGAGGATGTTGATCGGCCGTAAGGAATTATATGTAGCATCATCACTGTAAGTGAAAAATACATAATGGTCCTCACAGCCTAATTTATAATCAACTTTCATCCCAGTATTAATGCTGTCGAATTATTTAGTTCACATTAGTACAAGTTTAATCTCTGTAACTAAAGTAGGCATTTCAAATTAAGCTGCTCAAAATACAACTACTTTCAGCCAATCAAATAGTATCAAAAGCTAGTATTTTCACACAATACCGTATTTAATTGATTAAATGCAGCCCTTGAATAAACACTGCCCTCAATTATACACCCCAGATGGAAGTGAAATTACCAATAAATGCCACACCCAATAAGAAGAATGGGGCATTTATTTGACAAACATATGAGAAAAAACTTGGTGCAACTCACTGATGTACACCATTTCAGATGATTCTATCACAGCAAAAAAGTGAGACTTCATAGACCTTTTAATGCATTTCTGTTTTACCTTATAATTTACAAATGATTTACTGCTGTCAAAGCAAGAAATCTGATTTTGAAATAAATGCCACCATAGAAGTGTGCAAAGAAAGTCAGTTTTACAGCTTGCCATTCTGACAGAAAATTAATGACTTCCATGTTCCACAAGTGAAATTTACAAAATAAAAAAATGCTAATTTCTTAAGAGTGTTCTTTTTAATGATGACACCATAAATTTCATCCAGAGACTTGAAAATTAGATCAGCATTTCATGTGTTTAAAACACCTCTGAGTAGTTTAACACATTGTCTTAACCCAATATTTTTTCAACTTCTGTTAAATTTTGTTTACACTCTGACTTAAGGACTGTTTATATGAGATGAGCCAGCCCAGCACTCAGCTCATACTTGTTTCCTGTTGAAAATGTTGTTGTGTTTATATGAGAAGGTGGGCTGGCCCACTTGCTGTAATCCTGGTCGCTTGAGCTGAGATAATCACAAGTGGGACAGCCTGCCTTCCCACAAATTAAAAAAGGACAGACTGCAAATTGCTGTTGCTTGAAATATCTATAATATGTAACTGTTCACTAGCAGGACATCTGCAATAAAAGGAATTGCACACAAAAACAACAATTTTATGAGGAAACAAGGCATGAGCTGAGCCAGCTGGGTAGAGTGGGCCAGGCCAGCCTGGCTAACCAGGCTAACTCATCTCATATAAACAGGCCCGTAGAAAAGGGGGAGGAACACCTGGAATTATCTTTTTTAAATGCAGAGAACACCACAGAAGAGCCCCAACCAACCCTGCATTCCTAGCCCAAGAGTAAAATCTCTTCTTCCCTGCCAGCAAAGTCTTGTTTGCTTTCCTGCACTACCAACACCTTACATCACAGAACTGGAGTCCTTGCTAGCATGGCCCAGGGGCGGGGGGGGGGGGGCACTCCCTTATTTAAGCCACAAAGATAAGTGCTTCCCCAAAGGGTAGGGGTTTTGTGGCACTTTGATCTGAAAACAGGTATAGACTTAGCCTATTTAGGTCTGGAATTGGGTATGGTTTTCAAGCGAACCACCGAGGCTGTATGAACGTACTTATCATTTCAGTTCCAAATGACTAAGAAAGAAAGAAAAATATGCAAATTCAAAATGGATTTTAAGAAATCTTTTTTGTTGCTTTTCTACTCTACGTAATCATGATGAAACTATTTCTTAGAGGCCAGGTCTGAAATCGAGGATGGATTTTAGAGGCCAGGTCTGAAAACGGGTGTGAATAAAGACATTTTTGGTCTGAAATAAGGTCAGAATTTGGACAACTGGGCACTACCAGCACACCCCGACCAAGAATTCCTAAGAGTATGCCCCCCACCCCCCCACCTTGGCACCTTAATAGCAGGGGACCTCTCCATTTGGAAATCAAAAGAGTTTGATACAAATGAACTGCAGAAGACAAGGGCAGCCTGGGTTAAGTCAACCAGCTCAGATCATGCTGAACAAAATAGTTTAGTTACAATACAGCGCGTTTTTCCCCTTCAAAAATAAGACGGCATTTCAAAATCTCTCGGTACTTCACAATCAACGATGCAAACAACTATAGTGTAACTACGTTCCTATACGCTTGTTCATTTCACTGAATTCCAAAAGGGCTTTCGTTAGGGCAATCAGTATTCAAAAGCGACAAAAATGTCGGAAGAGTTACTTTAAAAACGGATCGTACGCAACTATCAAAACATTTTAATGAAGGAAAACTGCAACGGAAAATCTTCTAAAACCACAAAGTGAAGGAGCTGAAATTCAAATTTACACATTTTCCTGTCTTGGCACTTAAGTGGCTATGCGTCGCAAAAAAGGGACTTTGAAAGATGTTATTTTTTAGATGTTGGCACAAATTTGGCGCGTCAGTTTTATTCAGCACTTATTTATTTTTATTCGGGATGAGTTGATTTGAAAAGCTATTCGTGTTAATATTGACTCTCTATGGTGTGTTATTTCCTTATCTCAAAGTGTAAAAAACACAAATGATTTGCCTTTTAGAGAGATAATACCCTCGAGAACATCTACGCGTGATTATCATGCGTGATTGACACGACGACAGTCGATATTGCAATTTTCCACGAATAATTACTACAGCTTACAGCTACATGCGGACGAAGTAAATATGACAAGTTTGCAAGACGACTTTTCTACACAACATGCAATATAGATCGATCTTTTGCCTAATAAGTTAGTACATAAAATATCTCTTGATCTTTATATAGGGATCAGCGCAATTTACATGAGCTGCTATGTACAAAGATGTATAAATATAAGCTTATGTTATTACCACCTCGGGAGGTATAAATTTAAATAAACTCCGTGGTGATACACAAATGTATAGTACAAACATTAGCCATTTCCAAAAGGGCATGTATAAATTTAAAACTCACGTTTCAAGGGCGCAAATATAGCTATGAAATACATTGTCGAGTTCACCAAATATTGACTCTCGGTCGGACGAAATTTCCTCCGCTGGCTCAAAGACATCGTCTTCAACCTCCTCCGTATACACATCTGAAAGCGTACATCCACTGCAGAGGTTTTCCCCTGGTGTCAAAGCCGTGCTATTATCAACGCGTTTTGTCCGAGCTTCTTCCGTGACATTGTTATCAAAACTTAACCGTATCACCTTGGGATTTGATGGGGATGCTTCCTCTCTGGCTGTACATTCGCTTGGCTGTAGTGTCGCGAGCCCACCGCAAACAAATGGGTTTTCCTCTGCGTAAATCTGCTTGTGAAGCATTTTCAACGTATTGTTTATCAAAACTGTTCGTCTCAGACAGGCTTCCGGGTCTTCCAATCGCCGTAACTTTTCAAACGTTACCTGTAATATAAAGCGACGTTGATCCACCGGCGAAACTGGAGCGGTTTCGCTTCCTACTACAACATTACTACTGGATTCCTTCCTTTTGATTCCTCTGTCTTTCACGCGATATATATCTATGAAACAGGAGATGAATAAGTAAATAGGTCAGGGCACAAATATTAAGTGCTTTTTAAATAACCCGAGACCCTTTCAAGACTAAACTTTGCAAAATTAAACAAGCGAAGACAAAGGGATCCTGCTTAACTCAAACAATCAGTCAGGCTTGATAGATGCATACGAATTAAGGATGAATATATGCACTCAGCCTTTGGCTGTACTTTTCATGCATAATAAGGTGTTGTTTTGAGATTAAAAAGAAAAGGGGAATTCAATTAGATGTATAAAAATGTACTCACCTTCCTCCCCTAGGTTATTACAAAGAAAATTAAGTTCTTCAGAAGGTGATTCCCATTCGTCCGCAAGCAATGTCTCGTCCTCATCCAAACACTGATCTTCCATCGTAAACGACCACAAACTTGTCATGGGAATTACAAGGGTCATTCCACATCGCCTGAGTAGGACCTATAAATGGTGTGAAAACGCTTTATAAGTATCAAGTAAATGAAGGCATGACTCCGTGAAACCCTACAATAAATCCGAGCGCGACTTTTCTGAAAAAGTTAAAAAATTTGGAACTCGCACTGTCTGATTGTCAAACGACGGCAAAAGGCGAAGGAAAAATATTGACACCGATCTCTCAATTTAGTTTATCGGTGCCACATCACAAACATACCTACACTAACAAATACGAGAGTAAATAGGCTAAGAGATTCCGTAGTTGAATGAACAAACTTCCCCTGTTACTATTTAAAATGATGAAGCTACATCCTTTCCACTTTGTTGTCCTCAAAACACTAATCAAAACCATCAAAATCATTAAAAATGAAAGTTGCTGTAGCGTGCCATTATTCCGGTTCATTAAGACACTCTACGCTTCGCAAATTAACCGACATCATGAGCTGGAAAAAATATCAAAGCTATGAGACCTTGAATGAAGATAAAAAGGAACTAATCTGGTTGTTTTAGCCCAGCCGCGGCAGATGTCTCACAAGGAATTCTGTGCTCCGTTTCACACCGCATCACACCACCACTCCTGTCACAAATCGTCATTTGATTGGCTTTCCATGCATTGAGCGGGCTTCTCTATTGTTCTCTGTGTCAAGAGATCGTCAACACACCTGTCGCTGTTTGTCAAAACGAGCCAATCGGAAGTGTCGGATTCCGGATACACAGTGCCTCGAATACAAATAGTCGCTTTGCGATTTTCTACCCGTTTTACGATCGCAGTTCCTTAATATTTTATACACGATTGTACGCGTGCATTATTTATTCAAGTGAAACCTAGTTGAGCATTGATCTTTTCTATACCAGTTTATTTCTTTAATAACGTGTCACATAATTAGCTCATTAAAAACTTTTAGCTGCTGCAATTTGGAATTGCCAGGTATATTGTTCTGATAATTTTATTCAAATTTTGGACAGACCTCCGAGTCTTGGAAGCAGAGTGCATTTTTTTTTTCATTTTTATTTCACTTTTGAAGAAAGTGGCCTGCATTGTTCTGTCAGAATTTTATGAGGTTGAGTTTTTCTTTAATCGGAATCGCATGCCATTATATATTATAAATACTGTAAAATAATGGCACTCGCTAGGTTTCTTCCGTCACTGACATTTAATAAAAGAAATTTACACTGCAAATGATGATTTGCGCCCAAAGATTTGTTCTACAAAACTGTTTAAAATATTTACAGAGTTCGCTAAAAGTTGATCCTTCAAAACGTTTTGCTGCGAACAATACCGGAAATCTTGAGGTGAACCGTCAGTCTAATATAATATTTTGTCTAAGCAATAAAATGAAATACACACTCAGTGCTTGGACTGAGTGAAATGTACCGAATTATATTAAGGCAAATATTAAAAAGACAGCAAATACAAACAATTAAACGTCGACGACATACATAAGTGAGTCCTTTCTACTACTTGACGGTTTTTTCAGCTTTGCTCGTAACTCAGGTCTTGTCAAAGATTGGTTTTCGTTATTTTAAATTTATCGTAATCACATATGTCGGAAAAACAATCGCTAAGCGTTAGGGGTGATTACTAAGATGGCTTTTAAGCGATCACTAGCTGCAGTCCACGCTTCGAAGGAGTTCCAGTTTATTTAATGATTTTTAAAATCTTTAAATAAACTCGAAAGTTTCGAATAATTAATTCTGTTAGAACTTGGCTACAACCAATTTGTGTCGAACGCCGCATTTTCTTTCGCTCGAGATATTGTTCGTCCTCTCAGATTTTGCACATGGCGAAAGCGAAACATCAATTGCAAAATAATTACATGTGAATCTACGCGAGAACTTCGTTGAATGCGCGGCAAATCACTTGATCTCGCTAGGATCAGGTTTTGTTAGAAGAGAAGTCATAATAATTTAAATTTATACAAAAACCATCTTTGTTATCTCCCACTTGTTGTAAAGAGAATATCAGTACGTAGTTTTTATGTCCTATCAATCAAAAAAGTGTTGTTACTTATTTTTTACTAACCCACCTTATCGTTGATAGGTTTCCTTGTTTCGGTGCAAATATTTATCAGATTTTAGACGGAAAACAGTAGTTTTTTCTCAAATCCGTGTGACCGCCTTGTGCAATATTGAAGTCTGGTGTATTTCATTAGCAATTACAGGTGAAAACAATGCAAACCAATAGAATCCCACATGGCGAATAACTTTCACATATGAATACATTGGCAAACAAAAAGGAGATCTCCTTTGTTAAAAATTCATTGTTTGCTAATCTAAGATGTAGCTGTCAGTAACAAAACCATTCGCTATAAATCAACAATATAATATGGCATTAAAATTTAGCACGGAAGATGGAAAGACAGTATTTCGCAAGCGCGCCAAGAATCAACTGAAGAAGTTTCCTCTTTTTTGCATTGTTAAATCATGATTTCGATTCCCTGGAATGACGGCATCAATCTCAAGCTGATCGCATAAAATCGTTAATCTACGTTAAAAGGAGAAAATCCCACAGCAGGATTACCTGTTCTTCTGCAGTTTGCAAGGTCTTCAAGAGTAAAAGTCGTAAAATATATTAACTAAAGGTCGAATGATTATAGACAATAGGACGAAACACGAGTCTGTATAATCAAAAAACCTTATTCTGGATATCATACTAAGTTTATTTAAGTGTTCTGCGCAGAAGTGAAAAAGTGACAACTCGCGTGTTTGGGTCTTTTACATCCAACAGCGAATTTGCAGTATGAAAGCACTCAGTATATTATCTATTTTAAAAATTGTTGGTGGCAAACGATGCATAGTGAGTCTAATTGTTTTTCGGCAACTGAAGGGAAACTTAAGTATTTTTAAAAAAACCCATTAGTTTCTATGGTAACGTAAGGCACGAGTAATTTCTGGAGTAATCGATATCATTTTACTCAGAAACTAATTACTTATCGTCCATTTATGAGAATTTTCTCTCTTCCCAGCAATTAAAGGTCATGGTCAATTTTCCCTGGATTAACACTGGAAACGTTGAAAAATTACCGGCACATATAAAATGGATTTACAACCTGTAAAAGGCTACAATTTACATGTTTTATAAATCTAGATGATAGAGTGTGCAAAATTAAATTTACATCAATTTTCAATTTTCCCTCACCATTTAAATTTACTGTAAAAAACATTTACAGTCAGCGTCCTTCGGCAGTAATAGACTGAAGACCATGTAAAAATGTGCAAAATGTTTTACACGTATTTACTGTATCTTCTTTGTAAAGAGCCTGTAAAGCTTTCTTTTCGGAACGTGTAAATAACGCGTAAATAAGAGGTTTAGCGATGCTGCAGTATCGAGCAAATATTTGTCATCGTAGACATCATGTAAATCAAGACACTGATTCGGCTCTGTAAAAACTTTGTAAATCGAAAAAGGGAGACTGATTTGACACTGTAAAAACATTGTAAATTTAAAAAGGAGACTGATTTGATAACCCGCTCTTTTCGCGAAGAATATTTTTAGGTTCCAAATTTTGGTAAAACAATAATAATCATCATCATCGGTTTAAAACCCAAAGTAATGGCCCCAGTTTATTTGGAAAACTTACAACTGCATGCAAGACGGTAAAGTGCACGCGACCGAATAGTCTAACGAGGGTGTCATGACCCGGGATGAATTTCTCCTCCATGTTCTAGTTTTAGCAAAGCTACCATATTCAACTCTGTTGGGAACATCACTATCCGTCATTTTCTCTTTAGCCTGTCAAAAATTCGTCCACTGCCAAGTGAACAGGGCCAAAGTGGGTCCTGAACAGTAATGATATTTAAAATTTCTGCTATTATAAACAGTTAGGTACATATTTTAAAATTTTCTACATTTCTTTAAGTGGAGACCAAGGGGCGCGCTCTCATCTCCCTCCTCATCTCTCCACACATTGCTCTCTCAGGAATCCGCTCACAACTGACTTTGTGGGGATAACACAATTACTGGTAAACCAGTAGTTTCCATTGTGGACCACAACTGGTCGCAGGCAAACCAGTTGATCTCCGGACTACCGAGAACAAAACTCGCGGTCTTAAGATTACAATTCCAGCGCTCTAACCGCTCGGTCACGAAATCAACACCAGTAAAATTCTACATCACTTTGGCTCCGCTATACAAACTTCAAACTGAGTGCTTGTGTCTGCACAATGCAATCGTGAACATCTGATTCATCTCAGAGGGGCGTGACTAACAACCGGAGCGGGTTGTCCAACCGGATTCAGTTTTGTGTACATGTTTCGTGTTGATAGCTCCCAGAATCAAATGAGTCACCATCGCGGTCTAAGGGTGCGTTCACAGGCACTAGTTCCCCTGCACGGTACAAAATGGTGCTTTGTCCACACTCTGGGTACCCAAGTTGTCTTTCGTCCACTTTGCTCCGTCAGCAGACGCCATTTTTGCAAAAGGAGCGAAGAAGTTGACTGTGGTAAAACTCCTCGGAACCGACGGAAAACACGTGAACACAGGGACCCAGTGCCCACTTTAGTGCCCAAGTATAAGGTCGACACCTTGTACTCGGGCACCGGAACCGTGCCTGAATTCTAGCGCGAGTTCTTTAAAAAAGGTGGGTTCACATTAGTGACCAGGGAGTATCATACTCGGGCACCAGTCCCCAGGAACCAAGTGTGAACGCAACCTAGGATGATTTTTCAGGCTGAGAGGTGTCGTCTAAACAGGAGCAAGATTTGAAAAGTTGACTATCGGTCTGAGTTTTTACCATTCTCATGTAAGCAATCCAGGGTTGCTTGCCTTTTGGCAAGGAAAATCCGGTTGAGTTGGCCAGTGGCATGGGATAATGAAAAGCAATTTAGTAGCTAAAATCCGGCAAAGGAAGAGGGCGGAGAAGGGGGTTAATGCTCAGAGATACTCCGTCATTTCAATGGATGAACAAAAGTAGTCCCCAGTTAACAAGTTTCCTCTTTCTAAAACAAACTTTATTTTCTATTCTTTATTCAATCTGTCCTCGAACAACAACTCAGTTGGTGGGTGAATGCCACCACCAAGTTAACATTTTATATAACGGCAATACTCTATACTAATGTTTCACTCTAATAGAACCTTCCAGGTTTTTTTTTAACTTTTGACTGAGACCAGTTGGCGAAAATCTGTCAACACGACTCAAACTTATTAAGTTGCCTAATTTTAAGGCGCTCTTTACAGCAGTGTAGATGGATATTTGATTACTGTTCTTTAACAAAACTTGAAAAACAAAAAACTGGCTTGTAAGGGTCTATTTGCCTGAGGTATACTAAAGACTTGCCGAGTATTTGCAAACTTCTCGTACGGGAAAAAGAGGAAACACTTACTGATCAAGGATCAAACAGAAAATAACTCCACCCAGATAAAAGTATTTCTTCAGTTCTGTTATACAGTTAATGGATCTCTGAAGTTCAACGGCACTAAAATATTCATAATAAACACAACTGGGGTATTAGATTTCATCAACATCGATATGTTCTTTGCAGTAACTAAAGATTTATGCTACAAATGATGCAAACAAAATTAGCGTCGGGCAGTGATTATTTAAAAAAGGTATAGATTATTATCTGATATGATAAGCACTATTTTACAAGAACTAGAGCCCTCTTAATTTCCACAGCAGAAAGGAATAATTTCTTAACATAATTCTCTTACATTTATAGCCCTCTCAAGTAGATTTATTCTGAGCTAAGGTGAATATTTAGAAGGCTTAAGCAACCACAACTGCGACTACAGCAGTACAAAGAGCATTAAATTTTATCCCGATAATTCCAGCAAGCTCAAACCATCGAAGTAAAGAAAGAGAGAGGAAAAGTTGGTGTTCCGTGTTTACGTTCTCCATAAAAACGTTGCATTGAAACGTTTCACGCCAAAGACATGCAGTGACGGCAAAGAAATGTACAACAATTAACGTGAGGCAAGTGCAGAGTTGCCGTTAAACCTATTGCTTCTTGGGAAGGGTTCTTGTAGTCACCGTGTAGGTTGCCTTGACTTTCAAATTCACCTTTTCGCGATCGATTTCGCCCACTTTTATATACTCCATTGTCTATTTTAAGAAAGTGCGACAAGAAGAGGCGAAAAGAAGCGCGAAAAACACTGTTCACTCTTATGGTACATATATCTCATATCTACCGCTATACTAACTATAGCGATATTGTTTAGATTTAGAATCAATATTTTCTTGAAAATAAAATCAACTTTTTCGGCAAACTATTGCTTAATTTCCTAACTACACTCTTCATTTCAGTGAAATGTATAAACTGAAGTTTGACAATTTTTTACAACGAGCTTGGCTCCAACATCATATACTCTCACTAACGGGTAGTGGGTGGCCCTCGATACTCTCACACGGCTTCCTTGTTGAGGCCAAATAACCCACGTCAAATTTACATTTTTACATACGGTTATTCAAATGAATCAGTACAGATAAATACTACAAATAACGAGAAACCAATCCCCATATAAGAGAGCCAATGACGGGGAAAAAACGACGCCGTCGGCCGGACTAGAAACAACAAATGTTTACCAAGACTGCTCCCCATAGAGTAACACAAGGGCCTGGAGTAAAAAGTACAGTCAAACGCCCCTAAAACGGACACTGAGGGGGCAATAGAAAGCGCCCGTGTTAAACAGGTTTAATTTAGAGAAAATGTAAGGCCTTTCTTTCCTTAGGGGCAACCCAAACTGTCCGTAATAGAATTAGATGTCCGTAAAGAGGGGTTTTACGGTAGCAGTCATCTGGTCTCACGATGTTCAACATCTCAGTATAATCCAAGGAATTTCAATAATTTACAACTTTTTTCCAGCAGATATGTAAATGGCAGCAAAACCAAAAGGGGTGCAAAGTTTCTTACTTGGCGATTCCTTAGCTGATAAAGTAAAAAGAGAGCAACTTCAAAGCCGAAAGGATACAGTTCCTGATAAGAAACACGAGCTTTTCGTTGCAACATGGTAGACTTCACGTGGAGGTTGCCTTCCTACGAAGTTGAAATTGCCTTCCTTCTTCCTCTCAAAAATTACCCCTATAGGCTCGATACCCGTCGCTCTTTCGGGTCCGATCTTGTTTTTCCCCGAGAAGAGACGGCGGGCTCAATCTAAGAACAGCGGCTGCTAATAAGGTCTACAATATCTCCATTATCACATCATAGACACTAAGGGTCGGTTACTTAAACGAATTCTAACTTACACTGCAGTTTAGGAAATCTTTGGACCTTCAGATCTCTTCCTTAGTGGTTCAATTTAAGAAGACAAATGCTTGTCTAGTGTACGCCATATGCTTTCATGAAACTCTTTACAATAAATGGTGTTAATGGTGTTCGGCAAACTGAAAATCGCTTAGAACGGTTTTTTTTTTAAACACTTGCAAAACTCTGTTTATGTAACTGACTCTAAAAGTTTAAAAACACTAAAGCATAAAATCGGAGTCGCTTTTTAAAGAAATCTACAATGTGTCAACAATAAAAATAACTAACTCAACATGAGCTGTTTTTATACTAAAAATGGAGTTTTCAGTGACGTCAAAGAAGACCAACCGTGGAGCCAGGCACTATGGGCCACTCGGCACTCTCTAGGTCCCAGACCTTCACCTCCATCCCTTGTTTGCTAGCCGGCCCGGTTTCATTGACGTTACAAGTTATACCTTTTTGTCGGATGATAGCGTTGATGTAGCTCGCCATGAGAAGAGTGATTTCAAGAATCTGCAATAATAAGAACGTCTGCATCAAAAGAAGACTTCAACAAGTTAACGACATATTGCCATGGCTGCCGGAAGTACAGCTTACAGTCCGTTTTCAGTGAGTCGAAAGGAGCAAGCTGTAACGTTGAGACGGAAGACAGCAAAAGAGAAGAAGACGAACCGGGAGAGAAGCCTCTCCCTTTACGAGCAATCTTTTATTATTCTTGACGCCGTCGTGGGGTATCACACGACACAAGAAGAGAGGGCGCCAATCAGACTTCTCAGGTAGACGCCTTCGTTTTTCGCAAAATGCGGATTTGCTTGATTCGCCCGCCACAAACATTGAAGAACAGTAAGAGACTGACGTGCCTTATGAGTTGATCTTTGAGCGACGACTCACAGACGGCGGGTAGCCTGCGTACAGACGTTTCCTATCAAAGGAAACACTGAGGAGACGTCTGCACGCAGGCTAATACACGGGTATAACTGACATTATTAAAAACTGAATCATTGGATAATGCAATTCTAGAGTTCTGACTGGCCGAGCCATCATGGTATATAAGCCATTATACCATGCTCTCCAAATATGGTAACCGTACGCGTCTGCCCAAAATTAAAAACAAGCTAAAAACCGATTGATTTTACAAATAAAGTCGGGAAGAATTCTCGCTATTTTGTGGGCGTTTTAATAAAACAATTATTCCACTCGAGCTTGTTGGATACGAGGTGATTAAAGTTAACTCATATCCAACGCACACTCGTGGAATAATTGCTAAATATCAAATACAGTCTGACACCACCTTGCAAAGGACACTCAAACAGTCCCAACACTGTTATCCAACCGTTACCTTTTCTCTTGACATTACAAACAACAGTCTCTGTGTTCCTTGCTCTACTGTAGCGCCGCCACGCATGATGGACTGGTTCACCACTAACATGAAGTCATCTTTCCATCCTCCAAACGTCACTACTGATTTATACCGGTACCGACACATCAAGCGCTGAAAAAAAATCAACACACAAACTGAAGGTCAGTACATTAAAAACCCGCATTTTAGAACCTAAAATTTTCGAGGTCAGGCTGAACAGGTTCTTATATTTGAGGGTACTTTTTCACAGTTCAGGCATACAGTTTTTAAGAAGAAATCTTACGAATACAAGTGAATTTCAAAGTTGTCTCATAATTTTTGACTACGATCCGGGAATCCCTCGAGCCTTTTCGTAATTGATTGTGGATAAGTAGGATGAAGAAAGCAAAACTATTTTTCTTCTGCTGAGTGGGTGAACGTGGTGTTCTACCCCAAGTCGCCAGACGAAACATTCGTTCACTCAAAGTTCTTGTGTCCTCACACCTACCACTGTCATTTCATTATGAAGAGCGACATTTATCACCAGAAAATTCAAGCTAGTTGTCCATTTGTATTTAAATGAATGAACAGGACTATTTTCAGACCGTTCTTGGTAAATAGGGAGCCAGTGATAGCGCAGTGGTGAGAGCACTCGCCTCCCATCATTGAGGCCCGGGTTCAAATCCCGGTGTCGACGCCATATGTGGGTTGAGTCTATTGTTGGTTCTCTCCTTTGCTCCGAGAGGTTTTTTTCCGGGTACTCCGGTTTTCCCCTCTCCTCCAAAACCAACATTTCCAAATTCCAATTCGACTAGGAATCAGGTAGACGAAGAACCACTTTGTGGATGTGCTACCTCCAAATCTTTATTTATTTATTCATTTTATTTATTTTATTTAATAACGAACTAACAACAGACTTACTAAGCTTTGCCCTTCCAGTATACTAATGCTATCCTCCTCCACTGCTAGCCAAACCGGCTGGCTACTCTCTGTTTGAGGTCCTCGCTTTTTAGCAGCTGAAACTGTATGCTTTTGCTGTTAACGAAGAGACAGTCTGTCAGTGCCGTTCATAAAAGGCATAAAACCCAATTCCCCACTCCAAAGCTATAATGGCCATGGGTACTAGCTTTCGGCGCAACGATTTCTGGTATCGTTTGGGTGGACAAGGGTTAATTACGATTGGTCGATGGTATTCAAGACAACCACTAACCAATCATATGTAACGCTTATCCGCTCAAACCATCCCAGAAATCGTTGCGCCGGTTTTTGGTAGCACATCCATTTGAATCGCTACGACCGGTAAAAAAAGTGCAGGGATCTGTTTTATGCCTGCGATCAAATGAAAACCTGCCTTCGCTTTACAACCATAAGAAGGTGGTTTTTTCTCTCATACCTGTGCCTGGAATAACTTGCAGCCAAAAAACGGCCATCTGCGTGCATTCTCCAGATACCTATCAACACACTCCCTTTGGTTCCAGCCATGCAGGGTCGACCACTTCTCGGCCATGCGCAAAGTTAGCGATCTGAAAAAGGAAGAAAATAAATCCTTTGTCAAAAATGCGTCACCGGGCGATAAAGCCCACAGGACAGGGGTAAGGCTCGTACGAAAAGGAAAGGCAACACAAACAAGGGGAAAGGTTCAAGAAAGAGAACGGGTGAAACGGCCAGAGAACAGAGAAAAGGAAAAATAATAGGAAAACAAGCCCACAGAACCTAACTGACCAGAAACTGAAGGATAGTCCGCAAAAAAGAGGAAAATCCGGAACAAAAACAAAAAGGCCTTTGGCAACAGTGAAACACTGGTAAACAAGAAAGTATGATCTCGGTATCGAAACACAAACTATAGATCAATCACTAACGTTGAATAATTTCTTACCGCTTGCCAGTTTCTTCTTTCAACGTCTTCGCACAAAACTGAGAGATAACCATTTCAATTCTCGTACTTGGTAGCGAATTTGTATGAGCTCTGTAGTCACCGTAAGTGATCTAAAATCAAACGTAAATGATCAGACATAAACTGAAGAAAACAGTCGATATATTAATATAGGTGCCTCTCTTAAAGCTCCTATATATAAAGCCTGCAAAGCAGCGCGAGTGCTGTAATTCGTTCGTGTTTTTTTTATGAACAGCATACTGTATTGAAAATCGAACGCCCACCTTCGCGATCGCCCTTTAGGTTCACCCTCAATCCTAAGCTTCTTTTAACAAAAAGAGAGAAACTACTAACCATTATGCACAAAGATGGTAAAAAGAAAAGGTTTATTACCTGAGCCATCAGAGCAGCAAACTCCAGCGCCATCTCTTTGCTTACTTGAAATCGTCCTTTTACAACATTAGCATTTGTCTGCAAGAATCAAAACCATAAATCAATTATCGCTGAAAAGAAATAGAACATTGTGGTTTCTGAAGCGGCTGCATATATATTTCAAAAGTTAAGAAATAAACCGAAAGCTTTTACCATTTGCAGTACAATACTCATGTAAGTTTTCAGTAGTCGCGTAGTTAGGATAGAGTGCCAACAAAATTAAAATCGAGTTGGAACTGGCCAGTCCCTCCGCAGACGTTATACGCCATCATGTTATATGATCGACTTAACTATTTGCAAAAAGTTAAGGTTTAGGTTTCCTCTATAAGACAAGCTATCACCAGAGCCCCAGGCTCAGCCAGCTGTAGTTTGTCACAGGGAGAGAATGTCATGGGGCTCAATGAAAAAAAAAATTGATTTTTTGAATTAGTTGTTGCTAAAATGTTCCTGCCAATTGATAGAGGTTTTGACCGGAAGTTCAGTTTATACTTTCGCAATAAAGTCACTGGCCGCCTCGTCGTGCCAAGGATAGGGCGGAGTCATTCGAGCTTCATGTTATACTCCAGCTTTACGTGAGCTTTTTTATCATTAGCTGATTCCGTGATAAAAATTCCTTGTCCCCCGAGCTGGAGTCACTCTTAGACCTCACGAGATAAGCATATTACATGAGCACAAAAAATAGAATTCCTCACCTGAAGAACTAGGAAAAATCTCTCCTTCTCCGTCTCTGTGCTGCTGAGGCTCTTAAAGTGTAATCTTGGGAGAAAGATAAAGTACAAAACATCAATTACAGACCCGTTTGGGTGATGCCTGAAAACGCCGTTTCCTTTGTGACCTAATGACGCAAGGTGACGTTTTTAATATTGGATTTGTCGAACTTAAACCGTAAAAGAAGAGGTGTCTATTTGGCAAATGCTAGACCACTGAAAGTCTGCATTTTTATGAGCCAGTCATGTCCATGATTAAATGTTACTGACACAGACTATCCTTTTGATAGTCACCAAAACCCATGAATGTCACCAAAAAACCCACCTAATAGCTCTTTCCGAAAAATACCACCATAACAATCTTTAATGCGCGGGTTTAGCCTCGCCTAGGTCAGTAGGTGCAGTTCTTCTTATGCCCTTTGCTGACATAGCATGACTGAATTCAGAGTTTGTGTGCATGGACAGCTTTTGCATGAACACCGACTGTTCGGTGGTGAAAGCAACCTTCGCACTTATTTGTAACTTAAAGTAGTCATCTAAAAGAAAACAAAACACTGCACAAAACCATATTTTCGTTCACGTTTGCAACTTCTACGTTTACAAATTGTACAAAATCTGATACTTTGCACGTGCAGCTCGAGCCAAGACCCTCCTGAATATAAGTCCAAGGACGTCTCTAACCAGGCACATTAGAGAGTACTATGGTATTTTTTGGAAAAGCCTATTCTGTCAAACGAAATTCTCTTCGAGTGAGCTTCCGTTAATAATCACCTGTTTTTGTAGGACAGTTTGATGACCCTACTCGTGTCCAGTCTCCCCTGGCTCTGACGCATGGCTTGTTCCCATTTTGATATCACATCACACAGCTGTATAACGAAGAAATAAAGGAAAAACGTATACTATAACTCACAGAGCGAGAAGGGACGCAGTCACCAATTACGCGAAATTCAATCAATTTTTCTGACTGAGAGACTTCAAAGCGATAAAAAATTTTCTTCACTTCCTGGGTAAACGACAAAACGTTTTATATCCACATACGGAAGTTTATAGATCATCATTTTGCGATTACGTGAGCTAAGGGTGTAAATCCGTGCATAGAAATATTATAAATCTTACGCCCGAAATAATCAAATTGATGCTGCTCAAATTTGGAGGAAGGGAACGCAACTATCTCGTCTGCTGGTGACTGATAACACTTTATCTCGAATTTGTGAAAGCATGTTCAGGACCGTTTCTTGCAATACCAACCTTTACACTGGCTTGTAAGCAATGTTCCACTGCGTTGACGGGGTTATCTGTGAAGAGCGCGTAGCCACTCTCTGGTGGAGTACGAATACCCATCATCTGAACGAAAGTAATAAAACTTCTATAAATTTACTGGTAACAACTAGGGAGGGATTTATCAAGAAAATCCTAGAATTCAAAATAACTTAACACTACAAGAAAAAGACAAAAGACTATGAGCTTGTGAATTAAACCAAAGGCGCGACCATAAGGAAACAGTTGAGGCATAAAAGGCAGCGTAAGAAGCACAAAGAAACTTGTAGCAAGCTAAATTAGGACTGTGCTTTAGCAGCGCCCAGTGGCCCCTGGCACCTTACTTTGCTCTTGGGCGACTAGAAAACTAACGCTTAGTTTGTGCATACCGAAATTTCATGCTGAGAACCCTCGATTTCTCAGGTTTAGAGAACTGGGATCAATTTAATAAAACCTTTAGAAGTGTAGCCAACGTTTTAGAGTCTCAAAAAAATAGCTACACTTGTAAATTACACTTGTAAGAGTTTTATTTAAATGACCCCTAGGCTCCCTTCGTATTTTATTAGAGCACAGCCTTGTAAGTTATGACACACTCCTCCACACTGTGAAGATCAACGACAAGAAAAATGCCTTGCCAAACCAGGTCGCAAGTATCCAGCTTAACATTGACAACCACTTCTCGAACAGCCCTTTGTTACGGCTTTAGACATAGCTGGTTAAGTTGAAAAAAAAAAAACGCTCTACATGTTTAAACGTAAATACTTTAGATACGGGTGAATTTAATGTCTATTTACACCATAGACTTCCATTTTCATCGACAGAAAGCAAGAACATGCCACTACAACTTACTCTGTTGATTGTCTGAGAGAATTCTTGAACTGTGGTCGAGCCATCAAAACCAAATACCTTAAATTACAATAACATACCGAAACATTAGCTTTTCAAATACACCATCCTCAAGTGGTTTTAAACTCCTAGGACTCCACACCTTTGACGTAGGAAAGTCTAGCCGGTTATGGTGTTCACACTTTCGACCGTACTGGCTAAAAATAATATGACAGCTATGTTGGCGCTCAATTGTTAACGACTAGGTATCTAAATATTGGACGACTGTGGGCCTGTAGCGAATCGACCACAAAACCGTGCGAAAACCACTCTTTTTTTGTGGGCAAATCCGCTGGTTTACACTTGGCCCTTTAGTGCACTAGTAAAACAATACTTTAATAATAACAGACCAAGTCGCCCAACGTTTGACTTACTTGAGTAGTGCCGTCGATAAAGTGAACTGGAATGCTCATAGAACAAGAGTGATCATATGGCCTGTGGAGAAGAACAGACAACACCTGCAGAAAAACGACCATGAAATGAATAAGAAGACAAATGCACTGAATCATTTATGTACACTAAACCTAAAGGGAGGGAACAAAGAAAAAAGCAGTCTTACTAAGCAATCCATATTGCATAAAAAATATTGCAGAATGTTAAAGCCACAAACAAGCGACTTAAAAACACGAGCATTTCTCTTTTTCTATTCAAGTTTTGTGAGGACAGTGGTCCATCCTCTGTCATCTTCAGAGAAGAGCTCGCTACATCTTGGCTTGCCAGATTTCGTGCGCACATGCAATGTTAAACGACGCCACGATGAACGGGGAGGCTTAACGCTCAGCGAAAGGAAATCTACTGAAGCAATTGTTCAATTCATACAATCGTCTTTTGTTTCACTGCTTCTAACCATTATTGGTGCAGACTAGGCAAGTCTTAGTGGAGTTTTTATTCCTACACATTACCTCCATTCTTGATGGTCTTGCCTCTCTTTTCCCGTTAGCCAACGTTCTTTCCAAGCTTCTAAGGCAATAGGTGGCATATTTTCCAAGCTTTGTTCTACAGAGGAAAACAAATGATATCCAAACCGTATGTTTCAGTGGCCAATGAAATCACGTGATCACAACTTTGAGCCAATCCCCTCCGGGAAATCCTTACCTAAAGAAGATCTTTAGAAAAAGAGTAAAATATCACGCACTAAACTACTAATATCCTATGCAAAAAGATTGTCAGTAATTCAATTATTATGTAGGAGCTGCAGGCAGCGTGGCCGACTTGCAATCCGGAGGCCCCGAGTTCAAGTCCCGCCCAAAGAGCTAACTGGATGTCGGTAGCTCAAATACTCGGCTACCCTGGCAAGTGGCCAACTAGTTTGCCTTCGGCCAGTTGCGATTCTTAACCCGACCTGCTATGTTTAATTTGAATTACTTGCTTCCTACTCTCTGAAAAGCCCTTTAAGGGAAGAGGAATATTAAGTATCGGTAGTAATTTTATTCAGTGATAGTGCTCTGAACTCAGCTGGGTCTCACTTTACACCATTCATTTCCAACAAGAGTAGAGACTTTTAGATTCGAGGACTACGACGAGATTTGAGTTTTTTTTCGCGTATTCTCAAAAATAGGCACCCCGAAAAGCTTCATTTTACTTTCTTTTTTTTTACCAGAAATTTTAACCCAGTTACTTTTATTGAAGGACGTTAAGCCCTCTCCCGATCGCAAATTTTAAATGATAAAACTTCTAACATTTGATAACTTGTTTCCGCTACTTCAATTTTTTGGCTAAACCCGGCAGAGAGTGACGACGACTACCGCGTTTTCCCGCCAAAATGACGCTGATTCACGCCCTTAGTATTGAGAAAATCTCGTCCTAGTAGTCGTCTAAAGGTCTCTAGTAACAGGAAATCATGAACAGCTACCTTAATGTCGAACTTCTGTTTAAATGCCCCTTGAGAAAAAGCAAAAATTTCTGTTTAGGGGCAAACAACGCGGTGCAGAGTGCAAGAAGCTGCCAGGCCTGGACATAGACATGCTCCTGAACTGGGCGCAGATCGATGGTGGCCTGTGATGAAATGTCGAACGAATCTTCCCTCAACCACGATGACTTGCCACAATGCTCCAAGAAATGCTGCAGAGAGACAGAACAGGGATGTTAACAGATGTTGTTTTCGTTCAAGGTGTAGAAAACAGCAGCGTAATTCCGCCGCGGTCTAATGTCCGAGGAGTTTTCTTTTTTCTTTTTCTCCAGCGCGTCCAAACGGTAATTTATGAGCCATAATAAAATATGAAATTCATATATTCATCACTTCATCTTCATCTCTCCCGGGTATATTACAGACCAATTTTTGACCACCTCCCATTGGCTTGCAAGCTCTTATAAGTTAGAGCGCTACACTGGTATTGCAGAGGTCAGGGTTCCAATCGCGGCAAGCCTGAATTTTTTAAGCTTTCTTTTCGCAACTACATATTAAAGTTGCGCCTTTAGCTGCGATGTGCTGCGCTAAGCTTCTTTGCATTTATTTTAGTGATAAATCAGGCACAAAACAATTAACTTAAGGTTTTCATAGACCAGCACCTGTATTCAACACAAGCAAGTGTTTGTTTGCAGTAGCGATTGCCCTTTTAGATTTATACGTGTTTGTGGTGATCAAGATTTTCCTTCTGTGACTCTTACAACGCCTCTAAGGAAAGAAACTTGCTCCTGAACGAGTAGTGGTAAGGGTTTGATTGAAAAAGTTAGGACATGGATTAGGGAGGGGATGAGTGGAAATGGTTCCCAAAGGAAGCAATAGATACTTTGGGGCCGAGTTCTCTAATCCTCTAATCCTCTAATCCTCGGTTAATTGCAAAGAATCCATGTGAGTTGTCACCGCGTTAAATAACCCGACATTAGCCATAATCGGCCTTTGAACAGTTAAAAAGAAAAAGAAGGGATGGGGAAGCAAAAACACTTACGCCCAAATCCTGAGGTCCCCTATGCACATGTTTTGAGGTTTGTTTAATCAGTTGGCAGTAAAACTCATTCTGAAGTTCAGGATGATCAAGGCATTTCTGCAAGGCATTCTGGGCTAGTGACACGTGATAATCGATGGCTGCTTCTTCTGTCTGCACAGTTGTAAACAGGTGCACGGACTAGGGAAAATAGTATACACCGTCAATAGAAATTCAAATAGATAAAAAAGGAGGAGAGATGGGGCTTCCGCCCTCGTTTCTCGCGCGTACTCTCGATCTACTGTGACTCAGAAGAAAAATAAAAGACTGCTCGCAGTCTAAGAAACAAAAAAAAATAACACATTTTAATTTGCAAAACGCTGAATAACAAATTGAAGCAGCTAGAGTAATCGTGTGCTTTCCAACCTTGAAAAGTTTGAGGGCTTCATCCTCAAGTTCCTTAGATGGAAGAGTAGTGAGCGGCTCGGTAATTAATTCTTTTACGTGATTCAAAACATAGCTATTCCACGTTTCACTCTCTGGAAAATAAAATAAAATACAAATGGTAAAAAAGATTATACCTGTTCAGTAAAAGTAAATTATGAATTATTTCACTTTCAGTGCCACAAATTTTATGAATTAGCCTGCGAACCGCCGACGAATTTCCGGTTGTCGCTTCTCTCCCTCCGAATTTTTAGGAAGGAGAGAAGCGACGACGGGAAATACGTCTGCGGTTCGCAGGCTATTTATGAATTGGACTCTGAGGAAAAATCGTTTTAAGGCTAAGCTCTGACAAAACTGTCTAGGGTGTCCAGCATACTAGTTTTTAGCAGGTAACTGGTGAAGTTGCCCGAAAGTCATCTCGCCCGAAGTTAGTAAGCAATAAACACTTCCAATCAAGAAACGAGAAGTTTTATGGAAAGGTTATTTGAGAAAAGTAAATATGTATTACCAGGATCACAGTCTTGAGAGATGAGTTCAAAGATGTGCTTCTCAAACTCTGTGCCCATGTCATCAATCCCGCTGCCTGATGCGACTTTAAGATGGAACAACCAAGAGTCCTATGAAGATTTAAAGATAATTGAAGATAGAGCGATTTTCGTATGACCTTGAAATAAAAACGCGCGAACAAAACAGAAACAACAAACTAACGGAAATAGAGCGATTTGATTGGTTTATCGACCGGATACAAACGCGCTTGGCTTTTGGTTGGGTAAGCAAACGCTCGGGTGAAAAAACTTCATGCCGGAAAACTGACTTTCTAGAAACACATCGATACTTTGCTTTGACGTCATACTGCAACACGATGGGCCCATCAATACTGTAATGTAATACTTATGACCCACAAGCCACATCTTCTAATAACCTCCATTGTAGATTACCTTCTCCTCTTTTGAGTCGATCAACAAGTAGGTGCTAGCGGGTTGTTTGAGTGACTTCATCACCAGTGTATAGTGCCGGTAAGGTATTGGTTCACTATCCAAACCATCTTCAGAATCAGGTGACTCCATGTCCTCCACTATCACATCAATCATGAGTGTCATGCTAAAGGGCATCTGTGTTTAACAACAACCAGTTAACACAAACAGTTAAACGCCTCACTCTACAGCCGAAACAATATTTTGTCATGCATTTTATGCACGAGTCTCCGGCTTGGATACTCGGAGCAACCCCATCTTATGTTATGACATGAATAAATTGATTGATTGATTGATTTTAATTATTACAGTACACCCATCTGTCAACAACAACAGTCCTATTCAGGACTACGTTCACCCGGACGATCAAACTCAACCTTTTGAAATGACTCCTGGGTTCAAGTCCTTCACAGCATCACAATAATGTTGTGAGAATTTTGTCCATTCAACATTTGGAGCTTGATAACAATGCTATCTGGGTTAATATACCCTAGGTGTCAGAGATTGTTTCCCTGTTTGGGAGCCAGGGAGTTGAGCAGCAGAGCTGCCAGAGTGAGTTGCGAAGCAGCGAGAAAGGTCGCTGACCAGCACTTTGGGATTCAGGGCAGAGTGAGTGATTTTACATTAATTTTTTGTTCATTTACCAAATGAATAATACATACATGTGAGTGTTCAAATTATTAGATGGAGTTGTTATTAACTGAAACAGAATTCTCCTTTACTTACCACATCATCTTCACTCTTGTAGTAACAAAGGTACTGTCCACGTAAAACAGTCCAACATTTCTTGGATGTACCATGTTTAACCTTTCGGCGAACAAAACAAAATCAGTAACAGGAATGCAGCTAAATAGCACCCAAGTCAATGCTTTGTGTTTACACTATCTAGTGGTGAGCCTTGCCTCTGTCCTCTCTAAGCAACATTTTCCCTAGGATACTATGTCAGAAACAGAGAAATTTGTTTTAAATTAATATATATTATTTTGCCACAGTATTTTTCCCCGAGTAAATTTGGGATTTAATAAGCTGGTGGTTTAGAATGATAACATGCATGGCAGGTGCATAAAAAAACATGGGGCGTGAGACAAAAGATGAGCATGATAGAGGAGGACAAGGGCAGTGCAACTGTTTTTATTCATTCCTTAAATTTATCACATGCCATCTACACAGGCTATTAGAATGGGGACTCTTGTCTCATCTTTCTCCCACACGATTTATAAGCATAACCCTTTAAGCCCTAAGAGTGATCAGCATCAAATTTCTCCTTGTAATATCAATGCTTTGTAAAACAGAGTGGTCATGAGAATTACGGACATGATCACACAAGATTAATTTGCTTGATATTTTATCATCTTCTCCCCACTACTTCTGTAGGAAATGAATACGGGCAACAAATGAGAATTTAATTTTGGCCTTAGGGTTTAAAGGGTTAACACTGCTGTATGACATCCTGACCTGTCATTGCCTGAAAATAGAAATTGAGTTCAGGGTTGGGACCAATAAGGCAGAAAATGAACTTTTCAGTTTCTCAATTTCTCGTTTGTCAGGTCCAAAAATGCAATTTGAGTTCATAGCCTCTACAAAATCTTTTGCAATAACGTTTGACACGAAGCTGGAATTTGTCATTCACAAGTAATTTCTTATAAATAAGTTGGGTAGGGGATGTAGACCCTGGTGGTGTGGCCAACCTTTCCCAGGCTGGGTGGGTTATCTGTAAGGAGAGATCTTAATATAGGGAGAACCTCATGATCCTCTATCAGGTGTGGTAATGGCTACCTGTAAACTGTGTACGTATGTATGTGTAGCAAACAAGGAAGTATATGTGGCATTATTGACAAAATTAACTATTCAGACAGCCATCACGTAACCCATTTAATAAACGGGTTGAAGGTAAAGGAAAAGCAACCATATTTCACGTCGATAACTTGTGACAGTAATAACTAATAAACTTGAGGTCAACTGTGCACTCATTTTACACCCCCCTCTCTCCATCAATGCTCTGCTTTAAGGGTATTTAAAGCTCAGTAGTCAAAGCTACACAGAAAGGAGAGAAGTTGAAACAAGGTTGTGATGTCACCGGGGATCGAACTCAGGACTTCACGCACTGAAAGTCTGGTTTTGAACGATAAAAATTCTTACTTGGCTCAACGGCTGGGCGGGTATAATACAAAATAAATAGCACTGAGATTAATTCTTTTTCTTTTCCTTAGGCTCAGAGTCGAGCATGAATATTGGAATCTTTGAAACTGGTCCATTCAGCCAGCAAGTAGACCTGAGTATGCAAAACTCTGGGACTAAAATTTACTTGATTGATCAGTCTCACCTTTGTTAGCCAGCCTTTCATGATTTCTTTTTCACTAGCTTGCAAGAGTGGAGTGCTTGAAAACTTTCTCATCACATTATGCAAAACTAAAAATATATAAATCTTAGAAATAAGTGAATGAAAGAATGAATAATAATAAAAAGCATGGAGCACGGTAATGATGTTGTTTGAAAGCCAGTCACTGCTTATCCTGCTTTCAATGCTAATCTGGGTTTCTGCTTCTTTGAAAGCATTGTCTCTGTTGACTTCAGCATAGTCATTTCAGCACACCCAGGAGTCAAATTGTAGTGGGCAAAAAGAATTTGCTTCATAAGCATTCAGATTTTAATCTAAATATCATAATTGTGATGTAGCCCTGCTTATGAATAAATAACCTTAAACTGGATGAATTTAATATCAATAATTATACTATATGTTATTAAAGTTTCATAATAATTATTCTTATTACCTCTGAGCCACTCATCAACGACTTCCTTTGTCTCGCCAGTTAAGTAAAATGTTCTCTTTGGCGTTGCAACCTTTAAGTTAAGGATTGTATGCAAATTAGCTATAACATGAAGGTAATTATAGAAAGTGATCCTAAGCTAGGAGTCTTATGGTAGCCAATGTAACTGAATGATAAATGTTAAGAAGTTCATTTACTTATTTCTACTTACGGTTGCAAAAAGAGGGCCTGAAAAAATTGAGTACTGTAAACTTCAACTTATAAGCACCCCTACACTTGTAATTCCCCCCAGTTATACCATTTGCCAGTAAACCAAAAAAATACAGCCGGTTATAAGGCTGGCCCCCACCCTCCAGATATAAGCTCCCCTGTAGCATGTACTGAAATGAATTCCATTTTTTTACAATGTTTCAAAGCATAAAAAAGCGAGTAAATTCAAAAAGTATTTGGATCAGCACTGCTATATAGCTTGTTTTGAAATGATTTTTTGAGTCTAGTTAAAAGCCTCCCCTGGATAGAAATGCCCCTTTTTGATATGTCCTCACTAAAAACCCTTACGAAGGTGTATTAGCCTGGGGCTTTGCCAGAAATAAAATATTAATGTTTCTTACTTCAAATGTGAGTGCACCTTCTGTTCTGGCAATTCTGCAAGTCCCATCCAATGGAATCTGTCCTAGAGGTTTTCTGTTTACATCATGCTACAACAGAAAATTCGAAAAGTTGATCACGTCATGAGAGAACAACAAAGTCAATTGCTGTCATACTTTTCAACATCATTCAATGCTATGCTGAACATCTGCTTAAGAGGGACACCAGGCTATTATGTGTAAGGAATTTCCCTTGTGATGTGCAGAAAGTCAGGGTTGTGCAAATGCATCTCCTTCACTTGGTAAAACAACATGAGTTAAGAAGCAGTTTTCTCATTCAGTTGAAAGGAAGTGATATGGTACAGACTTTATAGGGTTTATGTAAATGTAACAGGTCAAAATATATTTGGATTAAAATTTTTTATCTGCATGTTTCACCTTAAAGTAAACTAACCAATTACTTTGAATAGATCAAGTTAGTAGAATCTTAAAACTTATAGCTCTAAGGTTAAAAGACAGACTTAAAATAAAGTAATATTGGATAACTTTTTTACCTCTGTCTTATAGTAGTAAAGTTTACCATCACGAAGAACAAACCATCTTCTTTTCCAGTTTTTTACACGGCCTCCTAGCTTGGTTAGATAGCCTTCCTTTTTCTGGTCTCCCTACAAAAAGACATGAAACTTTCTTTCCCTAACGGTACTCTCTGATAGACTGACATTTCCAAAATTACTTCCCTCATCACAAAATGAACAAAAAAAAGGCCATTGAATGGCAGGCATTATTTGCAGTGTCAGTATGTTCAGCTGTAAATTTACAGATGCCATCAAAAGTGTTAACAACAGGACAGAATTAGCCAAGGAGGCCCACTCCACTGTTAGCCACTGATGATTTTACCATATTTTGACCACTTCTGCAATCTAAATCTTAACAGAAGCACAGCAAACAATGGAATCCACCTGTTCCCTATATGATCAGGAACAAAAATAAGCCTCATAGTGCTCACTTAACAAGGATTTTTTTCCTGATTTCAGCAATTTCAAATTTGGAGAGATCCATGGGTAACTTGAGAAGACTTGTCAGTCACAGGGCGAGTATTTCTTTAGGCGCTGGCTGGTAAAGGGGTTGGGTTGACGTGTTGATTGACTATGGTGAATTCAATCATACAAATCATTACCTTTTTCAGACTAACAGTGGTGTATGTAGCACAGGTCTTTAACACTTGTGTAGTTTCCTCAAGGACCTGATCTGTTTTTTCTTTAAGTTGCGAACGTTCTTCAGCTGGCGAGAGTTCATCAGGTGGAGTACAGTAATCCCCAGCAGTGCTCTCAGTGTCAGATGAATCAGTTGATTCTCCTGAAAATGGTGTCTTGCGCAGCTGAGAAGCTCTCTGTTGAATAATTAATATTATAATCAAAAACTGTAATTTAAAGGGACCAAGAAACAAAAATTGGATTTGTCTTTGAACATTCAAAATTGCAAATGCAGACCCTAACATTAACAGTGACTATTAAAAAAAGCAATGTTAGCAGGTGCTATGAATAGATTACCGATATTCTTTAAAAACCATTTTTTACTTTTAATATTTTAAAATAACCTTTATTTTATTTTATATTGTTTACTTTTTTGTTTAACCTTTAATATATGTATATTTTCAAGGGCTCACCTCTAAAACTATCTTAGCGTTTTTTTTTTTACTACAGCATCTACAGGCAATTTTTAAATTTTTAAATTAAACATTTTTTAATGTTTAACTTTTTAGTTTTTTTTCTTTTCAAATATGTGGTAACCAGGAGGCAATAAAGCAAGTAATCTTGAGCAAGCATCATAGTTCCATCCATCTTTCCAGTTTTGACAGGTATAACAACAAATGACAAAAGCAAAAAGCCTTCATTCCAATCCTCAAAAGGTGACAGTTTATTAATAACTAATTAAGTTAGTCCGGGACCATCAGTGGTGCACAAGTGCCTGTCCTGTACATCACACAACACAGGTACAGCAGGTAAAGCTTTGACCTTTTACTTTTGGATTTCATTCAATAGTGCACTTACCACAAAGATTGCACTACACCTCCTTGCCTTTAGATGAAATAAGTAATGAAAACAGGTATGATTAACCATGTTAGAAAGCAGTGCAAAATCAGTATGGTTCATACAGAAAAATGTCACTCAATATTAAACCAACCTTTCCAGAATGTTTTAAGGCCACTGGAGTAATTTTAATGCACTTGATCTTAGGGCTTATATCATCAAAAATGACTTGATTTTCAACAATTTAGTGATGTATACAAATGTGCTTCTCAAAATTATATCTAAGTGGCATGGAAAGAGTTTTCCCTTTGACCTCAGGAATACAACAGTTAATTTTCAAGCTGGTGATTAAAATGCCAAGGCAGGTCAGACAAAGTTTCAACGAACTTCTTAATTAATATTGAATGATGCTTAAGCAAAAACTATTAGGGCCTTGAGGAGAAGCTTACATTTAAGTAGTCAAACTTTTTATACAAAACTGAAAATCACGTCCAGGTGACATTCAAAATGAGTAAACTAATAATCAGTTACTTATCCTGACCTCGCAGTTATTATCCCATTTAAATAATATTAAAGCTCTTTCAAATTCTCTTATCAAAGGCCTGACAAAACTGTTTTATTGATTATCAAATATGTTAATTTTTTTCATTATCAACAAACTATTTGTATTATTGATTTTAATATAATATTATTATAATAACAATTAACAGTACTTTGAGAACTGATGAGTTTTGATGAATGTTATATTCAACAATTTTAATACAAAGCAATCTAAAATGAATAAACAGTAGGCAATATTTATAAGAAGTAATAAAAAAATTGGTATGTTACGTGTTTGTGGAAATAGGATGAGAGTGCTGAACTACATGCCAAAAAAGCATGAAACAAAACAAACACATACCCCTTTCAATGTGGTGTAAACAGGACAGGTTTGTTCCTGTGAGTATGTTGAAAATAAAAACTACAAATTAAAACCAACAACTAACACAACTGCAAATTAAAATAACTGGTCAGATCAAACAAGCAAGGAAAAATGATAATGACTATAAACAGTACCGATATATTGTAAAGAAAAAGTTATCATTAATATGGTTAAACAACTTTGAATAAAAAAATACTAGTTAGTAAATTCAAAAAACAAAATATTGAATTCAACCAAAGATAAAACACAAAGTGACTACTGGATAACAATACTACATTGACAAAATAATATTAAAACAAAAACAAACAACTGTTTGACAAAACTATTACCTTAATAAAATTAATTATTAACGACTAATAATAAAATGGTGCATTGAACAGATGACAATGCAATAACCAAGAGGATGCTTGAACGTATAAGATTTTGTGATACTGGCAGGGGCAACTAGGAAAGTTTAGTTTTTGCTTAAAACTAATGCAAGGCACCCTGGATTTTATAGGTTTCAGAGCAATGGGAGTGCTCCCTTGAAACTCTTCTTAAACCACAGCCTTGTTCCATATCTTTTAATATTACATTTTTTGTGGAGAAAATTATCTGGATTTTTCACTGAATTAAACCAGTTATAGATCATGGATCATAAATAACAGGCCCAAAATGATGTCTTTAATTAATGCCCATCTACATTGCTACAGCAGCCTTAAAATAGAATTTCCTGACTGGCTGTGTTCAGAACTAAGATTGACCCTGACTTGGGGCAAAATGCACTGACTTTTCCCTGACAACGCCAACCCTGTTAGCATGTAACAACACCTTTAGTTTTCTCACCGTCAACATGTTGAGCTCTTTATGGGCTCTGTCCAGTGTACCAAATGGAGGGGTATCTGAACCTGAAAATAATAACATGATAAACTTTTAACATTCAAAATTTAGTTCCACCTGTGTGTATACTGAAAGCAAAATTCCCTCTTTTTTAACTCTGTAAACTTGAACAGTGCAATACAGTATTATGAAAAACTACCATGGTCTAATATCAGAAGCCTTTAAATAACTTTTGCGTATTTTTTCTCTAAAATATACAACTCCAACCATGGTTGCCTCTATTCATCCCATCAATCTTTCAATACATGTGAAGACAGCAGGTATTGTAAATATCACACCTCCAAAAGAGACAATGCATACACGTACATGTATGCTTGCAGGGGTTTCAATAATATTGAAGTAGCCAGCAGGTTTGAATAGAGTAACCAACTGCATCGACAAGCGGCCAATAGTCCCTTTCTTCTAAGGGGGTCTGGGGGCTTGTTCCCCCAGAAAATTTTGGAATTTCAAAACCTTAAAATGCAATTTCCAGTATTCCGGGGATTAAATTGAGAACAGAAGAGTCTGCTTTTCATTCAAGAAAATGCTGTTTTCATTCAGGCTTCATAGCCACACAATCAATTCTTACAAACAATGAACAAATGTCAATATTCAAAATTAAGTACATTTGCACATAAACAAATTCTGCCTAAACCTACAAAGAAATGTGTGAAAAATTGACTGAAATACAGTGTTTGTGTGACCAGAAGCACGTCAGGTGTAACTAAAGCATAACATATCAGTGGACCTTGAAAGCAGATCATAATCAACTTACATTTTAACTCAGATTTAATGATATATTTTTTGTTTATGAAATTTTAAAAATTAATTGCTTCTTTTTCGGGGAAAAAAGTAGCCGACTGCTCTAAGCAAACTAGCCGATGCATTTTGTTGGTCGTCAGTGCTTATTGAAACTGCTGATGCTTGGTAGGGTTAACACAGGAAGTTATAGTGACCATCCACAAAAGGGACCTTGGGGAAAGACCCCACCCTCAAGGTTTATGTAAGTCCAGAGGAAAACCCTCCTCCAGCAAATTTGGAGCAGTATTATTAGAACCTCTCAGGAGAAAGTTTTTTTCCAAATTGGCAAACATATCACCAATCCATTAAGTCAGCAGTTCTAAAACCAAGGTCAGGGTTCCAAAAAGACCCCTCTGGTAGTTCAGGACATGTAGATTTTCTTTCTGGGAAAGGGTCCCGGCAAGTCATTCTTTAACAAAATCATTAACTAAGACAAACTGAACAAGAAGTGGCCCTTAGTAAGCAAAATTTGAGAGCTGCTTGCCCAAAGGACAAGCTGGAATTAAAATTTGTTTGAGCCCACCTGAAGGTGTCAAAAATGTATAAAAAAAACTTGGATCAAAAACAGGACACTTGGATGCCCATGTTGCTAAAACCTTGAAGCATACCTGAATTATCATTCCACATCCAGGACTGAACAGCAATCTGTGCCAAAGATGTCACATTCTCAGTATTCTCTTTACTTGTTTGTGGTTCTGATTTACTTCGAATCTCTGTGTCCGTTAAGTAGCTAGCAAAATTAGATTCTCTTCTAACAACTCCCTGTTGGTTTGTCTTAGGAATCGGTGGAACTGGAGGTGGTAAAACAGTTTCTGGCTCAAACCTTGGAGGTAATGCTGGCGGGGGTGAAGGCTGTGGTAATCCACTATCTATTGATGACAAATTGTCAGTCAGAGCGTCCACAAATGTTCTTGTTGATTCCAACTCTTCAATAGTTTGTTCAATAGTTTGATAAATAGGATTAGGAGTCACTGATTGATCTCTAAATGAACCTATAGATGATCGGTCAGATAAATCCTCTTGCTCAGTTCCTGCTATGCTGGGAGTTGTGCTTTGATGATCTAATCGAAGAGCTACCAATTCCCCAAGCTGAGCTGGAAAACCATCTGAATTATCAATGTGATTTACAGGTTCTAAGTAAGTTTCAAAGACATTGTCAGCTTCAGAATCCAGTGTTGACTGGCTATCATAATGTTTCTTCAGTGGAACATTCTCTGGTGACAATAACTGCATGTAAGGACTGTGTGAATCTTGTATCTGAAGGAAAAACTTGGACTGAGACCCACCCTTTAGCCCTCTCTTGAGTGACATGTAATATGAGATTTGCGCTGATCTGGGATCTTCGGCATTCCCAACAAATCGAGGAATTTTAGATGGCGATTTGCCACTTGATGTCCTTTTTATTCTTATTTCAACAGGTTGATCAGGTAAACCTGAATTAGCATCATCATGTTCATCTACTGAAGTTCTTGCCCCCCAATCAGGAGAGATAGCTATTGGTGAGAGTGCAAGAGTGCTTGTAGAATCAACTGAGGACTGACTTGTCAGTCTTTCAGTTTGAAATGACTGAAATCCAGACTCAAGCTGTTCTGGATCAGGTTCCAAGACAGAATAGTCCCCATCCTGACACTGGGCATTAGCAAGTTCCCTGGATAATCTGATAACTTGATCTGTTAAAAACAAACAAACAAACAAATACAGTATTAACTATCAAAATGATAAAAGTGTTAATAATACATTGATTTCCTTCAAAACACACTGTACAGCTGTAGTGCAATGTCCTGCACCTGTTTATGTGGGCTCACTGAGCTGCTAGCTCATACATGTACTGCTATCAAAAATAATATTATTATAATATTTTATAATAACAATAAATTATTAAATTTTCAATTTCAGTTATCCACTATGCCTTGAAGACATATCACTGTTTTTAAAACAGACAGTCCCCACAAATACTGACGTCAGCAAAATTCCAGGAAAAAATATAACAAGCTCAGAGATTTGAATGAAATAAGTTCCCACTCTGCTATTATGGGCTCTAAAATGGATTTGACTGTAGTTATTTTACCTTGTTTCTACATGTTGATGCTTAAACATCACTAATAACATTGAAGAAGAAAAGGAAAATGAAATGAATTCTGGTTCCTTCTTATGGCAAAATAAATGCCACCGCATAAATGGCCTATTGCAATTTTGCAGTGGCATGGATGTTTAGTGAAGGAGCAGAAGAAAGAAATGCAGCGCCCACCTTGAGAAAAATTAAGTTTGGTTTCAATTTCTCGCACCATGTTCACAGCCTGTGTATGTAATCTCCTAAGCTGCTCATTCTCCCTGCTAACTTCTTTAATTATGTCTCGGTATTGCAGAAACTTTCTTTCATCCTCCTGTAACCTTGCCTCATACTGTCACATAAAAATATAATCAATTGGAATTCTTATAAAGAGATTTTTCCAATTATAACTGATAATCCGTCAGTTAATGGGTTAAACCCACTATTTTTTATGATCAATGTTATAACATCTCACAGGATTTCCATAGTATGACTGATGCAACCTACCTCAGAAATCTTCTTATGCATCCAGGTTTTGATGTGGGCTGCCTTATCTTCAACTTCCTTTTCACGAAGTATCCGCCTTTGTTTCTACATAGAAGATAAAAAAACCCAAGATTACTTAGCCTGCGTAGCAAGCATTTCTGGTGGTTTCGGAGCAAAGAACAAGGAACGTGAGTCAAAGACCACACAAAAAATGTGGCAAGTAAGAGAGTGAGGAGGGGGTGGGGAAAAAAGGAAGGAAACACTCGCAGACAAACCTTAGGATTTTTAAAACCGCGCACTTGGCCTGTCATGCCTGAGTGCATGCACCCACATTTGATGCTGTCATCAGCTGTCATAAATCGACCAATAAAATGTTTGGCCTTCCATAGAGCAGAAGTGAACTTTAGAGGACATGTGTGGAACCAACACAAAGTTTCTCAACTTGTCAAAATTTTTTAGTAAACAACGCACAGACGGCAGGAATGGACAAATCACAGTGAATCTAAACGATCAATGCAGGTTTTGTCATTGCAGCTTCAAAGTTAAATTTGTTAATTTACGCCAAAGAAGCTATATTTCTACCCAAAATCTTTTTAATTGGTCTAAAAGCCTGCAAGGATGAAATTTTAGCTCAAAACCTCCAGAAAGTTGGATTTGGGGAGGTAAAATGTGACATGAAGTATTCAAGTCTAGAATTTTCAATCTGTGAGGGGGGAGGGGGGCAAAGTCAAATCTCAGCTAGACAGAACGGCTGGTGTCTTGCCATGGCACAGAACAACTTGAGTTGCTCTTACAAATCCAGTTAAGCACAAAGTCAACCCGGCAACTGATGAGGTTCGCGTGGAGAACCGAAACCATGGTCTTGCCTGTTCACAAAGTGGCAATAACAGAACAGTCTTACGACTGTTAAGCTAATTCAAAAGTTAATATCCTGCAAAAAATACTAAAAAGCTGGGCCTGGCATGACAAAACATTGCAGGAAACCATCACATTTACAGACAAAAGAAAATCAATTTGTGGTTATTCAGATCGAGGACGCACTTTGGAGAAAACTAAACAACACTAAACCCTTTTTAGCTGCAAGAAGAACTTTGCATTTGATGTTGAGAATGGTTTCAAGACAAAATATAGAGTGCTAGTTGCAAAACAGTCTATTTTCAAATGTGCATTTGCCACTTTAGAAACATGAAGGGACTTGGAGCCAAAAAAGTGTTGAGATCAATGGTTTTTGAGGCTGTTACTGGGGACATGCAGTTCATCTATTAGCCAATGTTTTTCCCTATCCAGAGTGACTGTCTCAGAAGTCTTGTGAAAGTTAACTTGGCCAAGTTTCCTTCTTGTTTCTAAAGTGGCTAATTGGCACTCAGCCTCCATCTCAGAATAGGAACCCTGTATTACCTCATCCTCCAGCTCAGCCCTTAATTGTGCAACTGTTTCATCTTTCACAGTCACCATGCTCTCCAAATGCTTCACCTAGAAAAACCATCAATAAAATATAATGCAGAAGAAACAAAAAATTGTTTCATTTGACAAGATATTATACCTGTAGGTTACAAGGCTATTCTCTAAGAAAATTGAAGGGAGCCCAGTGCCGTGAACCTGTGAAATACAGGATGCCCAGCATGTGATGTATATGAAAAAACAAAACAGATTTTCAAGCCACCCAGGAGGAAAAGTTAGCATGCCAAACATCACCGGGGACTTCTAGAGCATAGTCTTAAGTTAGAGAATGCGTATGCCAGGATGTACAGTTTTGTTACAAGAAAAAGTCCAAAGGCTCATCAAAAGGAAAGGTTACCACAAAACAAGACTTAACAATAACAGCTGTATCCAACTGGTCAAACTAAAGAAAAATTCAAGTTTGGTCTGAAGTCCTGTGGTCCATACTACAGCAATGGATGGATTGAAGCAAATGCAAATAAATAACAACACAGAATATATTGAGCCATGAAACTTCTAAAAAGTTATGTGATCAGTATGAGTATAATAACAGCTAACCTGTTGGGCTTTTTCTGCTGCTTTTGCATCAGCACTTCTTGATTTTTCTTCCAAATTATTTAACTAATACAACAAAATAGAAATGATTGAATAAGATATATTACATGTACAAACCACAATGAATCTTAAGAATGACTCAGCCCCAATATCCCTCTTGATATTATATTCTAAGCAATATAAAAAAGCATTCAAGCCCAAAAAAGGCCAAACTTCATTTAAACTTGGCTTGTAACATTAATACATGTACTTGAAAATTATCATTGCTGTAATTAATTTTCTTTTTAGTAAAAGTACATTAAGACACGAATGAATGAATGAATGAATGAATGAATGAATGAATGAATGAATGATACTTCATTTCAATAAAGTGCATAATAATATTACAGTGTTGTGGTCAGTGTAAAGTGCAGACTGCGGACTATTGTTTTCACCATGCAAATGAGTGCGTGACAATAATCACAGGAAAAAATAACGGATTCCCATTTTTGGATATTTTTGGGTATTTAAAGAATACCCATAAAAATCCCAAATTTGGCAAAGTGAGACAAGTCCCAACCAGGGAATTCCCAACCAAGTTCCCAGATTGAGACTTGTCTCACTCTTCCAAATTTGGGATTTTTGTGGGTATTCTTTAAATACCCAAAAATATCCAAAAATGAGAATCCGTTATTTTTTCCTGTGAATAGTCCCATTGTTTTCTAACCCCAAAAACAATAGTCTGCAGTCTGTCTGCAAGCCAGAAAAGCAACACACTTTAGAGTTTTTTCCTGAGATTAGCTGCGTGGGATGACCAAGATAGGGAGGGGTCGATATCCAGTCCCAAGAAACTGCTTGTAAGGGAATGTTAATAGAATAAACTGCACATGTAGACAGACTACCAGGAAAGACGAAAATGGTCAAAAATCTGTATTCGCAGGATAAGCTCCCTGAACTTGTTAAAAGCATTTACAAAAATTTGGGAAAAAAAACTATTATCTCTATCAGAGCCCAAATACCATACCACTCAAGTGCTGAACCAAATAATTTATTATTGAATGGTTTTTCTTTCCTTCCCTTGTTTTATAAAGTTTGACTGTGGAGCAACTACTTCAGTACTTAGGTTGAACGAAGACAAAAAAGATAATGGCCACAAAAATTCTGCCTGTTGTAACTGAAAAGAAGAGTTTATATTTCACCCATTTGCCCCTAAGGCACCTGTAACCGCCCATGCGGATCCACATTCTTTCTACCCCTTGTAACATCATCAGGTTTAACGGTCAAGGACAACTTTGTCCTCTTACTTGTGCAGAGTGAAGGGATCTTTTAAAGCAAACCAGAATGAGCACAATTCAGTCAAGGACACCAGAAAAAAGGCAAAAAACCACGTAACATTGACCTGAAAATTTCCATGAAAATCTTGTTCCACTGCCCAGCTACCTTTCCTTTCACCTAATCCTAAGATCCTAAAAGCTTTCTTAAAAACTTTTTCCACCAAAATGAAGCCTACTAAATGCCCAGCAATAGAAAAAGAAATGATGCAAGAAAAGCAAAAAAAGAGGGTAGAAGAGAAAGGGAAAAGTAAAAGTCAAGACTGCTGTGTCAGAGCCCAAATACCATACCACTCAAGTGCTGAACCAAATTATTTATTATTGTATGGTTTTTCTTTCCTTCCCTTGTTTTATAAAGTTTGACTGTGGAGTAACCGCTTCATTACTTAGGTTGAATAAAGACAAAAAAGATAATGGCCACAAAAATTCAGACTATGAAAAGAAGAGTTTATATTTAACCCATTCGCCCCTGAGGCACCCATAACCGCCTGTGCGGATCCACATCCTGTTTACCCCTTGTGACATCATCAGTTTTAACGGTCAAGGTCAACTTTGTCCGCTAACTTGTGCAGAGTGAAGGGATCTTTCAAAGCAAACCAGAATGAGCACAATTCAGTCAAGGACACCGGAAAAAAAGGCAAAAAACCACGTCACATTGACCTGAAAATTTCCATGAAAATCTTGTTCCACTGCCCAGCTACCTTTCCTTTCACCTAATCCTAAGATCCTAAAAGCTTTCTTACAAACCATTCCCACCAAAATGAAGCCTACTAAAACGCCCAGCACGAGAAAAAAATGATGCAAGAAAAGCAAAAAAGAGGGGAGGAGAGAAAGCGAAAAGTAAAAGTCAAGACTGCCGTCTCACTTTCGAAATTTTGCTTTCTGCATATGCTCAAACTTCGTACGCTTATATTTTGTATCTGAATCACAAGGCCGTGAAATGTACAACCTCACTAAGCGGGTTTGTGGTAAGTCTTAGCTCTTAATAGCAAGACAGTGACCCGAAAACCACTCAACTAGCTTCAAAACACGTTTTTCGGCAAAATCTCCAGGAGCAAATGGGTTAATAAAAAATTATAAAAGCATAACAGCCAGTGCAAGAGAAGATCATAAATTGATATGAATCATCTACATTGTACTCCAGTAGCATGCACGTTCTACATGTATGTCTATTAGTCTCCTAATTCCTTTGTTGCACACACAAAGGGACATTAGTAAAACAGAGTCACTTTATAACATTGTTTCAGAGTATATCATTGAACTTCTTTTTAGCGACCACCCAAATGCAAAGTGGTTGCTAATTGGACTTGGTCATCTAGACACCCCGGGCCAGCTGTCATCAAAAAGTGATCTCTTTCAAACAAGTTCTTTAATTTTTAACCGTTTGAGCTGAGACTTTGCACGATAATAGAACTTTGTATTCCCAACAATGGTATGTTTTTGGATTTTTTATTTTAACGGTTTTTGGCGCGAAAATGACGTCACAAGATTGACAGCAAAAAGTAGTTTTCGACTTATGGCGTAAAAAACTGGAACTTTTAAAAGAACTTACAGAGATGAGCTCAAATGTGAAAAAAGTATTTGTAAACCTTAATTGGCTGAAAAGTTATTGAGCTGTGAATTTCGTATTTTCCGCCATTTTGTTACTATTTTTAGAAATTTGGTGATCTTTAGAATGTCATATCTTCTTAACCAAATGAGGTTTTCAAAAACTTTTTTCACATTCAAGTTCTTCTCTGAGTACTCTTTCAAAATTGCTAACCTGTTATGGCATAAGTTGAAACTTATATTTTTCTGTCAATCTTATGACGTCATTTTCACGCCAAAAACCGTTGAAATAAAAAATCCAAAAACATACGATTGTTGGTAAAACAAAGTTCTATTATCGTGCAAAGTCTCAGCTCAAACGGTTAAAAATTGAAAAACTAGTTTGAAAGAGATCACTTTTTGATGACAGCTGACCCGGCATGAGAAGAGAGTCTAACCACAGGAGATCTCTTCTGAGAAGAGGACTGGGCATAACTACTTTTAAAAAGATTTCCACTCAGAAAAAAAATGATATCCTTTTTATGCATTTTGCACAAATTTTTGAGTATCCACTTGAAAGGTTTCATAATTTGATTTTCTACTCTACGATTACAAGACTATGCCCCCACAACACTTTGGACTGTGAATATTGGTTCTCTATCATAAATGAAAACTCTGAGATCCTCAATATTTAAAAAAATGTAAAATAGAAGTAAAAAGCTTTGAATAGTCAGGAAAAGGGAAGTCTGGTCTTTATTGTAACAGGGCTTGAAAAAAGCTTGAATTCTAGTTTGACCTTTGGACTAGCAGCAGTCTCACATTTTGCTTTTCCAGAGCCTGATTGCTTGCTTTAGCTAATTGTTCAGTTACCAGATGTCTTGCATGGTCCCTTTCCTATTGGACCACAGGTAAACCCCCCTGTTCATGGGGCTGTTGTCATTATTGAAACCTGAGCATCGCTTTTTTTACGGCCACTACAATTTACTCCAAAATACAGATTTGAACCGAAATGTTCAAACAAATTTCAAGCAAAATGTCAACTTGGTCACCTGTCATGTTTTTCATCATCCCGAGCTGTTAAGAGCGTTTTTTTTGGGAGATGATTATTTGACCAGAAGTTTAGAACTAAAGAACGTTAATCTGTACAGGGTTTCTGATATTTCGCGCAGTCACGGACCCGCGAAATTCAGGTATTTCCGCAAAATCCCACAAAATTCCCAAAAAAATGCGAAATACTACGAAATCTGCCAGAAATATTTCCAAATACATGTTGGCAAAACATATTTAATACTTATCCTGGCTATTAGACCTGTTTTATTCACCCTAAACGTCCAAATTTATCTTGAAACTTCGTCACTGCAACAAGTAAACAACATCCCAAAACTACCAGACGTTTTTAGATGAACGTTGGGAAAAACTGGGCACTAACCATAAAGTTAACAGCTTTAGCATTCGCTCATTTCTCGAGCGAACTGTTGTTGAAAGAGCAAATGATTATCCCTGTTAAAAAAATGTTAAACAACACTGGTCGTATCCACGCAAAACTGATCGATTTTAGCGAAATTTGCTAAAAAAATCCAGCGAAATCAGCTGTTTTTTACTGATTGTTTCTTGGCGAAGTTTCCCCCGAAATTTCCTGTGAAATCGGCTGATTTTTCTAAGAATTTGCCCCTGAAAATCCTTCGAAATTTGACTTTTTTCCGCTAAAATCCCGCAAAATCAGCCTATTTTTCTGCAAATTTTGACTTGTCCCCGGCGAAAATCCCATGAAATCAGCCGATTTTTCCGCGAATGTTGACTTTTTTCCCGCGAAAATCCTGTGAAATCAGCCGATTTTTTAGCGAATTTGCACCTGAAAATCCCGCAAAATTTAGCTTTTTTTCCGCGACCTATCAGAAGCCCTGTCTGTATTTCTTCTATTGAGTACAAAAGACCAATGCCCAGATTCAACAGCAACAATGGCCAGATGAACAGAGGGTGGTCTGCCTATAATTAGACAAGTGAGGTTAAAAAGTTACTTGCACAAAAGGAAAATCTACATGTCCTGGATGACCAGACATGACTTTCTCCTACCTCTGTCTAACAGACCAATTTTTTACAGATAAATAATCATAAATTCCCACTTAAACAAGAGAATGCCTATAAAGTGTGTGATGAGGGAGAGCAAAGTCCCATGAGCCACATAAAAAATGAACATTTAAACTGGCTTTATAAAATATTTAACTTATCGATACACAATGCCCACAACAGGAGACTAGCAAGACAATTATTTCACTTGGCTATGCCTTTAAGGAAAACACTGTATACTACACAAAATACAAAGCCAATTTCAGCAACATGGCAAGCTAATATTCACAAACCGGAAAAAATTGCACAGTTTTGTGTGCAACAAACTTGGTGTTTGTTTCACTTTCCCTTGTGAAAAGTAAAGATCAGGAGTGTACCTGAACCAATTATTTTACAACAGTGTTTACCTTAGCCATAATCAAAATACGTCACTATTCGGTAAAGGGTTTTACTTGATGACACTACAGAAATGTTGACATCTAAACACTCCACAAAACAGTAGCGTGTGGCCGGACATCAGCAGACAATCTAACATTTCTTGTGGTTCGTGATTTCATTTCAAAGGAAGAAACAAAGAGAGCAAATTTGCCGCATTCTATTTCATAGTTTACTATCAAAACAAATTTTTATTAAACTATAGCTCGCTGATTGCTCGATTTTGTCAATAATCAATGAATCCGAAAAATGGGAGAAAGTTTAGCCAAAAATTTATTAAAATTTGTCTGAAAAGTATTTATCAAAAATGCCAAGAATATTTTATGATAAAGAGTAACTTGCATTTCTACAGTTTACACTTTTACAGCAGCTGTTTCATATGATCATAAATTTACTGTAAAGATTAATTTACAATTTCTAGATTTGTTGATAAAATTTAAAACTGAAACATTAATTGAATGGCTGAAAGCAGATCAGACAACAAGGCTGAACAGCTGATCAGAATTTTTAATTCAACGATGTTAAAAATATTTTTCCAACCGTTCTTGCATGTTTAAATAAAAGAATTAAACTAAGGCCTGATATTTCCTAGAGTCAGCAGCTGATTATGGCGATTAAACTCTCGTTTCCTTCGAAAGTGGAAATTTTATCTCATATTTCACTTCACGAGAATGGCGGTTATGTTTTGACGCCGAGAAACGCATGAATGTTAACTTCTTTTAACCTCACGATTCTTTCACTTCAAAGAAAACGTCGGAGACATTGCTCAAAACTTTTCACAGATGAAAAATTTTGAAATATTTTCAGTGCATTGTTGTTTTGCTGCATGAAAATCATTTGAAAACAAACATCACCTCCACGCGGCGACGAGTGAGCTGAGGAGATTCCAATACCGATAAAAGCGAGGCTTATACGAATCCGAAACCGCGAAGAATACAACCAAAACAAAAAAGGAAAACCTTTCAAAAGGCTGTGAATACACCTTTACCCAAGAACAAAAGAAGCAAATAATTCGTAAAATGAGAATATCAGGTGAACACGACATAAAATGAACAGAAATTACATGCATACCTTTTGACTAATGACTTCGCGCACTTTGGTGGCCTGCTCTCGAAATTTTTCGAGTTGGCTTTCCAAATATTTACACCTTTGTTTGTAGCAAACTTCATTCTCGTCGCTTTCTTCTGTAGAAAATTCCTCCGGTCCGTTGCTCGTTGTAGAATCTTCCATTCTTCAGTTTACAACTTGCTCTTCCTGTCACCAGGCGAGCGCGCCATTTCTGTTAACAGACAGATAAATTTCACTGAGCTTTCCTGAAAGCACACCGGCTTCTAAACCCTCTTGCGGCATGTAAACTTCGCTCGGACAAAATGCTTAGCATATTTTTTTCCTGACGTTCAAACGGAACTTAGTTAAGCTAGACCGTTCGACTAACAAATTCGAAAAGAGAATTATTGACTTTTCGACCCTAACACATGTGATGTCATCGTCGTTCAGCGTGACAAAATATATGCTTAATCCTCAGAGTGCCTAATCCTTTTACTTACCTCGATACCAGCCTAGCTATTCTTTGCAAACAAAAGTGAAAAGGCGTGTCCAAATTTACAAAACGAGAGACTCTCCAAAAATACAAATAACACAATATAAACCGACAAGTTATCTTCCCAAGTCACGAAGTCTGACGAAAATCACACGACTATTTACTTCGGTCGGGTTGACTTCGTTTGGCGACTACTTCCGGAGGACCGGAGTTACGGATAAGGACTTTTTTCGGCGTGGGTGGCTTTGTGTAAGAGGCGAGGGCGGGTTTAATTAGAAAAACTATCTTTGTACGTGACCAATGATTCAGAATTTACTAACAAGCGAGACAGCTGGGTATGTCAGTTTTAAAAAGACATTTCCGACAATTCATGGGGTATCGGTCCAACGGAATGCAAACTTTGGTGGCAACCGAATCAAAAATACCCTGCTAGCAGTGGTTTCTGCAAGCCGAACGCTACGCTTCGAAGCGTAGTGTCCGGCCTGGAGAAACCACTGCTTGCAGGGTAAATCAAAAATGGCAAATTGAATGAAAATCGAAATGGAATCTCGTTAAAAATTTCTCTGCTACTTTCATCGATTTTCTTCTAAGCGAACTAAACGCTCAGACTCTATAGACTGCGCTATCGGCCCACATTCCCCTCAAGCAAGATCTGGCTCCACATGCAAGACAGTACAAACCGTGATACTGGTCATTCCGTCATTTTCAATCAGAACGAGCCTCTTTGGCTGTCATCCATAGTTTTTACAGAATAATCTAGAAAAAGTCGATTAATTTGCATTGTTCAAAAATTATCTGAATTTATATATTTTTTTCTAAATTTATGCCTTCAATGTTTCGAAACTGCTACAGAAAACGGAGGGAGGTCTATTTTACTGCCTAAGTCCCTTAAATTTACTTGTTGTAAATAGAAAGTTACTTCAAAGCGTTTGGATCCCCCCTTTCAGTTTCAGTTGTGATAAATGGTCTTTCAAAAATGTCGGCCCGCAAAATTTAAAATATCTTCCTGTCGCGTTCAATGAGTGTTCCACGACGTTTTCTTATACTTTTTTCTTAAATCACAAAACTGACAAAAGCCTTTTGGAAATTTTTTGATCAAAATTGAAGACTCCAGCTTGCCCAGAAAGTCATCCCTGTCGTTGGCAAGTTTGGCTCTCACCACACCTATATATTTTTTCTCTTACTCAATTCAAAAAGCGGGTAGCTTTGAGTGATTCGGCTGCCGTAAAGAAAAAGTGTTGTTTTAAGGATCTTTGAACGTTCCACTAAAGAAATCCAGTATACTTACCACAAAAGAACCATTTAGTGAGCTAAAAACTGGCAAAATCGTCAAGCTCGTGAAGCCTTTCTATGTGCCGCGCTAAATGTAACACATGTTAATTTTGGCAAAATGACGCGGGTTTCTCATGCAAAATGCCTGCTAAAAGCCTCTATGACAACTGAGTATGATTGACAACATTGTCACGGTAAAGACAGCGGTGATGCCTTTTAAAAACTTCTTGCTTTAAATTTTTTCAAAGGTTTTTCCACTGATTTCAGCTTAAAAGAAGACTATTCCAGACTGAACCCTCTAGGCTCCTGACTATTCTACATCTATTATAGTTGATTGAACTATTTTCCTAAGAACAACTGGCAACTCCAGTCAGCCGCGCGCTAGTTTCAAACCCGGCTGTACCCACTAGCTTCCACGAGTTCAATTCCTCGGCCATGCTTGTACTAACAAAGTGATCGGGGAACGGCCATTTTACTGGATTCTTGACCCTGACAGAGTGTTTTATTGCAATATTTGTTTCTATCCCTTTTTGTTGGCCAAGGGGTAAAATACCAGGTTATCACTTGAGTAATTATTTTACACTAAGACAGTTAGTAAATTAATAAATATTTCTGAAAATATCTTTAATTGATACACTTGCATGAAACTCCTGTTATAATATTACGTCGATCAGGGTTGCACCGGAAGGAAAAGGCTTAAGGGGCTCGGGAAAACCACTTTGTATATTAGCCAGCTACCTTACATGTTTTTTCACTATGCTGGCAGAGGTTTCATTCTGGCAGGGTTTTTAGCATATGCCGTACGAAGTCGTTCACGCGGCAGATATATATTCGCGTAAGGAAGACAAAAACTACGCGAATACCAGCGGAGCGTACGAATTAGGCGCGGGCGTCGTACTTCACAAATCGAATCAAATCGAGCCAAATCCAATTCGAGTTTAGGAGCACCTCCTCAAATTAATTTGGGACGGCCGATTTGATTCAGACGTCGAAAAGGAAACGGCTCATGTGAAGTTAAGTTATCCTTGCATGACTAAATTTTCTTGAGTGCCTATGTACAGAAGACTTACAAAACCTTCTTGCAAAAAGGCTAAGTTCGCCTCTAATGAACCCCTTACAGAAAATATGATTCGATCTACCTGCACGGAAATATAAAAAAAAAACGAAAGTTAACACGCTGGGAAACCTCGCGAATTTCACCTCTTAGGTTCTTTGCCAATTATTTGCCTTATACATTGGATTCACAGATTTACAGTGAAGCTACTCTCTTTTTACTTTTTTTTTTTTTTTACATCTTTCTGACTTGTTTTCCACAAATCCTCATTGAGTTCCATTAGGAGCCATATGGTGCAGATGTTAAAATGCGACTAGTACTGCTGTACCGGGCCACCTACTCGGCAAAGTTTACCAATCAGATCACAGAAAATTATCAAATACATTCCGAGAAAGTTTGTTCGAGCCAATCAGCGGCTCGTATCGAAGAAAACAATAATGTACTCGAAAGCACAAAATTTGAATATTGATAGAACCTCTCTCCTCTGCAGTTGCTCCTGCTGGGTATCCCAGTAAAAATAGCAATAATCGAAAACAAGAGCAATGCATTATGGCTCTTGTCGAAAAATAGAAAGCGCGCGGCTTCTCTTTCCCCTTCCCATCGTCCCCCCCCCGCGCTTTCTTTTCCCTCTCTCCAGCCCTCCATACATACACAGAGGCCTCTCCTAAAGGAAGCCTTTTAAGTACTGCGAGCAGACGCTTCGTTAACAAGTATCACATTTCTCGATCACGAAAAATGCTAGAAAAATTGGAAAAAACATCCATTTGGCATAATGCATATCTAGCCCAATTCTTGAAAACGAACCTGCAGAAATTTGCAGCCATTTGAGTGGAAAAGGGCCAAAAGGCAGGTTTTTGCGTCCCGTAGCTAAAAGGGCCGACAATCACACGAACGAAGGAAATGCGTGAGGGCGTTTGTGTCCGTTCTGGGCTCCTGCATATGGTCGTTAAACACATAAATTCTTGTACATCCTTCAAGGCAAGCAATTAGCATCAATATAGGAGGTAAGTAACGGTAGGCGAAGTACTTGTGAACTGACGTGCAAACAACCATTTGGTTAGCCATCCACTCAGTCCTGTGATCATTCCCTACTGGTGCGACGTAGTTGGAAGAGAGAGGCCCTGGGAACGAAGATCTGTACTGAAGAACAGACAACAGACCGAAACTCAGACCGAAACCGACAACAGACCACAGACACAAGAGCAGCTGAAGAGAAGTCAGAGGATGGCACTCACCATGTTCCTGGAACATATTGAACGGAATTTCTGTGATCTTTCCTATCACTTTAACGCTGAAACCATGGATCACATGTACAGAGCAACACAGCAGATTGTTGAACAGATCGTGGATGACATAGGGAGAATAAAACCTCACCTGAATGTTAAGGAAGTAATAAGCATCGGCAGTTTTGCAGAGGGAACTAAGATTTGTTCTCCAAATGAGTTTGACTTCTTAGCATGTTTTGATTTTCTCTCCAAGAGGGAAAATGTGCGAATTGAGGGCACTGAAGGTTGTCAACCAGGTTACATGGTGGCTTTTCTCAACTCCGGCTTTGATGAGGCCATGGCGAACATAACTAGGCTACTCTATGAGGATATTTGCTGCATACACCATGAAGGATTGCGTGCCGAGTTTGTGGATACTCTGAAAGAGGTCGTGAAAGCCATGACAAAGAAGAAGATTGTGACTCCACTTGGTGTCATGGTCATTAAAGGTTCAGACTATTTAGCTTTGAAACTAGAGTGGCACAAGTTTAAGGAGAACTATGACGGTCCTGAAGTATATAGTGGACTTTGTGAAAGAGAATTTACATTAACAACTTCCTACTCACTAGATATTGGTGTTGATATTATGCCAGCAGTGTCTGTTGAGGACTTTTCTCCTCTAAGTGATATCCATGGTTTTCCTAGGCATATATTTGGAATGACAGAAAACCTAAAGTTTCATCTTGTGTGCAAAGTGTCAGGGCAGTCCCCTAATGCACCTTATCTCCACATTTCCCATGCTACCACTGAGGTTTTTCTCGTGCGCCATCTACATCCAATCCATAAAAAATGCTACAGGGTACTAAAGTATCTTCTGACTCACGACACATATTTTAACAGGCCAATAAAAGACATAAGCCTGTCTTCTTATGTGTTTAAAACTGCTGTCCTTTTCCATGAATATGAGAAGCTGTGCTCAGGTACTCCAGATATTGTAACCTGCTGCATTGAAATTATACGATATGTCAGAGTCAAATTAAGGCAGGGTGTGTTTCCACCATTCCTGATGAGAACATCAAATGCTTGGGGGCAGTGTTACAAAATTCCTGTATCAGATGCATGGAGGCCAACAGATCTAAACAGAGAAATCTGCTCATTTGACTGGTGTTTTGTTTTGTGGTTTCAGCTTTGGAGGCAATTTCTTGGCAAGGCATTGACAATATTTCGAAAAATAGAAATGAAATTGCAAACAGAAGAACCAGAAACTAGTGATAGCAGCACTTTATTGGATGATGCTTCGCTAAACACCATGTCTCAGACACGTAATTTAGTGTATTATATTCCAAATAAGTATGATTCATTTCTAGCTGAGTTTGCAGTTTTAAGAGAGGATGCATTTGTCATTACAACTAAGTACTCTAAAGATGC